ACTGTCTCACTTACAAAGCATGCTATCCTTCATGTAAATTTATGTTTTTTGTGCATTATTTTACATGAACATTTTGCAATACTTTTATACATACATAGAAAAGCATTGTAGCAAGACCCTGATCATTTTGTTCTAAAATAACCCAAATGTAATCACTCTGTCATGCAAACAGCTGTCAGTATTAAAGTTTACTCCAGAATTATAAATTTTACCTGGTATGAAGTTTGTGTTGTAAAAGCAGGTAGAACTTACCCTCTTTGGGTGAAAATGGTTTAGATGTATTTTATTTTCTGCTAAAATTATGTCTCCACAATACATTGTTTTCATGTTAACAAAAAAATTGATGACATGACCAACCAATGTCGATATGTGCACTAGTATTATACTAACTGCATCACTGAGCTGTTTATTTTGACTTATGTAGTAAACAGCATAGCACTAGTGAAACCTGAAAAGGCTAAGATGATGGAGGGGATGTTAATACAAATGGCCAGGACAGGACAGATAGCTGGAAAGGTACATTGTAACTGAACATCTCGCCCATTCTGGAATCCAAACTCAAGTCTCATTTTATGTTGCCCACTAATAGATTAATTCCTTCTTTGTTCCCGTAAGAAGTAGTTGTTATGTGGGCATGTTATAATAAGTCCTTGATATTGAGCAAATGTTGTTCAGTCAATAATATGGATATTGCCTTGTTTTTGTGCTTAGACTGAAAAAAGAACTTGATCAATATCCAGCCATCATGACCTTGCACTTTGTCAGAGCTGTATATTTTTCTAGTGGAGCATTTTCCGTGCCCTTCAACATCATAGTTACGTGGTATATGTACAGCTACCCACGTGCTTAGCAGCCATTTTTTTCTCTTAACTTTATGGATCCGATAGCTCACATTTGATATATTAAAATTCTAACACTACTCCAAGGCTTTCTGGTCATTTTTCTATATTTGGTTTGGTTTTCTTTGTGCTCAAGTCTCTTCTGGGAATTGCAACCCAATGGATTTGTTGAAAATTTGTCCCATAGGTCTCCCAGCTATGTTAGAACTTAAAAATCATTGAGCTTGGGCTAATAATTGGCCTTTGCTATGAATAAACAACTTGAATCTGTATCATAATCTAATTCAAATCAAATAATCCTATTTTTTTTGCATTTCAGTTGTCTGAGTCACAGTTGGTGAGTCTTCTCCAAGAAGTTAGTGAAAAAACTCAGAAGAAAACTACAGTGAAGGTATGTGAATTTGTAATCTCAATAATTATTAATTTTATTAATTTTTAATTTTTTTTTCAGCTTATGTTGTCTAGGGTAACCCTAGCGCTAGGGTAACCCTATTTGCCTTGTAAACACGTCATGCAAAAAAAGAAGAAATGTGCAAGTGCAAGAGTAACTCTCTTTCTAGGGTAACCATAGCACTAGGGTTACCCTCCCTCCTCGTAAACAGGGCCTTAGAGTGTCAACTAACAAGGGTAAAGAAAGGAAAGGACTAACTCCAGGTGTCCCTCTGCTAGAGTTAAAATAAAATTGTTCCGTTACGTGTGAGTTGACTGTTTTCCATCTTTCTTCTTCAGTAACAAACGTCATCACTACAAGTATTTTTTTATTCTTATCTTTTTATTTACATTGTACAGTGTATTAAGTTTTGTTTATCCAAGATATTTAAGAAATTGGTTGCAACTCAGGCTGTCTGAAAGAATGTAAAAACGTTTAGAAAATTATGCAAAATGCCAGGAGGACACAATATGCAGCAAATTATGGGATTTGTGTAGAGTATATCTGGCATAAAATGCTTACTGCATTAGATTCACAACAACTTTTTCAAAGGTTTTGCTTGATGTCCCCAAAGTTAAATTGAGCCTTACATTTTTTCTAGTTTGCAATTTTTATATCTGTTATATATGTATATTTTTAAAATTGGCCAAGCTATACAATAATAATAATAATAAATTGAAAATAACAAATAAATAAGGATATTTATAACAATTAGTAACAAGGAAACCTAATTGATACCACGGGGCTTAGATAGCGTTAGGTTTCCTCACAAAAGAGGTGAAGAACGTAAGAATCAGAAAAAAAGAAGGAAACCAAGATCAAGTCAATCTACAGAGAAACCCTACTTTAACGAACCCCGTCATAACAAGGACCCCGTTATAACGAAAAAACATCTGAAAGCCCGGCAGAATTACAGTGAAATATGTGGAAACCAACCCCGCTATAACGAAATCCCCGCTATAATGAATAGATTTTGACTGTCCCAACGCACAATTCCCCCCCCCTGTAACGACTATTTTGTCCGGTCGCTCGCAGCAGTCAGTAAAAAAGACAGATTTAATCTGAGATTTGAGTAAAAAAACACAGCTTCACAGCTTGCTTTAATTGAAATTGTTTTTGAATTCGATGTCTTGATTGTCAGCGCTTTTAGGCACTTACAGTTTACAGTATCAAATGAATAAAAGTAATGTTTTCTACATGCAGTATTGAAGTTTTGGTAATTGTTATTTATTAAATTACCCCGCTATAACGAATATTTTTGCTGTAAACCAAATTATTAGTTATAACGAGGTTTTCGCTATAACGAACAATTTTTTCGGCACCTTGGCACTTCATGATAACGGGGTTCCACTGTAAAGTCGAGTTTAAGCTCTGAACGTTAGTATTTTAAGACAAAGAACTTTTTAGTCCATCTAAAAGAGATTATGATAGTTTCGTATGGGTATGATGATTATTTTCATAGGCCTTATGACTATGTATATTTATTTTTTGTGTTTATTTTACATGATAAGTTCAACAGAAAACGCATAGATGATTCTGATGATGACGATGACTAGAAATCGATGTGACCAATAATGTTGTTTATTGAATAGTAAGTATTGCTGTAGTTGATTATGCCTCTATTAGATTTGTTCACTCATATATGTAGTTGTAAACTGTCTGTGAAGTCCTGGTGTTCACTGTACTAACAGATAATGGTGTCATTCCTCAATTCTGTGAAAATACCTCTAAGAATAAATTGGAATCTCCTTATTTTAATTGAAAAAATTATCTTTAAAACAACAATACATTTACATAACAATGAAAAGGAAGAAAACAATTACAATATTTACAAGATCTTCACCCCTATCTCAATTTGTTACAGATCAGCCCTCCCGCCACCTCCCGGATAGGTGCACGCCATGAGTGGCATGCAAATGTATGCCCTGACCCTAAAATGACATTGAAAATGAACACCATTATAAAGGCCTGATATCAAATATTGGAATCAAAATCTAAAGAATAAGAACGCGAGACCTAGCCAATAAACCAGTCTATGTTGTTTTGTTAACCGTAAATTTCCGGAAATAAGCCCCTCCAAATATAAGCCCGCGAAACCGGTAACGCAAAAAACCCTCCGTTAAATCGCTCCTCCAAATATACCCCCCCCCCCCCCTGTGGTAGCATTGTTCTATGTGAACTTGCATTTGTGAATGGGGCAGTGAATATTATACTCGCTCTTAAGAGGTACTCGTTGAGCTTGCCTTTGAAAAACAGTAGCCGACGCCACCACTGGTTTCCCGCGAAATGACGTCTGAGGAAAGAAGGCTTCTAATTGGTTTAAAATTTGCTTCAACCAATCAGAAGCGGGATTGTTATGGAATTACTGCGCTCGTTTCTCAGACGTCATTTCGCGGGGAAACCAGGGGTGGCGTCGCTAAATGTCGCCTGTTTTCTCAGGCTATGAAACAACTCCACCTTTCTAATAATGGAAACACTCAGCGATAAAACAGAACTGAAGTCTATCAGCAGTGATCATTGTCACGATGATCAACTTACATATTGCTATCGTCATATAAGAGTTGTTTCCATATATTGATGCGATCACTGAACTTTTTTTCCTGATCGAAGCGATCACACATAAAGCCTTAAGACTGACTGCAAACAGTAGGTCTTGTTTTTCTTAAAATCGGTTTTGCAAGGCGTGATATTTTCGCGCGAAGCGCGTTGGGCCTCACACGCCCGTAGGGCCTATGTCTCTCCCCAGTCTCACTCTCCGTTTTCCCCAGTTTCCTTTGACCACTCGCGCATGCGTTCTTAACCTAGGCAAAAATACGGGCTTTTTTGCAGTTTAGCCTTGAGGCTGCTGACTGAAAGAGGCTGCTTCGTGTCTAACTATATCTCAATATATATTTTTTCCTCAGCCTTTTTCTTGCTCCTGAAAGTTTGCCCAGATGAGTGTAAATGCTTTTTGCCAATTTGATACAACACAGTGGTTATTTACCAGAGTCAGAGCTACGAAAAGAAGATAAGATCAAGAATGTGATTTGAGTGCATCATACCTTCTAACAAACAGTTGTTAATTATAGATCAAGGTGACTGCATAGTAGTTTCTTTTCCAAAAGGGTACACCAACATGCCTCTTTATTAAGCAACCATTAGAAAATGACTGAGAATGATTTTAATAGCTGTAAAGTATTAATTTTTATTTGTTTTCCCTTAACAAACTCAGTGCGTATTTAGCATTTGATGTAGCGTATCAAATACAAGAGGGAGTGTTTCATCATTCTCTACTATGTCCAGAAATATAAATTATGTGAGTTAAATTAATGATACACAGTGTTCTTAACCGCCGTTAAAAGCAAGTTACTGCCTGTTTATCGCGGTCTATTGACGTCTTCTGAGAGCCTTTAACTGACAAGGTTAGAATAGGAAGGAAACAATAACGGTTGTAAGTCTTACAACTCCATTCTTCATAAACAATAAAAACAATGAAAATTACTAGGAGCACTACTCTACTTATTTATAAAAACAACAACACACTTTACTAAGAAACAGATAGTTACGTTTTTAATAGTACCTACCCACAAATAGTTAAAAACAAAAAAAAAAACTAGTCAAGGCGGGCAGGTATGATTAGGTTAGGCTTATTGCAACTTATTTATTTATTTATCATTATTTTTTTTTCTGGGAGAGGATGCCCCAAGACCTCTAGATAAAAGAGTCCTTACAGCCTTTGCCGCTCATTGCAAAGGTTATTAAGCAGAAAAGGACAAACCTTCTGAACTAATTCTGGTGGCCGAAGATACGGTAAAACAGCCAAAAAAGCGTGCAAATTGTTTTGCAACATTGCTCCAAAACGAGTTACATAGCGATATTGCGCGTTTTACCACCCACGAATCAAACCAATCTTGTAAAAATCAGCTTATATTTTTAGCGTGGAAAGAGCCGTCAAAGTCATGTTCCGTCACTCCATTTCTGTGAAAATGTTGACAAGAACCTCTGATCTCTCACTAAAGCATGCTTACTAGTACGCAAGTTAATTTAGCGGGAAGACATGGCTTGCTCCCATGCCACGGCTGACTTAAATTTTATTATCTTGTTTGAGTTGTATTATACATTTATATTACGAATATTACACTGTAAACACTGTAAAATATCATTGATAACTTGATCATTATACGATCTTTTTGGATCCGACGTTGAGCAAGATTGTTCGTACACGGTTTTTGCAGTAATTACTGTTTAAACCATGGACATCAGGGCCCGGTTCCTGAAACCATTATACTTTTTAGAGCCAAAGAATAAGATTAAAGACAAAACGATAAGATAACAACTGGGCCCGGTTCCTCGAAAAATGGTTAAGTTTAACCCAGGATTAAGCCAGATTTTAAGCAAGGTTTTCTTGACTAAGAACATGTATATAGTTACTCCAGCTTACAAAATACTGTTGAGCCTTTACGCAAAATATTTTTTTAAGGCTCGGTCCTGTTTGACCGAAATGAACATTTTTCGCCTTATGAGCTTAGTTCAGCTGCAATTAAGATCGGCGGCGTCTGAATCAATTCAGCCGGTCGAAATAATTTGGGTCGACCTTAATTCGAATTGATTCAGACGCCCATCTTAATTCCTGCCGAACTAAATTGAAAAAGAGAAAAATGCTCATTTCGGTCAAACAGCTTACAAATACGTTATAATAATTTATGCATTAGGTTCGGTACATAAAAAGTTCGGCGTCTGAATCAAAGCCGTTTCAAAGGCGCTCCAAAGACGAAATTCCCGGCCGGGCGAGGCGAAAAGAACGGCTGAGGCGTTCCTAATTGATTCAGACGCCGAACTTTTCATGTACTCAATTCAATGTATTAGGTTCGGCTCATGAAATTAAAAGCTCGGCGTCTGAATCAAAGGCGTTGCAAAGTCGAACCAAAGACGAATGATTCCCGACCGGGCTAGGCGGAAAGAACGGCTGAGCCGTTCCAAATTGAAACAGGCGTTCCTAATTAATTCAGACGCCGAACTTTTCATGTACTTAATTCAATGTATTGGGTTCGGCTCATGAAAAGTACGGTGTCTGAACCGGGCCTAAGCGATGCATAGAAAAGTAAATACAGAAAAGTAGAACAAAATTTTAATCCTGGATTAGCGCCCATGGGCCTTTCAGGAACCGGGCCCTGATGTCCATGGTTTAAACAGTAATTACTGCAAAAACCGTGTACGAACAATCTTGCTCAACGTCGGATCCAAAAAGATCGTGATCAGTCAAAATATATAAAATTGAAAACGTTACAGTCAAGAAGACTTTTGTAGGGACTGATCAAACAAATAAGCTTATATTTTTTCTGAAGGAGTGTTTCAAAACTGTTCGATCGAGCGAATGTTTTTTTGGCAAGTTCAATTACGTTCGCGATTACCGAACTTTATATCGAACTCAGTCGATGATTTAAAGGGGCTATGTCGAATCCAATTAAGGCATTCTTGGATTCTGGATTCCAAGCCGTGGGATTACGGATTCTTTTTCAATAGAACTTTGATTCCGAATTCCAATCGTTAGTGGGATCCCGGATTCGCTGAGCTGTATTTCGGATTCCATAGCCCAGGATTCTAGATTTCAAAAGCAAACATTTCACAGATTCTGAAACAGGGAATTCCCTTATATGGGGCATGAGTATATCAGGCTATTTCCTATCTTTTTAAAAAGCTAACACTTGGCTTCGCGGGCCAGTTTTGTTATTCACGACGATGTTTAAGCATTGAAACTGTTGCCTGTCATCTGTTGCAACGGATGGAAAAGATGGACGGGGATTGAAACCTGAAAAAGTTGAGCCACATTTTTCAAGTTTTATTTTAATTGGCATTACCCGCAAAAATTACCAAAGCAATTATTATGGCTGGTGCTCGTTGATGAAATTTGTTTGTTAATATATTCTTCATATCACTAGCAAAGCATTTTGTTTATGGGTAAAGGCGCTTAGTTGAGACTTCTGCATAGAATTGACCTAAAACAGCAATATCCTCGTGTGATAGTCCCTTAAAGCTCCTATGAAATTCGTTCGATACTGTTCCATTGAGTACGCCGAGCATAGTGCCTGGATTGCTTCAAACAACGCGAAAAATCTTGCGGCATATAATTGCGAAGGCGTCTCTGAAATCACGAATTCTAGCGCTGTAGATACAAAAATTCATAGCTGAATTTAATAAGGCTAAAGTTCTTATCCACATAAACGCAGTTCCGTACATTTTCACCAAAGATTTCCCAGCAGCAAAGAAAACAACGATCATGGGAAACCAACATGCTGTAAATACGCCAATTACAATAGCCAGAGTGAAGGCAAACCGGAAACCAGGGGTGGAGTCGCGAAAAGGCGAATGTTTTTTCAGGCTATGAAAAAACTCCACCAGTCTATATAATGGAAACACAGCGATAAAACAGAACTGAAGTCTATCAGCAGTGATCATTGTCACGATGATCAATGTACCGTTAGTTGAGTTGTTTTCATATATTGATACGATCACTGAACTTTTTTTCCTGATCGAAGCGATCGCATATAAAGCCTTATAAAGCTTTCAGGTAGACTGCAAAACAGTGGGTTTTGTTTTTCTCAAAATCGGTTTTGCGCGTTGGGCCTCACACGCCCTTTGACCACTAGCGCGAGCGTTCTTAACCTAGGAAAAAATACAGGCTTTTTTGCAGTTTAGCCTTACGGCTGCTAACTGAAAGAGGCCGCTTCGTGTTTATATCTCAATATATATTTTCTCCTCAGCTTTTTTCTTGCTCCTGAAAGTTCGCCAAGATGAGTGTGAATGCTTCTTGCTAATTTGATACAACACAGTGGTTATTTACTGGGGTCAAGGCTACGAAAAGAAGATAAGATCAAAAATGTGACTTGAGTGCATCAGACCTTATCACAAACAGTTGTTAATTATAGATCAAGGTGACTGCATAGTAGTTTCTTTTCCAAAAGGGTAAACCAACTTGCCTCTATATTAAGCAGCCATTAGAAAATGACTGATAATGATTTTAATAACTGTAAAGTATTAATTTTTACTTGTTTTCCCTTAACAAACTCAGTACATATTTGGCATTTGATGTAGCGTATCATATACAAGAGGGAGTGTTTCTTCATTCTCTGCTATGTCCAGAAAGATAAATTGTTAGTTAAATTAATGATAAACAGTGTTTTTTATAACCACCGTTGAAAGCAAGTCACAGCTTGTTTATCGCCGTCTATATGACGTCTTTCTGAGAGCCGTTAATTTACAAGGGTAGAATAGGAAGGAAACAATAACCGCTGTAAGTCTTTATACTCCATTCTTCATAAACAATAAAAACAATGAAATTACTAGGAACACCACTCTACTTATTTATTTTATTATTGTATTTTATTTTTTTCTGGGAGAGGATGCCCAAAGACCTCCAGATAAAAGACTCCTTACAGCCTTTGCCTCTTATTGCTGAGATTATTAAGCAGAAAAGGACAAACCTTCTAAACAAATTCTGATGGTCTAAGATACGGTAAAACAGGCAAAAAAGCGTGCAATTTGATTCGCAACATCACTGCAAAACGAGTTGCATAGCGATGTTGTGCGTTTTACCACCCACGAATCAAACCTCTCTTGTAACAAATCAGCTTTTATTTTTAGCGTAGCTTAGCGTGGAAAGAGCCGTGAAAGTTATGTTCCGTCACTCCATTCCTGTTTAATGTTGACAGGAACTTCTGATCTCTCAATAAAGCATACTTACTAGTACGCAAGTTAATATGGCCGGAAAACATGGCTTGCTCCCACAAAACGGCTGACTTAAAATTCATTATCTAGTTGTTTGCATCGTATTTACATTTATACTACGAATATTACACTGTAAAATATCATTGATAACTTGACCATTCAAATATGCCAAAAACTATAATTCGTTTTTAGGTACTCAGTGTTCAACATTATACTTTTCAGAACCAAAGACTAAAATAAAAGACAAAACAAGATAACAACTGAGCCCGGTTCCTCGAAAGTTTAACCCAGGATTAAGCCAAATTTTAAGCAAGGTTTTCTTAAGAACATGTAACTCAAGCTGACAAAATACACTTGAGCCTTTGCTCTGAGATACAGTAATGATAACACAAAACATTACTCTAAGCAATGCGTAGGAAGGTAAATACAAAAAATAGAACAAAATTTTAACCCTGGATTAGCGCTAATCGGCCTTTCAGGAACCGGGCTCCGATGTCTAAATGGATTAAACAGCAATTAAGTAATAAACTAACTCATAAGCTTATATTTTTGTGAAGGAGTGTTTCAAAACTGTTCGATCGAGCGAATGTTTTTTTGGTTAGTTCGATTACCGAACTTTATAGAACTCAGTCGATGATTTAAAGGGGCAAGGTCGAATCCAAGACATTCTTGGATTCTGAATTCCACGCCGTGAGATTACAGATTCCAGGTATTGGATTCCAGTCTTTTTCAGTGGAACTTGGATTCTGGATTCCAATCGTTAGTAGGGTTCCGGATTCCTTGAGCTGTATTTCGGATTCCATAGCCCAGGATTCCAGATTTCACAACCAAAAATTTCACAACTTCTGAAATACTATACTATATATACTATACTTCTATAAATCATGGGCCAGTTTTGTTATTTACGACTTTGTTTAAGCATTGAAACTGTTTCCTGTCATCTGTTGCAACGGATGGCAAAGATGGACATAGATTGAAACTTGAAAAAGTTGAGCCACATTTTTCAAGTTTAATTGGCTTTGCCTGCAAAAATAACCAATGAAAGCAATTATTATGGCTAGTGCTCCCTGCTGAAATTTGTTGGATATATTCTTCATAACTCTAGTTAAAAGCAGCATTTTCTGTATGGGTTAAGGCACTTAGCAATGACTTTAGCACAAAATTGACCTAAAACAGCAATATCCTCGCGACAATTAGCCCCTTAAAGTTCCGTTGAAATTCGTTCGAGTCTGTTCGATTGAGTACGCCGAACATAGTACCTGGATTGCTTCAAGCCATGCGAAGAATCTTGCGGCATATAATGGCAAAGGCGTCTTTGAAGTCACGAATTCTAGCGCTGTAGATAAGAAAGTTCATAGCTGAATTTAACAAGGCCAAAGTTCTTATCCACATGTACGCTGTCCCGTACATTTTCACCAAAGATTTCCCGGCAGCAAAGAAAACAACGACCATGGGAAACCAACATGCTGTAAATACGCCAATTACAATAGCCAGAGTGAAGGCAAACCGTCTCTCAACTTTGCTCCTGACGGAAATTAATGTTCTGCCTTGCGTCGATGCCTTCTTCTTTCTCCTCCTGAGCAAAAATACCGAAATCGTGATCGACAAGTAGCATCCGATGACCAAAAAATAACTTATGGCAAATATCACAAGAGCCATATAAGCTGTTTCTTTCAAGAAAGGCACACGAAGAGATGTAAACACTGTTGCTACACCCCAAACAACTATCAACATGACCTTCAAGCCATAGCTCTTCATTATGCGACAATGACAGAGAGGGAAAATAACGGCGAGAAAGCGATCAACGCTGATTGCCGCTAGGTGCATGATAGAAGCTGAACACGAGAAGTTGGAAGATACAACATAGGCGAGCTCCAGGTTTGATGCACAGTCGTTGAAAAACGTTTTCTTGGCCACAATTCCCACGACTAACGGCTCACACACCATGGTCACAATCAAATCAGCTATCGCCAAGCTAACAAGAAGATAGTTAGAGCATCTGCGTAGTCTAGGGCGTGTGTAAAGAACCGCGGTGCAAACAAGGAAGTTACCAAAAGTACCCACCAAAGCTCCGACAGAATTGGCCGCCATTAGGCCAAAGCCATGAACCAGTGGAAGGGAACAGTCTGAAGGAGAGAGATTGGTGATGTCTTCCAACGAATTGTTTTTCATGTTCGGTTGTTTAAAGGTAAAGAAGGTGTTGTGTTTTCGACAAATCCAAAATCCAAACGAGAATTGAATGAACGGCCACAATGTTTCAGTAATACGCAAGGGTGACTAAAATATGCAGGACAGTACCGAAGTTTCGTTTTCAGTAGTTCATAAGAATGTCTACTCAGACAGGTATGTAAATTTACGCTGACCCATTTACCTGACCATATTAAGCCTATAAAGAGAAAAAGCACCCGCCAGTATAATTCCTAAGGGAATACTCTCAAATATATTTGGCTAGAACAATTAGGGCCTGGAAGAGTTTTAGTGATTCATCTCTGATTGAATCTGAAACATATTAATATTATGGCTTCAAAAGGTCGAGCCATAAGTAACAACATGAGTACAGTATATTTGATGGTGTTTATGATTTAATCATGAGTATACATATAACCTGTATCTCAAGGGTGACTAAATATGCAGGACAGTTTCCAAGTTTCGCTTTCAGTAGTTCTATTCAGACACGTATGTAAAGTTACGTTGACACATTTATATTACCAGACCAAATTAAGCCCAAGGGAAGAATCACCCGCCAGTATAATCCTAATCAGGAAATACTTACAAGTTTAGCTTTTTTGCTAGGACAATTAGGGATTGGAATAGATTAAGCGATTCTGTGATTGAATGTGAAACATATGATGGCTTCAAAACGAGCCATAAGTAATTTAATTATTTAATTTGTTACAACAAGAGTTTTTTTGATAGTGTTTATTTACTTTAATTTATTTATTTATGATTTATTTATAAGGAACTGTTTGTCAATGCCCTGAGCTCTACCTGACCTCATCTATGGGAAACCTTTATAGATTAAAGATGTAGATGTTACGCCCCTGATTCTACAATGGAAATGAAAGAATGAAACTTTATCAACCGTGGCGATAAGACTGCGTAAGACAAAGACATGCCTGTTCTTATTACCAACATTTGAATCATGGTGTTGCGTCTCCACGTTCGCAGCAGCAACCTAAACAAAGCCAAAAATACGCTACCCCTCTTCGAAAGGTCAGAAATCGGCCAAGAGAAAATATATTACTACACTGTGAGCACTCTCTTATTTTTCTTTGCAAAGTAACTGCACGCGAAACCTAAGCATGCGAGCGGCTAAGCCGCTTGCCGCGAGAAACGAGCGCGTAAGCCCGAGAAAAAAAAATAAGAGACCGCTGACTCAGTTTTGTTCTGTCTGGGGACAACGAAGCTGTCAAGGTAATTTAATTAATCAATTAAACCCGAGTAACTTGAAACGATTTATGAATAGAACGTAAACAACTTTCTTTTCAACACTTTCTTTAAATCCGGTAAGATTGCCTTGAATTCGTTTCCATTGAGGAAATTTACAGCAGTTTCCTTCTGTAAGATATCCATTACTGGGATTATTTTTATTGTTTGCAATCTCACCATAGACCAGACAATGATCTGTCAACAGCTGTGCAATTGACCAATCGGTTACTCCGTTTCTGGGCTGACGGAGGGTTTGTTTACTACAAAAGAGTCAGCAGTCCGTCTTTTCTCGTCTCGTCTCAATCCCTAAATAATAACATCGTGGTTTGCAATCGCGCTGGATGAGATAAGAACTAGACGGATTTTAAGAGAAAAGGTGGATTGTGAGCAGTCTAATATATTACTATAAAAGGTAATTTTCGAAGTACGAAACTGATTCAGGTCACTCCTCAGGGCATGGAGTCACGTGGCGCGATGTAACCGTAAAGTGCAGTATCCTTTCCGGCAAAGGTGCGAGATCTGTAGAAAATTATATATTATTCTAGCAGCCCTGTTTTACAGTTTCTCGAGTCTATCGGAGAAGTGCATCAGTACTCCAGCTATTTCATACCACAATACTACTAACAAAAGTAATCGAGCACATGGCACATCATGAATAAAATGTTTGGTTAGAAACCATCTTCCAAGGCCGACTGAACATTTACATTTACATTTACACATTTACACATTTACATTTACTGAAGTCTGCAGTTGTTTGGAGAGTACCGAACAGCACGAATTGGAGAGCAAAGCAAGAAAAATAAAACGCTAGGGAAGCGGTGCGATTTTTTATTTTTTTGTGATACTGATATTTAAAACAAAATGACCAAGCTCTGATCTAAAAGCTATATTAGAAGCTTTCTTGTTTACCTCCAAAAAATACGCTTGCATGGCTTATCATCTGCAACCTACCAAATCAGCGCTCTGTAAAAGCACTTACTTGTGCAGTGTATGTACTAATAGTAGTCACTATTAACAAAGTCTGATATGTCGACTGGTATATGTTCCGGTTAAATGTCGATAACTTGATGTAATTTGTTCGTTCCTTTTGAATTAATTTCCGTTCATATATCTTCAGGTTTTTGTAATTTTTAAAATACATGTACACATGTACAACTGAACTACAAAATCGCATCAGTTACAGCGAAGAATCTTGCTGCATATAAGAGCATAGGAGTGTCTGAAGTCACGAATTCTAGCGCTGTAGATAAAAAAGTTCATAGCTGAGTTTAAGAAGGCTAAAGTTATAGCCCACATGTACGCGGTTCCGTTCAGTTTCACCAGAGATTTCCCGGCACCATAGCCAACAACAATGACGGGAAACCAACATGCTGTAAATACACCAATTACAATAGCCAGCGTGAAGGCAAACCGTCGCTCAACTTTGCTCCTGACGGAAATTAATGTTCTGCCTTGCGTCGATGCCTGTCTCTTTTTCCTCCTGAGCAAAAATAACGAAATCGTGATGGACAAGTAGCATCCGATGATGAGGAAATAGTTTATGATAAACGTCACGACAACCACATAATTTGTTTCTTTCAGGAAAGGCACACGAAGAGATACAAACACTGTTGATGCACCCCAAACAACTATCAGCATGACCTTCAAGCCATAGCTCTTCATTATGCGACCGTGACGAAGAGGGACAATAACGGCGAGAAAGCGATCAACGCTGATTGCCGCTAGGTGGAAAACAGAAGCTGAACACGAGAAGTTAGAAGATACAGCATTGGCGAGTTCCAGGTTTAATGCACAGTCGTTGAAAAAGGTTTTCTTGGCTGCAATTCCCACGACTAACGGTTCACACACCATGGTCACGATCAAATCAGCGATCGCCAAGCTAACAAGAAGATAGTTTGAACATCTGCGTAGTCTAGGGCTTGTGTAAAGAACCGCGGTGCAAACAAGGAAGTTACCAAAAGTACCAACTACAGCTCCGACAGAATTAACCGCCATTAGGCCAATGCCATGAGCGAGTGGAAGGGAACAGTCTGAAGCAGAGAGATTGGTGATGTCTCCTAACGAATTGTTTCTCATGGTCAATTGTTTCCCAGTAAGGAAGCCAACTAGCAATTTTTCAGTATGTTTGTTGTTTCTCTAGTTGAACTCTATTCAGCCTTTGACAGTTTCTCAGTGTCGCCTTAACAGTTCCAAAAGAGCAAATTTACGATCCTAATTCTTGAAAGAAAATGAAATAATGCAGCACTTGAATGCGTTTACTGTGTTCTTAAATAGAGGGAAAGCTAGACCTGCCCGGAACCATCCTCAAGATACTTATGTGTACTTATAACTTCAGTGTGTCCTTACAGCTTTGGAACCCGTCAGTATAAAACGAGGACTGCGGACTGCGGACTGCGGACCACGGACTGCGGACTGGGTATAAAACACGGACTAGGTATAAAACGCGGACTACGGACTATGTATATAAAAACAGCTTTAGGCTTTAGAAAGGTAAACCTGAGAGAAAGGAAAAGCGGACTAGCGTAAAACAGTAGTTCCAGCTCCTTGCCTCCCACACAAACATTCCTTTTGCTGGTCACGCAGTCACGTCAGCGTCATGTGAAGAAGGAAATCATACTGCACGGACAAGGAAGGTTATGCCGCTACTCAACGCAACTGAAATTAAATTCTGAATTTTATAAAAAAAAGGAGTTAGAAGAGAATCCAATTTATAGTTTTAAACCAATAAGAAGCGCCGATTTTTTAAAAAAAGTATTAGTGTTAGTCAGTAAAATTCTTATGGATGGCACTATTCCGTCTCAAATTGAGCCTTGGGAATATGAGGAAATGAAGAACTCAGACGGGAAGGTCAATATAGAGGCATTCCACGATGTAAAAAAGCAGTATTTAGGTGGGAGGGATTACTCACCTACACGTGAATAATAACCGAAATGAATCATTCAACATGATCTTAAACCCTGCTCCTGACCCCCGGAAGGGGGGTACTCCTAGGAATTCTTGGTGGGGGTGTGCCGCCCAGTTATTCAAATCTTGACTCTATTTCAGACCAATAAATGTTTTCCACACCCGTTTGCAGACCAGGTCTCTAAACGAAATACCCATTTTCAGCCGGCTGGCCTAATTTAGCCTGTTCCAGGCTCTCAGATAGTTGGGGAGACTCCCCAGTTTCCTCCTGTTTTATTTTCGTGTCCGCGCTTTCTCAATTAGGAGGACCCAACTATCTCGCAGCCTGAGCATGAACAGGCTAGGCCTGATTAGGCAGAAATTATATCATCATTACCAGATTAGAGCGCAAACAAAAAAATTCTTCAAATGTATTTCGAATATTTCATATTTCTATTTCGTTCTTATTCATTTGGAATTGAAACGATAAATACGTTCATACTGATGTAAGCTCCCGTAGTTTACTCGAAACCGGTACCCAATTTCAGTGTTTTCAGACCAAAAAGACCCAAAAACCCTACGGCTTCGAGGCGGCACACACCTATATGGCTTATATAAGAGAGTATCCCCCTCCCCCGGTCCTGACCCCTTTCATGATTGTTAGAGACCGAGACCAGGTCTAAAAATGGGTGTTGAAAATAGCGATTTTAATGTCAGGCTCATGATTCAGAGAACCGGGCAGCGATCTTTTGGCCTTATTTTTCCTTACCTAGAACAATTAGTACCGCTTTTACCAACGTAGTCCGCGGTCCGCGTTTTATACCTAGTCCGTGTTTTATACCCAGTCCGTATTTTCCAGTCCGCGTTTTATACCTAGTCCGTATTTTATACCCAGTCCGTAGTCCGTAGTCCACAGTCCGCAGTCCATCTTTTATACTGACCGCTCTGGAACCGTTTCCGGTTAGTGAGTCCCAGTTCTCGCTCATACTTATTTACATCCTCGGAGACCCAGAGGCAGATAGTAGGGGCGAGGGGAAGTCTAAACGGGCGGAATAATATTGCACGGAGAAAAATAAAGAACGGCGAGAAGAGCCCCTGGGGACAATGTCTTACCAGACCAGTTCCAAACGGTCGCCCCTGTTCTGCATTCTGATTGGGCAGAAAAACACAAAAGTTTTCTGGCACCAATCAGAAGGCAGAACGGCGGCGACCGTTTGGAACTGGTCTGGTAAGACATTGTCCCCAGGGGCTCTTCTCGCCGTTCTTTATTTTTCTCCGTGCCATATTTTCCCGCCCGTTTAGACTTCCCCTCGCCCCCACCGTCTGTCCCTGGGTCTCCGAGGATGACTTGTTTACTTTCGGGAGACCTTCTGTATGGTACAAATCTAAATGCGACGCTCCATTTTCGAGATCGGCGCGGCGCAGCTTCGCTCCGTTAGAGAAATCGCGCCGCCACAATCGTTCTTGTGTGTGAACAGGTAGCCTGAGTATCAGGCCTTCCTAAGGGGCTAGTCCCTTTTTCGCTTCCATCTTTCCCCTTTTCCCCAGAAACGCCTGATACTCAGGCTAGTGAACAGGAGCCCTATCCGGTATGATTTTCATGGCGGCGCCAAAGTTATCAGGTATAGTGTGACCAAAGCCCAAGCGAGTGGCCGTACTTGATCTGTCACACAGGCAACCCAACAATTTCTTCCAGATAATAGGTATTAATAAGCCAATACGATCACCATTTCTCGAAGAAAATGGGGAGATTACTGCCTAGTTGATTCGATACAACATATAGCTCAACTTGAAGCCGACAAAATAAATAAATTAACTTCCGAAAGTCAAAATTCAATACACCAAAAGACTGCTAGAAACGTGAAAGACCCCCTGCAATCTGAAAACATGCAAGAACAGTTTCATTTATTAATTTTCCAATATTTAATCTTTAAAATAAACTCCGTTTTTCTTATGATTACCCAAAGATGGCTATACACCAAACAAGCTATTCAATGATATCTCTACGGCATTATCTTTCTTTGGAAAAAAGCACTGTCGTTCTCCTTGGAATCAACATTTTTTTGTAAAGCTAGCCCTTAACTTTCAGTAGTATTTATTTCAGTTCTTCTGCGCACTTCATATTGCATGTTATCTTTCTTGAAAAAAAAATTAAAAAAAAAAAACACATGTCAGCAAGCCTAACACAATTTTTGGACTCTTATTTTTTGTAAACGCAAGTGGTTAGGTCCTTCTTGGAGATTCAATTCATTTTAATGACCTTCTGTTAAATAGTAAGGCACAAAGGCGTAGCCAGCTTTTCGATTAGTTGTAGGCCTGACTCACTTTCATTTCCAAATATCCTGAAAATTGCACGCATGACTAATACGTACTAAGCTTACCAACACCTCGAGCTCTTAAGCCTTTCACCCCCTCCAACAACGCATAATTTATTACAAGCGGTAGACTGATCAAAGTAAAAATTGTAGGCCGGGGCCTACAAGTCTATGAGCTGGCTACGCCCCTGAGGCATGTTTTGACACTTTGACCCCAGGCCTTGAGCGGCCCACTACACTTGTACTCACTATCTGTCTTGTTATTGGCTAAGAGCCTACAGCTAATTTTAGAAATCAGCGCAACCTTTAGATTAGTTAGTTATCTGCTATCAGATAATTACTGACTAATCTGTAGGTTGCGCGCACGATGCTAGATGAAATGATGAAAGGAGGTAAGTGAACTCAACAACCCCCACCTTTCATTCCAGTCCTCCGATTTCTTCACTCTCCGTCTTCCGCGCAAGAACCATGACTAGACTTGCCACAACTTTGAACTGATATCATCATCTTCCAAGATGCTCTCCTGAATCCTTCCGGTTCAACGCTAATCCGTTTTCAATTTCATCATCGTACGAAAACTATTTAACAACGTTCTTAAGAAGTAATTACTGCAGGGAGGAGCAAAACGCCTCCTGTTGCAGATTGTTCCGTTACAGACCGTGTAAGGCGGATTAATGAGAGAAGGAAGGAAGGACGCAGCTCAGGATGAAATTTAACAGCTGTAGATTGCAAACATTTTCTCCTTGAGTACTTAATTTCAGAGGTCATTTGGTACTCGCTGACGAATTAATGTCTTGTTAACAATCATTCACGGTGGTGAATAGTTGTGGATGTTTAAGTGGATTATTAAATATCCACCAATTTGACGCAAACTTTCACCACACAAGATGAATAATTTAACAGCTGACCTAAAAATAACTTTATTAGACTGTCCCCTATTTTTCCATAAGATCGTCGAGATCGAGCGTTTTACGTTACGGCTGCCATCTTGCAGGAGTGTAAAAAACTACTACTTGAAAATCAAGATGGCCACCATAAATGGTAAGACGCGTTATATCTCGACGATCTCACGGTCAAATAGGGCACTGTGAACAGTCTTTAACTTTATTTTGCCCAGAGCTTGGAAATTTTAAAATCTTGCGCGCCGCAAAATGCATATAATGCTCATAGAGTCGCATGGTTAGTGTAGCAATCAAACGATGTGAACAAAACGAATGACTTCAAACTATTTTCGACGTTCTTCAGCAGGATCTTCAGTAATAAAATGTTTTTATACTTAGATCCCACACTGTAGTTAACGAAAAAAGTCCACTTCAAGACTAAAATGCTTTTCGTTTCTCTTCGACGCTGCTGGGAAGTGAATAGTACTTACATGGCTAAGCACCTGCGATCTAACAAATCACCGCGCGTTAAAATCACCATTCATTTTTGTGGCATATATGTACTAATAGTCACTATAAACAAAGTCTTAGGCACTGACGCCTCGGTTAAATATCGATAAATCGTTTCCTTTAAAACAATATCTCTTTTAAGTAATTTATCTCCTTTTAAATTCAGTATACACATAACTAAATCGCATCAGCCACAGCGAAGAATCTTGCGGCATATAAGAGCATAGGAGTCTCTGAAGTCACGAATTCTAGCGCTGTAGATAAGAAAGTTCATAGCTGAATTTAACAAGGCCAAAGTTCTTATCCACATGTACACTGTCCCGTACATTTTCACCAAAGATTTCCCAGCAACAAAGAAAACAACGATCATGGGAAACCAACATGCTGTGAATACACCAATTACAATAGCCAGAGTGGAGGCAAACCGTCTCTCAGCTTTGCTACTGACGGAAATTCTGATTGTTCTGCCTTGCGTCGATGCCTGCTTCTTTCTCCTCCTGAGCAAAAATACCGAAATCGTGATCGACAAGTAGCATCCGATGACAAGGAAATAGCTTATGATAAACATCGCAACAACCATGTAAGCTGTTTCTTTCAGGAAAGGCACACGAAGAGATGCAAACACTGTTGCTACACCCCAAACAACTATCAACATGATCTTCAAGCCATAGCTCTTCATTATGCGACCATGACGGAGAGGGAAAATAACGGCGAGAAAGCGATCAATGCTGATTGCCGCTAGGTGCAACAGAGAAGATGAACACGAGAAGTTAGCAGAGACAGCATAGGCGAGCTCCAGGTTTGATGCACAGTCGTTGAAAAAGGTTTTCGTGGCCACGATTCCCACGACTAAAGGCTCACACACCATGTTCACGACCAAATCAGCGATCGCCAAGCTAACAAGAAGATAGTTAGAGCATCTGCGTAGTCTAGGGCTTGTGTAAAGAACCGCGGCGCACACGAGGAAGTTACCAAAAGTACCCACCAAAGCCCCGACAGAATTGGTCGCCATTAGGCCCCAGCCGTGAACGAGTGGAAGGGAACAGTCTGAAGCAGAGAGGTTGGTGGTGTTTTCCAGAGAACTCGAACTGTTTTTCATGCTCGGTTGTTTAAAGGTAGAGAAGCTGTTTCGTTTTGGACAAATCCAAAATCCAAACGAGAATTGAACGAACGGCCACAATGTTTGTAAATACGCAAGGGTGACTAAATATGCAAGACAGTTCCCAAGTTTCGCTTTTAGTAGTTCGTAAGAATGTCTATTGAGACAGGTATGTAAATTTACGCTGACCCATTTACCTGATCATATTAAGCCTAAGAGAAAACTCATCACCGGCCAGTATAATTCCTATAAAGAGTTAATTCAACCCTCCTCGTCAGGAAATACTCTCAAATATTTTTGGCTAGAATTAGGGACTGGAATCTGACTGACTTTGAATCTAAAACATATTATGGCTTCAAACGAGCCATAAGTAATTCAATTATTTAATTTGTTACAACATGAGTACCGTATGATTTATTCATAAGTACATGTAACCTGTATCTCAATGCTGTGAGCTCTACCTGAACACATTTATGTGAAACCTTTATAGATTAAAGATGCAGATGTTACGCCCCTGATTCTACAAAGGGAATGAAAGAGTGAAACTTAATCAACCGTGGCGATAAGACTGCGTTAGACATGCCCGTTCTTATTACCAACATTTGGTGTTACGTCTGCACTTTCTCAGCAGAAACAGCTTCAACGCTAATTCGTTTTCAATTTCATAATCATGCGTATACTATTTAACAACGTTCTTAAGAAGTATTTACTGAAGGGAGGAGATAAAAAGCCCCCTGTTGTAGATTGTTCCGTTACAGACCGTGTAAGTCGAGTGTAAGGGGGATTAATAGGGAGCTTGAGGGGGCTCGACTGGATTTTTTACGGAGTATACCTCCCCACTTTCAGCGTGTACTACGTCGGCATCAACAAAGATATCGAAAAAACGTTACCACACCTGTATTATATAAAGACGAAAATTTGTTACGGTCCATGTTCTATTGACATCACAGTTACCATAGTAGTTTAACGACGCCATTATACTTTTTACTTCCCTTTGTGTTTCTCGGTAGCAAGAGTTTTTTCAAAAATCGCTTAAGGGAGCTTGTACCTCCCTTAATTGCCTCAATTATGACAAAGTTTGAAAATCAAAAACGCTTTACGAAGACAGGAACACATGACCACGAATCACCACGCGAGTTAGAGCGCCGTGAAAATGAGGCACAACGTATTTGACGAATTAAACGACGAAGTAATTAAGCGTTATAAAGTTTAAAGCAGACAGCATTCACTTTTTAAGTGACGTTTTCGTAGCCGTCGCCGTCCTCAGATCTTAAGAGCGGATGTCAGTAAATATCGACCAGAGGTCTACAAAAGTGAAAAATCGAAAATTCTCAAAAAAATTCACAAAGTAGCACTAGGTAAGCTATTAACATAAATGTAATTTTTACTTCGATCCGATAATTATTTTCCACGTACGGGGGGGTTATTGGTTGCGCGGCTCTCGGACCGGGTTTTCCAGGCCCGAGACCATGTGTCGCAAAAAAATCGTTTTAAAATTCAAATCCATTGTATGCGGACAACAAATAACTTATTCAGAAGAGTACTTAATTGCACACATTCTAAGTGGTGATTTACTCAGTTTGAACGAAAGTGTAATATTTTGGAGATTTTTCATTATTTTCAATATTTTGAACGTTTTCGTTCAATGAAAAAATGGCAAATTTCAAAGCCCAAAATCGTCGACTGGTACCTCGATTTCAGTAACGAGTCTTATACCACGTTAAAGAGCGTTATCTCTTCTTTCAAAATCTGTTTTCAAAACTACGGGCAACTTAAAAGAAAATGTTTGAGGCCAAAAAATACTAGTGGTACTTTTCTGAAATTTGAGCTTTCCAGACTCAGCGGGTCGATGCTAAAAACTCAGAAAAAAGCAATAAGAAATCAGTTTGAGCGACAGTGATTTAACGTTATCAGCTATCAGAACTAACACGTGTTTATCGAGCGATCTGATAAATTTAAAGCCGTTTTCCAACAAGAAAAGCAGAGTTTAGCCATCCTCTGCTACCAAACGCACGAGTGACGTAAGGTTGTCAAAGGGCAAAGCAAAATAATAAACTTCAAAAAGCACAACGTTTCTGCGTCCAGGAATTAGACTTTAGCGGACAGAACATTGCCTACGAGTGTATGTTTCATACCTTAGCATGGGTTTCCTAGATACTGGAAATAAAAAACATCAAGGACAGCATCGGCAAGAGCATCTTCGGCTTTTCTCAAACGACGGAGATTGCGTTACTTTTCACAGATTGACCGCTTACCACCTGTTTTTGGGCTCGCATTTCGACGGAACGCTTGCCTCGAGAGGCGCGCGGCACGGATCTGAACTCTTCTTCACGAGACATTGAGCTGAATTAATCGGAAATATGCCACCACCACCAACAACATGAGCTTTTTTCGGGTATTTGTCGTTTTTTATGCGAAAATTTCGGGTAAGCAGATTCTCGCAAAAACCATTTGGCTTAAACAATGTGTTTAAAAGCCCACCCTGGATTTGAAGCAAAAAGTATTTCCTCGAAATAAGCTAAAAATACCCAATTCACGCGGTGAAAAAATGGATGATTATGGAAGGATTATCGAATTCTTGCCTAACCTGAGGGATTTCCCGTGATGTAGGATTAGGGCTAGTAAAAAAAGCCCATACCCTGCTCCTGTCGTTTTGAATTTCCTCAAGGTCAAAAATTTCAGTAAGAACCGAAAACAACAGCTTAAAGGAGGTGCACACACCTTGAAGTAGCCAGGGAAAGGGGCTTCTGATTGAGCTAAACTGTCATTGATGTACGGTGCAATTAGGTAGACCTGTTACTATCCCCCGCGCAACCACATGGGGAGTACTTTGAAGCGGTCCTGTCGGGGACTTTCGGGGGTAGGGGGCGGGGCATATCGAAAATAACTTCTCTTTGTTTTTGTGAAGTACATCATTTCTCGCACGGTTGACAAGGTAACGGCGAACTCCGTACCTTTGGAAAGGCCCTTTTGAAACATGTCCTGGCAACATGCAGGGCATCACGAAATTAACCTCAACACCTTGAATCAACTCCATGAACAGGGAGAGGCGATAAGTCCCATCTTAAAAGATCCTTGATGTCTACACGTGAATAGTCTGTCCACAGTCATTTTTCATTTTGTATTTCAGGACCATTTGACAGCGTACGAGTGAACCGGAGTGCAGTAACGAGCCCTAACCCCACCCCATTGCCCTTGCGGTCAATAAATCATCGTGTTTTTCATTTTTTTTATGCGCGTTCGAGAACCTCCAAAGGGAATATTGAGGGTCTTTGTACAGTTTCCGTTTATTTTACCGACAAAAAAGAACAAAACAAAGCAAAAGACAAGTATACAGAAACACGCAGAAGCAATGTGGTGAGGAAGCCCAAAAAGAAACCATAAGGCTTAGGTCATCCCCTTTTCGTTCGTTTAGCGTCGAATAGGATTCCTGGTTTTGGGCGGGTCTGTCGGTGGGGTGAAAAAAAAAATCACAAGAAATCTGAGAACGGGAGGCCTGAAACACCAGCATCATTGCCGGAGAGACTGAAAACAACAAGACATGGTCACCAAATCGACACAAACTCAATATGGCGGAAAATGTGATGGTCAATTTCATAAAAAAAGGCCCAAAAAGGGTAAAAAGCAAAGAGGATACACCACCGAACGTTTTATGCCTCGAAATGATGTTATAATGCTAATTTTTTAGATTAAAAGAATTAATCTAAGTCCAAAAAAAAAATAAACCTTGTCGTTTCTTTTTCTTGCTTTTTTAAAAAATGCCAAAAAACTGGGTCTTTTGGACGACACTAAAAGAAGAAATTAAGCTCTCTTAAAGTATAAAAGTATAAGTTTACAAGGACAGGATCGAAAGTATGCTGAGTAACTAAACGATAAAAATTTGATCAAAATTAAATGAAAGGCTAAGAGCCTAAGCGCTGTCTGATAACGAAACGGTAAACAAGAAGTGCTGCCTCTCATTTAAAAGAGACGTGAAATACTGCCTGGACCACATCCTGAACTCCCGCGAAAACCGCAAGAGAGGAACGCTCAGGGCTAAGGAGACTAAACAGGGGCGTAGCTACTTGTACGCACGGTTTGCACTTGCGTACCCGAAAACGTTGAGGAAAAAAATAGAATGAAATAAACATAACTAAAAAAAACCAGTTTCCAGAGAAGCGACGACATTAACTGGAGAACCGAATCTTGGATGATTTATTTATATAGCAAGCTTGATGATGTAAAGCGTGAACGCGTTGTTTTCTCCACGACCTGTCTTCGGAGTAGACGAAGTAGGGCACAATCACGCCAATGTGTGGTGCTTTTGTCGGTCAAAAATAATGCGACAAAAAGGGGTAAAAAGAGTCATTTGTAAACTAAAGTCGGAGGTACTACAAGCTTGATTTTTAATAGCTGAATTAATGATAAATGGTTGACGTCAATGAACATAACAAGCCGACAGAATTAAAGAATTTTAGAGGTTGAGTCATTTCATAAACAGCAAAAATGCTTTTGCTTACAACCGTTAACCCCACCTTTGATAAAGGCACCTTAAAAAAATGTTGAGATTTGGGGTGGGGAGGGGGGGGGGGGGGGGGAAGAAGATGTAGAAAAAGTTGGGCGTACCTTTGGAAAAATCCTGACTACGCACCTGCTAAAGCCTGAAACTGAACAACAGGAGTCTTGACGAAACGTCCTCAGTTATCACCTGTCCGGGGTCGTACTTTCAAGGAAACGCTGATCAAGAATCACTCATGACGGAATGAAAACTCCGCGTAGCTTCCAGCGAAAAAAGGAGTGACGACAGTGGTAAGCAGTCGTTCGGTGAAATGTAACGCAATCTTTGCCGTTTACGATCTTTCGGCGCTTGGATTTGAAACGTTGTTGTTTGGTATGTTCTCCCGTGTGGATACTTGACATTTCCAATATATGGAAACACCATGCTAAGGTACGAACAACAGACATTCACAACATTGTTTTTTACGCTAAAATCTGATTTCATGGACGTAAAACGTTTTGAATTTTAAGACTTTTTAATATTAGTGCTTTGCCCTCCCTTTGACAACTTCACGTGACTGGTGCACTTGACAGGAGTTGACAGCTTAAATCTGCCTTTCTTGATAGCAAACGGCATTAATTTATATCAGATCGCTGTATAAACACGTCTTGGTTTCTGAAAGCTGATAACATGAAACCACTATTGCTCAAACTGATTTCTTACTGTATTTTTCCAAGTTTTTAGCATCGGCCCGCCGCGTCTGGAAAGCTCAAATTTCAGAAAAGTACTACTTGTATTTTTTGGCCTCAAACATTTTCTTTTAAGTTGCCCGTAGTTTTGAAAACAGATTTTGAAAGAAGAGATAACGCTCTTTAACGTGGTATAAGACTCGTTACTGAAATCGAGGTACCAGTCGACGATTTTGGGCTTTGAAATTTGCCATTTTTTCATTGAACGAAAACGTTCAAAATATTGAAAATAATGAAAAATCTCCAAAATATTACACTTTCGTTCAAACTGAGTAAATCACCACTTAGAATGTGCGCAATTAAGTAATCTTCTGAATAAGTTATTTGTTGTGCACATTACAATGGATTTGAATTTTAAAACGATTTTTTTGTGACACATGGTCTCGGGCCTGCAAAACCCGGTCCGAGAGCCGCAAAACCAATAACCCCCCCGTACGTGGAAAATAATTATCGGATCGAAGTAAAAATTACATTTATGTTAATAGCTTACCTAGTGCTACTTTGTGAATTTTTTTGAGAATTTTCGATTTTTCACTTTTGTAGACCTCTGGTCGATATTTACTGACATCCGCTCTTAAGGTGGTTCCACTGGATTTTTTAGGGAGTTACCTGCCCACTTTGAGCGTTTCTTTCGTCGGCATTAAAAAAGATATCCCAAAAGCGTTACCACCTCTGCACTAATTATAAAGATCGATGTTTTATTGACATCAGAATTATCATAGTAAAGTAACGAGGGGTGCCATTGCGCTTTTCCTTTCCTTTATGTATTTGTCGGTGCCAGGAGATTTTTTCAAAACTCGCTTAAGGGAACTTGTACCTCCCTTAGCTGCCTCAATTATGACAAAGTTTGAACAGCGTTGGTTAACGGTCATTAACCTGTTCATTAAACACAAAATTGTTCCTAATTTGGTCATCAGTAGCTGGTTATGGTGAATTATGCATGTGCTTTTAGCCAATCAGAATCGGGGAAATATTTTGAATGAATAATTAGATTTTAGTTTAACCATCAGGTATGTTCTACCCACGCGGTTACAGAGAGCCGAAATGCAGTGATTATTAGATTTTAGTGCAACCATCTGGTATGTTCTACCCACGAGGTTACAAAGAGTAAAGGCAGTTATTCTTAGATTTTAGGGTAACCATCAGGTTATTCTGCCCACGAGGTTGCAGAGAGCAAATGCAGTGACAATTATTAGATCTTAGTGCAACCATCAGGTAAAGTTTCTCCATAATAGAAGAGTTTTTTGCTAGGGTTAAACAAGTATGGCTTTCATGAGTTTCATCGATCAGTACAAAGGTGCAAGAAATTATCAGGTATAATTGTAGTATACATAAACGTTGTCATCTCACTCCTCGCACGTAGCCGGAATAATTAAGCCGCCAAGTAATAAAGCATGTAACGAACTGAAAAATCGTCCACAAATGGTCTCGATAAGTAAATTATACTTAAATTTGCGAAAGAAATTGTTGTTTGTCTCCGTGTTGCCCATCGAAAAAGCGAGGAGTCATCACATGACATTAGGCACAGAGGTAACACTCACCGGGTTTCACGAGTTCTGTGCTATTTTTCGCCGGGATACAAATTAAAAACTTCAATTCTTACCTTACAGTAGTCCGTTCTTTTACCTTGCATTCGACAACAAATTAAAGGCGAGCAAAGCAAATTCGGCACTCTTCTTTCAAAAGTAGCAAGCTGCATGAAGTAAAATCCACCGATATGCACTGCGTTCGCACTACGAATGTAAACAAATGTCGTGGGAAAAAAACGACGAGGAGGAAAAAAATGTGTATGTATTCCAGCTACCAAGCCGGCGTATCTCCGGAAGGTGGACTCGAAGTGGGACAAACCTTGTGAATTTTTTAGAAGCCCTTTGCGCGTAAACTAATTTATTCTGGCGCGAAATGAAGATTTACAATATGTGTACTGAAATCTAATACACGACAAGAAAATTTTCGCACCTTAGCTCATTTTTACAAGTACGCGAAGAAAGTGGTTTACCGTTTTACTGCTTGCGGCTCCTCGTATCAATAAACTTTTCAGATGACTTTAATTTTCTGTAACCCAATTTTAGCCAATTTTATTGACCATCCTAAGACCGTTATTTCGCTTTAAAGATAGAAAAAATACAGGTTTATTAATATTTAACTCTTTGAAACTAAAGAAATTAAATCGTAACTGAAAAAAAATAACCGATAGCCGTAAAAGAGCCAAAATTTTAGCCGATAACCGTAAAACCCACCACCCCATTGAGACCCTCTTACATGTACTTTACTTAGAGGTTTAGCCCAGTGCTACCTGTACACCTATTAATCAGTCGAGCTTGTTTTAGCAGATGCTCTTTATCACGGCGGCCATCTTGTTATGTACAGTAAGAGATGCAGGGGCACCCAATGGATCTGTTCCTCAAAATATCTGTTCTTCATGCAAATTTTTGCTGGCTGGGAGATGTGGAAGAAATAATAGTCCTTGGAAGGAAAGTGTTGCTGGGAAAAAGATAATTCAGGGTGTCAGAGGGGATTTGAAGTCTAGAATAGCTGCTACGGGTTACTTGTATGGGTTGCTTACCACTCAAGATCTGAATTGTGCCCTATGAAACTTCCCAGTAAGTCAGGTTGCAGGTTGTAAGGTTGCTGGCTGGGAACTCTTCCATCAGTCTTGCTGGGAGTGAGGAACAGATAATTTTTTTCCAGCAATCTCCCAAAATGCTTAAAATAGTCTCAGAAAACTTTATTCACGCTTTGTTGTTGTTTTTAGGTCTTTTTCTCAAAATTTCCCGTTGGGTGCCCCTGGAGATGCGCTGTGCGAAACCAGCGAATCACTTTAAGGCGTTACGTTTTTCAGAATGTTGTTGTAATTACTGGAACTCTACGGTTAAATAGATTCACTTTGTGGTATGTATTTAATTGATAGATTTTCCTAGTTGTTAAGATGTGACGTCGCGTTGCACTTTATAAATACTTGAGGTATCAATGATTTAACCTTCGACTACTACTGGAAGCAACTTCAACGTTGATTACTTTTATTAGAACAAGTGATTACTTTAGTGGTCGAAAAAAAATAACAATCTTAATGAGCAAAAACTTCGAGGCTTACTGGAAAACTAGGATCGTGGATCAGGGATCCAGGATCGGTTAAAAAAAACTTGAAATAAAATAAATTTTAAATAAATCATGCACTATGGTGATGGCATTGTGGGCCGCAGATAGATAAATTTCACATAATATAACCACGTTCGCTGTACTGAGCACTAAATTTAAGTAAACTACTCCAAGTCTGACTGAGTCAGTGACTGTTTTGACGAGAAAGTGAAATTTTCCTGGAAAATGAAACGCTTTATCCCGGTGGTACTGTGATAAAATGCATGCTGTGTACAGCTCTAAAAATTGTACTCTGAGATCGCGTAAACATGAGCTGTACCGAGATATCAAAAGCAGATAGTAAGCAGTTATGGAAAATGTAATTAATTTCGCGCCATTTTGATATCTTAGTATACGGATAACAAATTCAACAGGAATATGGGCAAAGTGAATTAACTGTCTGTTATATAAGGTTCTGATTATTCCTGTACTGAACAAAAACTGTACCGAGCCGTATTTTGGTCCGCTACATAGAAGCTATATATATATATATATATATATATATATATATATTTATATTGATAAAAATCATCGTTCAATGTTCTGAGTGTAAATTCCCTGAAAGAGTTCTCCTCATTGGAGTAATATCGATATGTAAAAGGTTTTCAAAGGTTTCACACCGGTGTGAAACTAAGCCAGATGTGCGGCCTGTCTCTGCTTGCAATTTTTACGTTTTGAATATTTACATTATGACATACAATACTCGTTTTGTATGCAAAACGAGAAAGTAGCGTAACAGCACCACCGCCTTTGACAACAAAACTTACCTCCCCATGGGCTCCAAGCAAGCGGGACCCACGCTACTAAGAGCGTTCTTGTTATACAAATAGCTCACAAACATGTCAAACGCACTCTCCTAGGCTACGATTACTCCTAGTTGTATAAACTACCAGGCACTATGAGAGGGTCCCCAAAAGATTTTTTCGGGATCCGGAATTTCCCTTATTTGAGGCTAAGGATTCGCGATCTAAAAGCAAAAAAAGGGGGGGGGGGGCGAGATTCGGAAATAAAAGTCTGATTGGGAGGTCAGGGATGCCAAAAATAGCCCTTGGGATCACGGGATTGCACGAAACTTTGGATCGGGATTGCAGGGTTGAAAAACCCTATTAATTATCGGGGACCCTCCATTAACAATGTGTTACCTGTTTAAGTAATTTACGTCTTTTTAAATTCGGTGTACGCATAACTAAATTGTATCAGCCACAGCGCAGAATCTTGCGACATATAAGAGCATAGGCGTCTCTGAAGTCACGAATTCTCGCGCTGTAGATAAGAAAGTTCATGGCTGAGTTTAACAAAGCTAAAGTTCTTATCCACATGTACGCTGTTCCGTACATTTTCACCAGAGATTTCCCGGCGGCAAAGAAAACAACGATCATGGGAAACCAACATGTTGTGAATACACCAATTACAATAGCCAGCGTGAATGCAAGCCGTCGCTCTGCATTGGTACTGGCGACAACCGGCGATGTTCCACCTTTTCGCTTCTGCTTCTTTCTCTTTGCGATTAAACATACCGAAATCGTGATCGACAAGTAGCATCCGATGACCAAAAAATAACTTATGGCAAATATCACAAGAACCATATAAGCTGTTTCTTTCAAGAAAGGCACACGAAGAGATGCAAACACTGTTGCTACACCCCAAACAACTATCAACATGACCTTCAAGCCATAGCTCTTCATTATGCGACCATGACGGAGAGGGAAAATAACGGCGAGAAAACGATCAACGCTGATTGCTGCTAGGTGCATGATAGAAGCTGAACACGAGAAGTTGGAAGATACAACATAGGCGAGCTCCATGTTTGATGCACAGTCGTTGAAAAACGTTTTCTTGGCCACAATTCCCACGACTAACGGCTCACACACCATGGTCACAATCAAATCAGCTATCGCCAAGCTAACAAGAAGATAGTTAGAGCATCTGCGTAGTCTAGGGCTTGTGTAAAGAACCGCGATGCAAACAAGGAAGTTACCAAAAGTACCCACCAAAGCTCCGACAGAATTGGCCGCCATTAGGCCAAAGCCATGAGCCAGTGGAAGGGAACAGTCTGAAGCAGAGAGATTGGTGATGTGTTCCAGCGAACTCGAACTGTTTTTCATGCTCGGTTGTTTAAAGGTAAAGAAGCTGTTGTGTTTTGGACAAATCCAAAATCCAAACGAGAATTGAACGAACGGCCACAATGTTCGTAAATACGCAAGGGTGACTAAAATATGCAGGACAGTTCCAGACAGAATGCCTATTCAGACAGGTATGTAAATTTGCGGTCCTGATTCTACAATGAAATGAAAGAATGAAGTTCTATCAACCGTGGCGATAAGACTGCGTTAGGCATTCCTGTTCCTATTACCAACATTTGAACCATGGAGTTACGTCTAAACGTTCTCAGCAGAAACCCAAACAAAGCCAAAAATAGGCTACCCCCGGGCGGGGTACGTGGGTTAATCCTTGTTGGGTATGTGCCGCTGGCCTCACAGAGCCCCTACCCAATTATAGTCTATTTTGTGGCCAATTACATACCCCATCTTAGTCACTTTTGGGCAAATATGTAATTTTCGCGATCCCAACTTAGTCACTTTCTATTTTCATGAATTGACCCATTTTTTAGATTGAATGAAGAACACTTCACTTTTCATCTGCAGCCACATTCTGGTACGTTTGCTAACCGTTAATATGAAGAACTGTCTTACAGTCCAAAAAATCCGAAACTGTGCGACCGAATTCTAGTACCATCGAAAATGCGACCCCATTATTTTCAATCCATTCGGTGTATTGGGCTCAAATTTTCAGAGATAACTGAAACTGTTATGCCCTTTCAATATTCTTAGTTTTTATTTTATTAGCGTCATCAGACAGTGATATCTAAAGCAGAAAGAATTAGAACCACATTTCCGGCAAAAGTCATTTTGTACCACGTGACCTAGTTTTATATGTCGTTTACTGTTCACTCAACCTGGTCCCCAGCGTCTTCTCGTTTTGGCGGCCGCCATATTGGAAAACGAGAACACCCTGGGGAGGAGGTTGCTGTTCATTTTATCTGCAAGTAGTATTTGAACTCGGGTTCATAAATGTTTAGGCGCAGTTTACATCTACTAATTACATTTCCTTATTAAAGGAAATCCGAGCTAACGTTATCTGGGAAAGATTATAAACTCGATCAAGACCAGTTCAAGTCTTTATTGTTCTTTGTTTCTCTTCGAGGCCGCTCGGAGGTAAATATTCTTGCATGGCTTATCACCTGCAACCTAGCCAATCAGCGCTCGCTGCACTCATCACTTGTGCAGTGTATGTACTAATAGTAGTCACTTAGTCACTATTAAAAAAGTCTGATATGTCGACTGATATTCACTTATGTGTAATTTGTTGCTTTTGAATTAATCACCTGTTGTATCTTTTTTTGTAATTCAATCCGGGGGGGCACTCAAGGAAAGTCTGGGTAGAGGTATGCCGCCGAGGCCTTCAATCCCTGACCCTGTTTAACACAAAAACTGCTCATTTCGCTATCCTTGTTTAAGACAGGAGACACTACTTTCTAACCCGATCTGATTTGTTTTCCATACAGAATTAAGTAATTTTTTGCACTAACATCGTGGAAATACATATTTAGGAAAAAAAATATTGGTATTGCAAATGTACCTAGACTGCTCATTGCAAGTCTTCACACTCTTTGAAAGACGTCCAGTCCAAAAAGACACCCTGTTCAAGACGCTTGATGGTGAAATTATATACCCTGTCAGGATCGGCTCCTGGCCGTATTACCGGGGTACGCTCAATGGTCGTGATGACAAATACACCATACGTCGCATTCACCGTACTGTTCTCATTTTGCAAATCAATAATGGCATTGTTATAATGCTTCGGATTCGAATCTATTTCAATAACAAATAGACATTTTTATTTTAATTTCACAAAACCAAATATATTAGATATGTTTTTTTTTTTACAATTCCAATATAATTCAATTGTTGTTCCATTTGTAAATTACTACAATATTAGTTTAGATAGCTCTTAGTGCACAGGCCGGAAGAGCCACATTGTGGATTCTGAATTAAAGTCATCATCATCATAATTATTATTATTATTATTATTATTATTATCATCAACCGGCTGATGTAGATATTGCGTACAGTAATTGATAGAATCATGGATAATAGAAAGACTGGATATAAAACTGGCTGACGTGATCTTTGTATTATCCATGATAAAATTACTTAAAATTTTGATTCATTACATAAAACTCTTTTCAAATTCGGCTATAAATGGCCAGAAGTGCATTTTAGTGTACAGTCATCTGAAAACAGTACAAGAATAAGCTCAGATTACTAGGCTGATAAATTTGACATGTGACGGGCATTTTAATTTTCAGAATTTCAAACGAGTGGCCGTATTAACGGGGTGAAATTGAAATAAATTCTACTGTTTGGGATATTGAATGTGGCCGTTGGCCGTATTAACAGGTGACCGCATTAACGGTTTTTTTTTTCATAAGGAAATGTATGGCCGGTTTTTCGGGCCGAAAAAAACTGGCCGCACTAACGAGGTGACCGTATTATCGAGCCGTAAGGTGGGGCTCCACTGTTACTCAACTACCCCCACCTTTCATTCCAGCCCTCCGATTCACTCCCCTTCTTCCGCGCGAGAACCATGACTTGCCAGAAGTTTGAGTATCCTAATCTTTCAAGACTCTTCTCCTAAATTCTTCCGGGTCAATTTCGTCACCATACGTAAACTATTTGACAACGCAAAAATAAAACACAAACAGCGATGATAAACATTGTGAGCTTTCTCATTTTATAAACTTGACATTTTGTATGCTTTTCCACATACGTTTTCAAAAGTGATCTTGTGGGCTTGTTTTTTTTTTTCGCTGTATCCTATAGATATGTATTTCACGTACCGTTCATCGAACTGTCATTAGCACTGAACATTTGGCTAAAACCAATGCGGGTTTCTTCGTTTTGTTGGGTAGTTTTGCCTGGGAAAAAAAGGTAAAGGCGCACACGAGCCAAAGGCCCAAAAGGCCGAAGCTTATCCCGGTTTCATTGGCATGAAGCACCTAGGAGTATTGGTACTCCCCCCCCCCCTGGACGGGATGCTAGTCCATCGCCGTTATGTCGCCGGTACCCATTTATACACCTGCGTGAAGAGAAACAAAGTGGAGTAAAGTTCCTTGTCTAAGGAGACAACACGAAGGGCGAGGCTTGAACCCCGGACCGCCAGATCAGGAGTGTGTCAACCGATTCGGCCACACACGTGGAAGGAAAGCAATGATTTGATACAGTTAAATCAAAAACATACTTTTTTAGATTTTCATTACTCAAAATAATCATCCTTTTCGAAATCTCAGGCTCGGGTTTATTCTTAATATTCTTAAAATTTTGCAGATTTCAGCCTCGATAAAAGAGTGTATCCACCAATTTCACCCAAACGTTCACCACACAAGCTGAATATTAAAAGGCTGACCAAAAAATAACTTTATTTTTGTCCAATGCCCGGAAATTTTAAAATCTCGCGCGCCGCAAAATTCATATAATGCTTATAGATTCACATGGTTAATAGTGTCAAGTAAACAAAAGAAGTGAACAAAACGAATGACTTCAAACCTTCGACGATCTTCAGTAATAAACTTCCAATTTATTAGTCTGAGACACCGGACGCGCAGGTAGATTGATCACTGAATTTATAAAGCATATAATTCTAAAGAAACTACACCCATGTGAACCTGCATTTGTGAATAGGGCAATGAATATTGTACTCGTTCTTAAGATCGTTGAGCTTGCCTTTGAAAAGAAAAATAGCCTGCGAAAACAGCCGACATTTCGCGACCCTACCACTGATTTCCCCGCAAAATGACGTCTGAGGAAAGATACCCAGATCTGAGTAGTGCTTCTGATTGGTTGAAAGTTTGTTTCAACCAATCAGTTGCAGGATCAGTTTGGAATAACTGTGCTTGTTTCTTGGACGTCATTTCGCGAGGAAACCAGGGGTGGAGTCGCGAAAAGGCGAATGTTTTTTCAGGCTATGAAAAAACTCCACCAGTCTATATAATGGAAACACTCAGCGATAAAACAGAACTGAAGTCTATCAGCAGTGATCATTGTCACGATGATCAATGTACCGTTAGTTGAGTTGTTTTCATATATTGATGCGATCACTGAACTTTTTTTCCTGATCGAAGCGATCGCATATAAAGCCTTATAAAGCTTTCAGGTAGACTGCAAAACAGTGGTTTTTGTTTTTCTCAAAATCGGTTTTGCGCGTTGGGCCTCACACGCCCTTTGACCACTAGCGCGAGCGTTCTTAACCTAGGAAAATATACAGGCTTTTTTGCAGTTTAGCCTTACGGCTGCTAACTGAAAGAGGCCGCTTCGTGTTTATATCTCAATATATATTTTCTCCTCAGCTTTTTTCTTGCTCCTGAAAGTTCGCCAAGATGAGTGTAAATGCTTTTTGCTAATTTGATACAACACAGTGGTTATTTACTAGGGTCAAGGCTACGAAAAGAAGATAAGATCAAAAATGTGACTTGAGTGCATCAGACCTTATCACAAACAGTTGTTAATTATAGATCAAGGTGACTGCATAGTAGTTTCTTTTCCAAAAGGGTAAACCAACTTGCCTCTATATTAAGCAGCCATTAGAAAATGACTGATAATGATTTTAATAACTGTAAAGTATTAATTTTTACTTGTTTTCCCTTAACAAACTCAGTGCATATTTGGCATTTGATGTAGCGTATCATATACAAGAGGGAGTGTTTCTTCATTCTCTGCTATGTCCAGAAAGATAAATTGTTAGTTAAATTAATGATAAACAGTGTTTTTTACAACCACCGTTGAAAGCAAGTCACAGCTTGTTTATCGCCGTCTATATGACGTCTTCTGAGAGCCGTTAATTTACAAGGGTGGAATAGGAAGGAAACAAAAACCGCTGTAAGTCTTTATACTCCATTCTTCATAAACAATAAAAACAATGAAATTACTAGAAACACCACTCTACTTATTTATTTTATTATTTTATTTTATTTTTTTCTGGGAGAGGATGCCCAAAGACCTCCAGATAAAAGACTCCTTACAGCCTTTGCCTCTTATTGCTGAGATTATTAAGCAGAAAAGGACAAACCTTCTAAACAAATTCTGATGGTCTAAGATACGGTAAAACAGAGAAAAAAGCGTGCAATTTGATTCGCAACATCACTGCAAAACGAGTTGCATAGCGATGTTGTGCGTTTTACCACCCACGAATCAAACCTCTCTTGTAACAAATCAGCTTTTACTTTTAGCGTAGCTTAGCGTGGAAAGAGCCGTGAAAGTTATGTTCCGTCACTCCATTCCTGTTTAATGTTGACAGGAACTTCTGATCTCTCAATAAAGCATACTTACAAGTACGCAAGTTAATATTGCGGGAAAACATGGCTTGCTCCCACAAAACGGCTGACTTAAAATTCATTATCTAGTTGTTTGCATCGTATTTTCATTTATACTACGAATATTACACTGTAAAATATCATTGATAACTTGACCATTCAAATATGCCAAAAACTATAATTCGTTTTTAGGTACTCAGTGTTCAACATTATACTTTTCAGAACCAAAGACTAAAATAAAAGACAAAACAAGATAACAACTGAGCCCGGTTCCTCGAAAGTTTAACCCAGGATTAAGCCAAATTTTAAGCAAGGTTTTCTTAAGAACATGTAACTCAAGCTGACAAAATACACTTGAGCCTTTGCTCTGAGATACAGTAATGATAACACAAAACATTACTCTAAGCAATGCATAGGAAGGTAAATACAAAAAATAGAACAAAATTTTAACCCTGGATTAGCGCTAATCGGCCTTTCAGGAACCGGGCTCCGATGTCTAAATGGATTAAACAACAATTAAGTAATAAACTAACTCATAAGCTTATATTTTTGTGAAGGAGTGTTTCAAAACTGTTCGATCGAGCGAATGTTTTTTTGGTTAGTTCGATTACCGAACTTTATAGAACTCAGTCGATGATTTAAAGGGGCAAAGTCGAATCCAAGACATTCTTGGATTCTGAATTCCACGCCGTGAGATTACAGATTCCAGGTATTGGATTCCAGTCTTTTTCAGTGGAACTTGGATTCTGGATTCCAATCGTTAGTAGGGTTCCGGATTCCTTGAGCTGTATTTCGGATTCCATAGCCCAGGATTCCAGATTTCACAAGCAAAAATTTCACAACTTCTGAAATACGGAATTCCCTTATATGGGGCAAGAGTATATCACGCTATTTCCTATCTTTTTAAGAAGCTAAATCTTGGCTTCACATCAATTGAATTCGTTAAATCATGGGCCAGTTTTGTTATTTACGACTTTGTTTAAGCATTGAAACTGTTTCCTGTCATCTGTTGCAACGGATGGCAAAGATGGACATAGATTGAAACTTGAAAAAGTTGAGCCACATTTTTCAAGTTTAATTGGCTTTGCCTGCAAAAATAACCAATGAAAGCAATTATTATGGCTAGTGCTCCCTGCTGAAATTTGTTGATATATTCTTCATAACTCTAATTAAAAGCAGCATTTTCTGTATGGGTTAAGGCACTTAGCAATGACTTTAGCACAAAATTGACCTAAAACAGCAATATCCTCGCGACAATTAGCCCCTTAAAGTTCCGTTGAAATTCGTTCGAGTCTGTTCGATTGAGTACGCCGAGCATAGTACCTGGATTGCTTCAAACCATGCGAAGAATCTTGCGGCATATAATGGCAAAGGCGTCTTTGAAGTCACGAATTCTAGCGCTGTAGATAAGAAAGTTCATAGCTGAATTTAACAAGGCCAAAGTTCTTATCCACATGTACGCTGTTCCGTACATTTTCACCAGAGATTTCCCGGCAGCAAAGAAAACAACGATCATGGGAAACCAACATGCTGTGAATACACCAATTACAATAGCCAGCGTGAAGGCAAACCGTCTCTCAACTTTGCTACTGACGGAAATTACTGTTCTGCCTTGCGTCGATGCCCGCTTCTTTCTCCTTCCGAGCAAAAATACCGAAATCGTGATGGACAAGTAGCATCCTATGATAAGGCAGTAGCTTCCGATAAACATCACGGCAACCATGTAAGCTGTTTCTTTCAAGAAAGGTACGCGAAGTGAGGCGAACACTGTTGATGCACCCCAAGCAGCTATCAACATGACCTTCAAGCCAGGGCTCTTCATTATGCGACCGTGACGCAGAGGGAAAATAACGGCGAGAAAGCGATCAATGCTGATTGCCGCTAGGTGCGCAACAGAAGCTGCACACGAGAAGTTAGAGGACACAACATAGGCGAGCTCCAGGGTTGGTGCACAGTCATTGAAAAACGTTTTCTTGGCCACAATTCCCACGACTAACGGCTCACACACTATGGTTACGATCAAATCAGCGATCGCTAAGCTAACAAGAAGATAGTTAGAGCATCTGCGACGTAGTCTAGGGCTTGTGTGAAGAACCGCGATGCAAACAAGGAAGTTACCAAAAGTACCCACCACAGCTCCGACAGAATTGGCCGCCATTAGGCCAATGCCATGAGCCAGTGGAAGGGAACAGTCTGAAGCAGAGAGATTGGTGATGTCTTCCAACGAATTGTTTTTCATGTTCGGTTGTTTAAAGGTAAAGAAGGTGTTGCGTTTTCGACAAATCCAAAATCCAAACGAGAATTGAATTAACGGCCACAATGTTTGTTAATACGCAAGGGTGACTAAAATATGCAGGGCAGTACCTAAGTTTCGTTTTCAGTAGTTCATAAGAATGTCTACTCAGACAGGTATGTAAATTTACGCTGACCCATTTACGTGACCATATTAAGCCTATAAAGAGAAAAACCACCCGCCAGTATAATTCCTAAGGAAATACTCTCAAATATATTTGGCTAGAACAATTAGGGACTGGAAGAGTTTTAGTGATTCATCTCTGATTGAATCTGAAACATATTATGGCTTCAAAAGAGCTGTAAGTAACAACACGAGTACAGTATATTTGATGGTGTTTATGATTTAATCATGAGTACATATAACCTGTATCTCAAGGGTGACTAAATATGCAGGACTGTTTCCAACTTCGCTTTCAGTAGTTCCTGAGAATGTCTATGCAGACACGCATGTAAATTTACGTTGACCCATTTATATTACCAGACCAAATTAAGCCCAAGGGAAGAATCACCCGCCAGTATAATCCTAATCAGGAAATACCTACAAGTTTAGCTTTTTTGCTAGGACAGTTAGGGATTGGAATAGATTAAGCGATTCTGTGATTGAATGTGAAACATATGATGGCTTCAAAACGAGCCATAAGTAATTTAATTATTTAATTTGTTACAACAAGAGTTTTTTTGATAGTGTTTATTTACTTTAATTCATTTATTTATGATTTATTTATAAGGAACCTGTTTGTCAATGCCGTGAGCTCTACCTGACCTCATCTATGGGAAACCTTTATAGATTAAAGATGTAGATGTTACGCCCCTGATTCTACAATGGAAATGAAAGAATGAAACTTTATCAACCGTGGCGATAAGACTGCGTAAGACAAAGACATGCCCGTTCTTATTACCAACATTTGAATCATGGTGTTGCGTCTCCACGTTCGCAGCAGCAACCTAAACAAAGCCAAAAATACGCTACCCCTCTTCGAAAGGTCAGAAATCGGCCAAGAGAAAATATATTGCTACACTGTGAGCACTCTCTTATTTTTCTTTGCAAAGTAACTGCACGCGAAACCTAAGCATGCGAGCGGCGAAGCCGCTTGCCGCGAGAAACGAGCGCGTAAGCCCGAGAAAAAAAACATAAGAGACCGCTGACTCAGTTTTGTTCTGTCTGGGGACAACGAAGCTGTCAAGGTAATTTAATTAATCAATTAAACCCGAGTAACTTGAAACGATTTATGAATAGAACGTAAACAACTTTCTTTTCAACACTTTCTTTAAATCCGGTAAGATTGCCTTGAATTCGTTTCCATTGAGGAAATTTACAGCAGTTTCCTCCTGTAAGATATCCATTACTGAGATTATTTTTATTGTTTGCAGTCTCACCATAGACCAGACAATGATCTGTCAACAGCTGTGCAATTGACCAATCGGTTACTCCGTTTCTGGGCTGACGGAGGGTTTGTTTACTACAAAAGAGTCAGCAGTCCGTCTTTTCTCGTCTCGTCTCAATCCCTAAATAATAACATTGTGGTTTGCAATCGCGCTGGATGAGATAAGAACTAGACGGATTTTAAGAGAAAAGGCGGATTGTGAGCAGTCTAATATATTACTATAAAAGGTAATTTTCGAAGTACGAAACTGATTCAGGTCACTCCTCAGGGCATGGAGTCACGTGGCGCGATGCAATCGTAAAGTGCAGTATCCTTTCCGGCAAAGGTGCGAGATCTGTAGAAAATTATAAATTATTCTAGCAGCCCTGTTTTACAGTTTCTCGAGTCTGTCGGAGAAGTGCATCAGTACTCCAGCTATTTCATACCACAATACTACTAACAAAATTAAAGTAATCGAGCACATGGCACATCATGAATAAAATGTTTGGTTAGAAACCATCTTCCAAGGCCGACTGAACATTTACATTTACATTTACACATTTACACATTTACACATTTACATTTACTGAAGTCTGCAGTTGTTTGGATAGTACCGAACAGCACGAATTGGAGAGCAAAGCAAGAAAATTAAAACGCTAGGGAAGCGGTGCGATTTTTTATTTTTTTGTGATACTGATATTTAAAACAAAATGACCAAGCTCTGATCTAAAAGCTATATTAGAAGCTTTCTTGTTTACCTCCAAAAAATACGCTTGCATGGCTTATCATCTGCAACCTACCAAATCAGCGCTCTCTAAAAGCACTCACTTGTGCAGTGTACGTACTAATAGTAGTCACTATTAACAAAGTCTGATATGTCGACTGGTATAGACTTATATGTTCCGGTTAAATGTCGATAACTTGACGTAATTTGTTCCTTTTGAATTAATTTCCGTTCATATATCTTCAGGTTTTTGTAATTTTTAAAATACACACGTACAACTGAACTACAAAATCGTATCAGTTGCAGCGAAGAATCTTGCGGCATATAAGAGCATAGGAGTGTCTGAAGTCACGAATTCTAGCGCTGTAGATAAGAAAGTTCATAGCTGAGTTTAACAAGGCTAAAGTTGTAGTCCACATGTACGCGGTTCCGTACAGTTTCACCAGAGATTTCCCGGCAACATAGCCAACAACAATGAAGGGAAACCAACATGCTGTGAATACACCAATTACAATAGCCAGCGTGAAGGCAAACCGTCGCTCAACTTTGCTCCTGATGGAAGTTAATGTTCTGCCTTGCTGTACGTGTCTCTTTTTCCTCCTGAGCAAAAATAACGAAATCGTGATGGACAAGTAGCATCCGATGATGAGGAAATAGTTTATGATAAACGTCACGACAACCACATAATTTGTTTCTTTCAGGAAAGGCACACGAAGAGATGCAAACACTGTTGATGTACCCCAAACAACTATCAGCATGACCTTCAAGCCATAGCTCTTCATTATGCGACCATGACGGAGAGGGAAAATAACGGCGAGAAAGCGATCAACGCTGATTGCCCCTAGGTGCAAAACAGAGGCTGCACACGAGAAGTTAGAAGATACAATATAGGCGAGCGTCAGGTTTGATGCACAGTCGTTGAAAAAGGTTTTCTTGGCCGCGATTCCCACGATTAACGGCTCACACACCATGGTCACGATCAAATCAGCGATCGCCAAGCTAACAAGAAGATAGTTTGAACATCTGCGTAGTCTAGGGCTTGTGTAAAGAACCGCGGTGCAAACAAGGAAGTTACCAAAAGTACCAACTACAGCTCCGACAGAATTAACCGCCATTAGGCTAATGCCATGAGCAAGTGGAAGGGAACAGTCTGAAGCAGAGAGATTGGTGACGTCTCCGAACAATTTGTTTCTCATGGTCAATTGTTTCCGTGTAAGGAAGCCAACTAGCAATTTTCCAGTATGTTTGTGGTTTCTCCAGTTGAACTCTATTCAGCGTTTGACAGTTTCTCAGTGTCGCCTTAACAGTTCCAAAAGAGCAAATTTACGATCCTGATTCTTGAAAGAAAATGAAATAACGAAGCTCTTGAATGCGTTTACTGTGTTCTTAAATAGAGGGAAAGCTAGACATGCCCGGAACCATTCCTAAGCTACTTATGTGTACTTATAACTTCAGTGTGTACTTATAACTTTGGAACCTCTTCCGGTTAGTGAGTCCCAGTTCTCGCACCTACTTATTTACTTTTGGGACGGACTGAATAGGTGTTCATACTGCACAACTACTACTGATTTTGTATAGTACAAAATGTAAATGTGACCCTCCATTTTCGAGATCGGCGCGGCGCGTCTTCGCTCCGTGACAGAAATCGCGCCGCCACAACCGTGCTTGTGTGTGAACAGGAGCCCTATCCGGTATGATTTTCATGGCGGCGCCAAAGCTATTAGGTAGAGTGGCTGTACTTGATCCGTCACACAGGCAACCCAATAATTTCTTCCAGATAATAGGTATTAATAAGCCAATACGATCACGATTTCTAGAAGAAAATGGGGAGATTACTGCCTAGTTGCAGTTCCATACAACATATAGTTCAACTTGAAGGCGACAAAATAAATAAACTTCTGAAAGTCAATACTCAATACACCAAAAGACTCCTAGAAACGTGAAAGACTTCTCTGCAATCTAAGAACATGCAAGAACAGTTTCATTTATTAATTTTCCAATATTTAATCATTAAAATAAACTCCGTTTTTCTTATGATTAACCAAAGATGGCTATACACCAAACAAGCTATTCAACGATATCTCCAAGGCATTATCTTTCTTTGCAAAAAAACACTGTCGTTCTCGTAGTATTTATGTCAGTTCTTCTGCGTACTTCATATTGCATGTTATCTTTCTTAAAAAAAAAAAAAAACATGTCAGCAAGCCTAACACAATTTTTGGACTCTTATATTTATTTCAATGACCTTCCGTTAAATAGTAAGGGCGTAGCCAGCTTTTCGATTAGTTGCAGGCCTGGCTGACTTTCATTTCCAAATATCCTGAAAATTGCACGCATGACTAGTACGTACTAACCTTACCAACACGTCGAGCTCTTAAGCTTTTCACCTCACTCCAACAACGCATAATTTATTACAAGCGGTAGACTGATCAAAGCAAAAATTTGTAGGCCCGGGCCTACAAGTCTATGGGATGGCCACGCCCCTGAGGCATGTTTTGATACTTTGACCCCAGGGCTTGAGCGGCCCACTACACTTGTACTCACTATCTGTCTTCTTATTGGCTAAGATCCTACAGCTAATTTTAGAAATCAGCGCAACCTTTAGATTAGTTAGTTATCGGCTATCAGATATTACTGACTAATCTGTAGGTTGCGCGCGCGATGCTAGATGAAATGATGAAAGGAGGTAAGTGAACTCAACAACCCCCACCTTTCATTCCAGTCCTCCGATTTCTTCACTCTCCGTCTTCCGCGCAAGAACCATGACTAGACTTGCCACAACTTTGAACTGATATCGTCATCTTCCAAGATGCTCTCCTGAATCCTTCCGGTTCAATGCTAATCCGTTTTCAATTTCATCATCATACGAAAACTATTTAACACCGTTCTTAAGAAGTAATTACTGTAGGGAGGAGCAAAAAGCCTCCTGTTGCAGATTGTTCCGTCACAAACCGTGTAAGGCGGATTAATGAGAGAAGGAAGGAAGGACGCAGCTCAGGGTGAAATTTAACAGCTGTAGATTGCAAACATTTTCCCCTTGAGTACTTAATTTCAGAGGTCATTTGGTACTCGCTGACGAATTAATGTATTGTTAACAATTATTCACGGTGGTGTATAGTTGTGGATGTTTAAGTGGATTATTAAATACCCACCAATTTGACCCAAACTTTCACCACACAAGATGAATAATTTAAAAGCTGACCTAAAAATAACTTTATTAGTCTGTCCCCTATTTTTCCATAAGATCGTCGAGATCGAGCGTTTTATGTTACGACTGCCATCTTGCAGGAGTGTAAAAAACTACTACTTGAAAATCAAGATGGCCGCCATAAATGGTAAGACGCGTTATATCTCGACGAAATCACGGAAAAATAGGGGACTGTGAATAGTCTATAACTTTATTTTGTCCAGTGCTAGGAAATTTTAAAATTTTGCACGCCGCAAAAAGCATATAATGCTCATAGAGTCACATGGTTAGTGTAGCAATCAAACGATGTGAACAAAACGAATGACTTCAAACTTTTTTCGACGTTCTTCAGCTGGATCTTCGGTAAAATGTTTTTATAATTAGATCCCACACAGTAGTTAACGAAAAAAGTCCAGTTCAAGACTAAAATGCTTTTTGTTTCTCTTCGACGCTGCTGGGAAATGAATAGTACTTACATGGCTAAGCACCTGCGACCTAGCAAATCACCGCGCGTTAAAATCACCATTCATTTTTGTGGTATGTACTAATAGTCACTATTAACAAAGTCTTAGGTACTGACGCCTCGGTTAAATATCGATAAATTGTTTCCGTTAAAACAATATCTCCTTTAAGTAATTTATCTCCTTTTATATTCAGTATACACATAACTAAATCGCATCAGCCACAGCGAAGAATCTTGCGGCATATAAGAGCATAGGAGTCTCTGAAGTCACGAATTCTAGCGCTGTAGATAAGAAAGTTCATAGCTGAATTCAACAAGGCCAAAGTTCTTATCCACATGTACGCTGTCCCGTACATTTTCACCAAAGATTTCCCGGCAACAAAGAAAACAACGATCATGGGAAACCAACATGCTGTGAATACACCAATTACAATAGCCAGAGTGGAGGCAAACCGTCTCTCAGCTTTGCTACTGACGGAAATTCTGACTGTTCTGCCTTGCCTTGATGCCTGCTTCCTTCTCCTCCTGAGCAAAAATACCGAAATCGTGATGGACAAGTAGCTTCCGATGACAAGGAAATAGCTTATGATAAACATCGCAACAACCATGTAAGCTGTTTCTTTCAGAAAAGGCACACGAAGAGATGCAAACACTGTTGCTACACCCCAAACAACTATCAACATGACCTTCAAGCCATGGGTCTTCATTATGCGACCATGACGGAGAGGGAAAATAACAGCGAGAAAGCGATCGACGCTGATTGCCGCTAGATGCATGACAGAAGCTGAACACGAGAAGTTAGAAGACACAACATAGGCGAGCTCCAGGTTTGATGCACAGTCGTTGAAAAACGTTTTCTTGGCCACAATTCCCACGACTAACGGCTCACACACCATGGTCACGATCAAATCAGCGATCGCCAAGCTTACAAGAAGATAGTTTGAACATCTGCGTAGTCTAGGGCTTGTGTACAGAACCGCGATGCAAACAAGGAAGTTACCAAAAGTACCCACCAAAGCTCCAACAGAATTGGCCGCCATTAGGCCAAAGCCATGAGCCAGTGGAAGGGAACAGTCTGAAGCAGAGAGATTGGTGATGTCTCCTAACGAATTGTTTCTCATGGTCAATTGTTTCAGCGTAAGGAAGTCAAAATTTGTTATTACCGAGCTCCAGTGATCTCTGTTTAGGTCTGTGACAGTTTCTCAGTGTCACCTTCAGTTGTGAAAGAGTAAATTTGCGTTCCTCATTCTTGAAAGATAGTGAAGTTATTTAACACTTGAACCGTAATCAACGTCAATCGCTGTGTCTGTGTTCTTAGAAAGCGAGGAAGTTAGACGTGCCAGTCCAATCCCAAGACATTAAATATGTACTTATAACCTTGGAATCTTGCCCGCTTATAAGACGTCATAAAGGCTAGGCTTACCAAAAATGCCGGAGAAGTGGTTTAAGAGACACAAGTTGTGTTTGCTTAGAGCTTAACTCCGGAAGAGCAAAAAAGAAACAATAAAATGTAAATGCCGTCGATGGTGTCTTGCCGGAAAAGCTTGTATTTTGTATTCCTCTAGAGCTTAAGCGAGCGGCTGTATTTGGTCTGTCACACAAGCAACTCAGTTTGTTTCAGATAGCTGCCAATGAGCCAATGAGATCACTGACAAATTCTAGAAGAAAATGGGATTATTCCTGTCTAGTTGATTCAATACAACATATATGTCATATTGAACTTGCAGCCGACAAAAAAAATAAACTTCTGAAAGTCAATACTCAATACACCGAAAGACTGCTAGAAACGTGAAAGACTTCTCTGCATGCAATCAGTCTCATATCAATACTTGTAAAAACATTTTAATTATTATTCTTCCAATCTTCATATTTTTAAAATAAACTCCGCTTAATTTCTTTTAATTAACCAAAGATACCTGTACACCAAATACGCTGTTCTAAGATAATTCCACGGCATTATTTTTCTTGGGAAAAGAAAACATGTCAGCGATCCTAAAACAATATTTGGACTCTTATTTTTCTAAAGTGGTCACGTCCTTTCAATTCTTGGAGATTAAACGCATTTTAATGGCCTTCTGTTTAACAATAGGGGCACGTTTTGACACTTTGACCCTTGAATGTTCACTGTTGTATTTTGCTAGAATGGAGGGATTCCAGCCCGGGGGGTTACTGCCATATATGGGCTATATAGGTATGTGCCGCTGTGAAGGGTATGGTTTTCAAGCAGTTCACTCTAGGATAGGGTATATAAATCAGAGCGTTTGAGTCTAGAATAGGGTATCATTTTTCAGCCAACTGATCAGTTGGTTGAAGATTTTATCTAGACCAGGGATTGTGGTATAGGTTTTGTTTTGGCTAGACTACTGTGCTAGTGACCTCAGTAGTTTCTGGAAAACAGCTACTTTAGGATAGCGGGGATTTGGGGAGTTTACTCTAGTATAGGGTAGCAAAATTCAGCTGAACTAGCTCTGGTATAGGTTAAGGGTTCCAGGGTCCCAGCGGCACATCCCTACCCAGAAATTCCTAAAGTACCCCCCCCCCCCCGGGATTCCAGAAACGTAAGCTGTTTGGAGCGTCTTCTTGAAAAACTATATCTTCTTTGTACGGTGTCATCGTTTATGTAGCCTCTCCTTCTTCAGATGACAAATGGGCATTGGGGTCAGAATCGGAGTCGAACATGGCTCCCTTTTGTCGAACTGTGTTTTTCATTCGTTTGTTATCGGCGGCAGCATTTCGCCAAACTAATTCTAGTTCCTTGTCAACGTTCCTGAAGATAGAAATAAACAATACCAATATCAGTCGAACTTTTATGGAAGTGTCAAATCAGCACCAAGCGGGAAGTCTTAGGGCCTGTTTACATGAGTGGGGGACCCCAGTCTAGTGGGGTAAGTTTCTTTTGTTTTCACGCTCTGGTGGACACAAAAATAAAATCGAACGGAAGTGAATAAAATCGAACGGATGCCCCAAACTCAAGTTGGACAACTCATGTTTATTACATGACGTAATACCCAAAGGCTTTGTATGAACAACAAAACGCATGAAAATTGTTCATAGAATTGACAATGAGCGTTTTTAAAATGATTTTTGGGATTTATTCTAATATATAAAAGGCATTACTGCCATAGGGAGTAAAACCTGGTCCAAGTAACTCAAATAAACGGATAAAATCAGAAAATATAGCGACCTGGTCAATGAAGCCCATACTGAAATCGGATCCGCAGCTCTGTCTTAGATAGCACTGTACTGAAACATAACATAACATTTCTGACTGTGTAATACTCCAAAACCGAAATTGCTAAAGAGAAAATCGAGTTTGTATGTGCTTCTTGGAAGCATGTAGCAGAATTTCTAAAATGAAAAGAACACCAACATTAGCACAAACCGGAAATTGTATAAGTTTGTTATGTTTGGTCGTGCGGGTCAGGTAGGTACTATACTATACAGTACTATATATATCCTGTCGTAGCGTAACAAGAGTTGCCCTCGCACTTGAAAAGAAGAAACTGAGTATCATTTGCCTCTAAATTGAACCAAATGAGCCTTTTATGGAAAGCTATGACGTCCTGCTATCCATACATTTCTTAGTAAAATGCCGTATTTACTCACAGAGGGGGGCATTGGGGTATATTAGAAACCGCAAAACCGAAGAAAAAATCATCCAAAACCGCAAAAGCGCAAAAAAATTCGGCCAAAACCGAAAACCGCATACAAAACCGTCAAAAACCGATACAATGGTGAAAAGTGGGGCATACAGAGCAAACTAAACTAACACTAATTTCACCAAAGTATTTGTGAATGTCATGGACTTTGTCTGAAGCCTTCGTATCTTTTTGTGTCTGCTTAAATCATAGGCTTTGTTTCTGCCGTTCTCTCGAGCCCAGACTTTGCGGCTCAATTTCCGAAAAGCGGCTAGTTATGGAGCCTAGTTAACTTAGGAGAATTTGCACACAAGTCCTCTTTAGAATTGCAATTTTGCAGTCGCAAAAAGCTATAGCTCTGGAAACTTCAATCGAAAATCTCTAATCGAACATTTCCATTTGCAGATAACTAACACCTGAAAGTTTGGAGACTCGATTGTCTAACATGCGATTGCACTGAGCTGAGTCGACACTGAGGAAGCTAACCGGTACAATTAGTTCCTTTTCAGTTTTACATGGCAGCAGGAACTTGCTCTAAGGTTTAATGTGGTAATAAATAGATACTCAAAAAAGAAGTCGATTATTGAACCCCACTGCCCTTCCGAAAACCAAAAACCACATCGGGTACCAAAACCGAAAAACCGCTAGTATTTTTCACGAAAACCGAAAACCAGATGCTAAAAAACGAAAAATCCGCAAACCGCAATGACCACCAAAACCGAAAAACCGAAGTCTTTTGCAACAAAAACCGAAAAACCGATCTAAAAAATAGCCAAAACCGCAAAACCGAAAATCCCAATGCCCCCCTCCTCACAGTTATGACACTATCGTTATTAACCCTTTAAACCCTGAGATCAAAATTTGAATTCTCATTTGTTGCCCCTATTCATTTTCTACAGAAGTAGTGGGGAGAAGTTGATAAAATATCAAGCAAATTCATCTTGTGCGATCATGTGTGTAATTCTCATGACCACTCTGTTTTACAAAGCATCGATATTACGAGGAGAAATTTGATGTTGATCACTCTTGGGGCTTAAAGGGTTAATAAAATCACTCATCTGTAGAGGTTTTTTCATGCTTAACCTTGTCTTGGCACACGTTAATAGTTTTGGGGTATATTTTATCGAAAACAAGCTGGATTTTGTTTCTTTTGACGATAAGAATCTTCAAAGACGACGTAAATTTGTTGGCGAACGTGACTTTCCCGCTGACTTTTCAATGTCCGAGTCACAGCAGGGACCCGGAATTTGTGACGTCGTTAGTGCAAAGCGCTGTTTTAGGGACGGACCATTAGAAAAGTTATGGGGGGAGAGGGGAATTTTCGAGCTGCAGGAATTTTTTTTCGTTATCAAATTCCTTGTATGAATTTTTTTCAGGCCCTTGCATGAATATTTCTTAGGGTTTATTGGCGTGCAAGAATTTTTTTTCATTTAATTTTCCCTTGCGCGAATTTTTTTTTTGGACTTCGCCCGCCCCCGCCCCCATAAGTTTTCTAATGGTCCGTCCCTTAAGGGCACATTTTGAGAAAAGTGTAAAAATCAGAGACAGCCAGTTGTACAAACCGGAAAAGAGTTGAGTATAGGGATTGGCACCGAAGTGCAGTGATGAGGGCTAAGTATTTTTTTAACGGTCAGCTTTCAAATAACGTAATGATCAATGGCATGTAAAGTTCGTTAAAAATAACACGTGACGGTAGATAAGCCCTTGACGATGTAGTGAATACGGATGTGGGTTAGAAATCAAGTGACGCGGGTTCAAGCTTTATCAAATTTGTTTTCTCCTTTCTTTTATTTCACAACCTTGGGGGAATAGCGGCAATGAGTCCTTATCATGGACTATCATTTCAATAGACGTTTTTCTTGTTTAACAAGACAGGGCGCGCGTGGCAAGCGGCAGGAAAGGAAGAAGAGGGCATTTGTAATCGTGCAGAAAATACACACGCGCGCGTCTGATTCACCTGTTCTTATCCCTTTGTAGCACCTACCCTTGCCTAGTCCCTGGGCATCATTATTCCGCGCGACCAAAGGGGCTGGGAAAACGACCTAAAGGGATTAGCCAAGTACCTACCGCAGGTTGGAGACAAAAAAATACAAGGAAAGTAGGCAAAAAAAACACTGAACGCAAGCCCGGCTCAAACACTTTTACATTAGAGATCCCGCAAGAAACAAGCAATGGTTTATTTAGGCGTCGTGTGGACCTGTAGACATAACGCACCTGTTCTCTCCAATCATCAGTTCCAGTTGGCGTTGTTTTTGTCTCACCAGACCGCGAAGATTATTGATTTCAGCCTCGTATTGTTCTTTGAGTTTATTAATCTCCTTTTCTTTCTCTCGCAGTCTTGTGGAACAAAAAAGAGAGTCAGCAATCAGACAGCCAACGAGCAAAGGCGACGGGCACACACGCGAGCGTCTAGCAAAGCCTTGGGGCACCGCTAGTTTTGCGCGCAACTCGCGCGTTAAAACACATCTCGCGCGCTTCGGTGGGCTTTCTGGGGAGTAACAATCAAGATGGCGTAGATGCCACTAACTTCAAGCAATAAACTCCAGTTTTGGTACAAGTTCTTTGTTTATTTTAAAATCTGTATAAACGTTACTCGCAGTGGCGACGGAAAGGGAATTTTGATCATATGTTAGCTACTAGTTGCGTTCAACTTTTCCTTTCAAGGAATTCAATATTAGCCTGGCGTCTGTGATTCCAAGTAGACCCGGAAAGTAGAAAACCGCGAGAATCGAGAACATACCTTCCTGTAACTAGAGCAACTTTGTCAGTGGCCTTTTTCCTGTATTCCTAATTGAAATAAGAAAAATCGTCGATTAGTTCCTGAGAATATTAACTCACGAGAGAAAAGCGGTTTCATGATATTGCTTTGCAGGACTTTTTTGAGTACATCCGCTAGATCAAACAAAGCCTGACAATTTCACTCGCTGTACCTGCCCTTTGAAATAGAGAAATCAGGGAATCCGGCCCTGTTTCTAATTTGAGATTTCGACAGTTGGATGTATCGATTTTCTTTTTCGAACTCTTCGTAAAAAGAAACAAAACCAAATCCTCGATTATATTTTTCAAACTTTTTGTTCTATTATTTTTGTTCCTACAATTTTCCCTTTGAGATTTGCATTCCGGAAACCTTCGGAGAAAATTTCGAACAACATTTGTTATCACTTCAAGATTTCCTGAACGTGATAAGAGACAAGTTACACGAAAAATGTCTCTGGTATTAATTGGCTTCATACTTTCAAAAGGAGGAGAACGTTAGTCTCCCGACGTCCTCATTAGAATCCCCCTGGGCGGGAGGAGGGTGGGAACTCGAGGGAAACTTTGGTAGAGGAGCGCCGACAAAAATATTTCATTTTGCGACCCCGATTTATTTTCGTTTCGCATAAAGAATAACTATTTTTGAAAACACTCCGGCACTGAAGTATTTTCTATTTTTTTTTTGAAAAACATTGTTGGTACCATTCACGTACCCCGCTCATCGCCAACCATCACGTTCTTTAACAGGCTTCCGGTTCAAAGCGACACCCTGTTCAAGACGCTAAATAGCGAAATTGTTCAAGATTCAATACCCTGAAAACCACACCCTGTTCAGCAGCACATAGCCGTCCATGCCAAATAAGGCAGTACCCCGTGGGTTAGAATCCTGGAACAGAAGAGTTAACAGAGCTTTCTTTGTATCCACCGATCGCGGCCTCGGGACACTAAATAAATAGACAAAATGCAGAACAAACAGTTTGAACACGAACACCATACCTGTAGTTTTTCTTCCAGTCCCTTGATGTTTTGAGTGCCAGCGAGAATTTTAGAGGCAGCTTTCTCTTGTTGCACCTTCTGTGTCTTGGCCTGCATGCGAAGAGCAAAACAAGATTTGTACAATAAGGTAGCGTTTAAATATAAGCCTAAATATGAACTTGGCAGTATTAACATAAAGGTAGAAGGGCCCAAATCAGAGTTTGTATAGAGTCGAAAATCCCAACTGATGGGCGGCGAACCAGATAGCTATTTACGAGCGTGGTCCAGGATTTGGACTCGGTACTACAATGTTAAAAAAAAAATAAATAAAATAAGCGCTAATTGCTCTTTACAACTGGAGCCGGAACAAAACAATTGAGTATTGTGTAAAAGACAATAAGGAGGGAAAGAGAGAAATCTCAACCTCACGCAACCGTATATCGTTTGGTACTGGCTATCCGAAATGCTATTAAAAGCTGCTTAAAATTAGCTTATACTCACAAATTGTACGTAATTGTCTCTCTCAGCGGCAGTTTTCTCGGCCTGTTAAGAGAAAATACAATATATATGCCCTCGAGATTACTGGAGCGACAACATCAAAGAGAGAATGAAAACATGAAAACGGCAGTTCGTACGCGGTTGAAAATCAGACCACACTTACAACAGTAAGAACTTGGGACAGAGTTTCTTGGGCCGTCAACTCCCTTTCTTGTATGTGCTCCAATTTGCGTTGAAGAAACATAAACTTGCGTTCAGATTTGCTGTAAAAAAAGGAAGAAATGATTAGTCAAGTGAGTTTCTACACTTTAAACACACTACAGTCTTTAAAGCAATTCGCCAGAATTGCTTAAAGACTGTAGACTTTAAAGACTTTTATTCTTCTGTAAGAATTCTGCTTACAGGAGAAGACGTCCATGAACCAAATTTCGTAACTCAATAAAAATCTCACTTCTCAACAGCTTTTATCCTTTTCACTTTTTTTATTTCCCCACCCCACCCTGCTCGCGCGCATTTTCCCGCCCTGGCAGCAGGCTGTATTTACATCAAGTTCTGATTGGTTCATTCGATTGTCTGTGCCTATTGTGATTGGCCAGAGTGATGAGCCGTTTACAGCCAATCAGTCAAGTGGTACAAACGCCTCAAGAGCTGGAAAGAAAGAAACGCAATGGTACGGCAAGACAAGTAAGACAAGAAAAGAATAGTTTCTTCCTTGTTTTTTGTTTTCTAACTTTTGGCATCGACCGGTTAGGGAGAATCCCTCGACACCAGTGGAAAGAGCGCCTTAAAATTAGTAAACTTGCCAAAATTGCAAAGCTGCGAAAATTTTCAGACGTCTGTATTGTGGGAGGGGGGGGGGCAAGTTTGTGCCCCCACCATACAGACGTCTGTAAAATTTCGCGACTCTGAGGAGCTATATCTTCGTTAGTTTTCAACAAATCACTTTTAAACTTAGCACTTTTATTAGCTCTTTCTTGCAGAGTTAACGAATTTTCCCTAACTGTCCATGTTAAAAGTTGAAAAAAAAAAAACACCGTGGAAGGGTCTTTTGAAACTTATCAAAATGATAACAATTTTAAATGGGCTCATTATTTGAAATTGGATATTACGCGGCTTTACTGGAAAGTGCTGTATGTATGCTAACAGCAACAGATGAACGAAAAAGTGTCACTTACTTTAATGACTTTTTATAAGCTTCAAGTTCTCTTTCTAGCTGGGCATTTCTCGCCTCTGCGTCTGCAAGGCACAATTCAAATTCGAATTACTTTGGGTGCTAAAAAGCAACTTACAACAATGTAAGAATGGCACAAAATAAAGGAGGAGTTACCTGCAAGTTTGATCGCTACATTGCTCTTTTCTTTTTGTATCGCCTGAAAATGACAAAACAAAATCAGAAAAAAGGATTATTAACACGACAACAAGTTTGTAAATGTTTCGAACCTGCTCTTCATGATTGGCTTAAAAAATGCCGGGCGCACCAATTTCTCAGCCCACTGGCAGGTTAAGGACTAAGCACTCCATGTGGTGTGTCTTTTGGGGAATTGGAACTCATATCAGAAATAACTAATAAACAGTAAAAACAAGTTGCAAACCTGCAGACGAGAATTGTATTCCTCTGATTCCAACTTTGTTTTAGCTTTCAAATCCTCAAGAACACTAAAACAAAATAGAAAGTAGTGTTTACTAAATACTGTATTCGTACATGTACACGTCGTTCAGGATCGACAAGGGTTTTTACACACATCAGTTTGAGAAAGTGCCACTAAAACAGATAAATTTGAATAGATAATACCTGACATCAGACTCTATTTTCAGCTCGTTTGACGTAAGGGAGAATGTATGATCGCCTCAGAAAACAGCCGACATTCGCGACCCCCCCCCTCCTTGGCATTTCGCGAGGAAACTAGAGATGGTGCAGTGAAATGTTGGCTGTTTCTCAGGCTAAATGTACGAGAGCTGCTAAAATTCAGCCTGATCTAAGGTTAAATAGATGAGGCTGTTTGAAGCTACTTTACAAACGAAATTTGAATGTGTTTGTTGCGTTCGAGCTCTTGATTAGCATTGTAGGTGCAAATGCTGCACTAAAACTGCACAGAAACCGCGCTGAAATTAAAATAGCACGACTAAAATCAACGATTAGCGACCCGCTCCACGCGTACGGCACTCCTTAGAACAGACACGACTGCGAGCTGAATCACAAGATCTAGGAGGCATTCACACGTTACAATTTTAGCCACCCCAACTCTTTCTGTGAGACAATGACCTGGTCGCAGTTGTTCAAATGTTGGATAGCGTTATCCACCGGATAAATCACTATGCGTTAGGGAAACCATCTCAGTCTCTCATCCGGTGGATAGCGTTATCCATGAGGCCCTGGGTGTTGAAAAGTTGGATAATGGCGCTATCAACCGGATAAATCGCTATCCAGTGGATAAGAATGCGACTTTATCCAGGGATAGCGCTATCCGCCTTTTGAACAACTGCAGCCAGATAAATCATTACCAGTGGATAGGTGTTAGGGAAACCAATTGCGTTATCCAATGGATAGTCACTTATCCGGTGGATAGTGATATCCACCTTTTGAACAGCTAGCGGGGCTTAGTGTCTATCGGGTTGCTTACCTACGACAGTCATCCATTATTTTCAGGTGTTCCTGAACCGAAATCTTGTATTCTTGTTCAGAAACAATAGCCTCATGCTGTCGTAATAGGTTGCTATGGGTACGGCGCAAGTCATCTACTTCCGTCTCCAGGCGACGTCGGGTTGACTCTTGACTTGAAATCCGCTTCGATAACTTGGATACTAACGTGAATGTAATGAAAAGGGAAAACATCAGAATTACTAGAGCCCAAGAGTACCACTTCTCAGCAAACACTAAAATGTGAACACAGAGTCTTGCTTATGAGAAAGCTTTCCCTACTCTATATTCCTCGAGTTACCTGGCATTAAGACCCATCCAACTCTTGGCGATCGTGCATTCCAGTCAGCAGCACCTTATCTCTGGAATGTATTACCTTCGGCAATTCGTTCCCTCCAATCAATCATAAGAGTGAGCGGAGTGTAGCCTGCTAGGAATGTATCTTGTCCCTTCGTCTCATTGCTTTCTACTGTGAGATTATTTTCAGGGCAAAAGAGATGCTTTTTCTAGGCTATGCAATCAAGAAGACACGCCTGCCCTTTCACTAATCTCAGATAACCTCGATCCCTTTTTCTGCCCGAATTCCTTTGCCGAACTCCTTCTCGTCTCTATCATTACTGTTATATTAATCATCTTAAGAACACATCACCACCTTCATCGTTATAACCATCATGGTTGTAACGAGCAAGGCTGGCGCAGTGATGAGAGCACTCGCCTCCCACCAATGTGGCCCGGGTTCAAATCCCAGCGTCGAAGCCATATGTGGGTTGAGTTTGGTTTTGGTTCTCTCCCTTGCTCCGATCGTTTTTCTCCGGGTACTCCCCTCTCATTGCAAACCAACACTTTCAAATTCCAATTCGATCTGGAACGCACGCACACGTTTCAACGAGTTCTTATGAACTCCTTAGTGCTCCGTGGGTCACCAAATTACAATTACAATTACAATTGCAATGGTAATCTGTATCAACAACAACAGCAAACTCGCTCCGCAGACAGCGCCTCCCATTGGCCTGTTAGTATTACAGACAGTCAGAATCGGAGTTCGACAAAACGCTGGTTGATGGCAATCATTAAACCAACCTTCCTCTCCATGAATTCGCTGCATTTCCTTCATTTTTTTATCTTGTATCTCTTGCTGTTCCATCAACAAAGCATTCTCCTCAACTAAGAGTTTTGCCTGCTCCTGGAGTTGTTGCCTGTATACGAGAAAAACAAATAGTTCAAAACTGCTGTCACAACTCACAGCACTGAAGTTATACCATACAACCACTGGAAGTTTCTTCCATCAATCAGTGCTACTAGGTGCGTCAACTCTTTTCAAGACTCTCCTTCAACCCCCCTCCATTCGCAGTTTTTTTGCTGTTGCAGTGTGTTTTCCCGTTTGGTCGAAAATGTGTGAATGTCCGCATTACATAGGTACCCTCAGTTAGTGAGGTATGGAATGGGATTGTATGAAGTTTGGTGTCTTTGCGACCACGTAAACTGTGCGTAGTGCAGAGACAGTGTTCTCCTTAATGTTTGGCTCAGCAGGTAAGGGACCATTCATGGCCGGTAAGGCCAAAAATGCCCCAAAGGCGCACGTTCCTGGGGGCGGGAAGAGGTCCATATTATAGGCGTGTCCTTACGGGTAGGTTAGACCCTGTAAACGTTACGTTTTTGGGACCATATGAACCGACTATAATAAGGTTGTGTCCATAATATAAAAATGGCCTATTACGGGGAAGGTTCGAACTTGTGAAGTTTTACGTCTGTGAACCGTCTGTAAGACAAGTGAAGCTAGGTGCCTTGAGGTGACATCTGTCAGTAAAAGAAAGGTTTCCGTAAGGAAAGGTTCGACTGTGTGAATAATAATATTAAAGAGGTGTCCGCTTTTCGGTTTAAGCAATTGGTTCAGTTAAGCTTGCTTTAGACACAGTATTAAACATTTAAACATACCATTCGTCAGGGCGAAGGGCATCAGGACTAGATTTGCTAACACTCTGTAAACGACAACAAAGAAAACTTTTTATAAATACGAATTCAAATGAAACTCAAATCGAATTTGTTGCTGCAACAAGTCAAACCACCTACCATGTGAAGTTGCTGATTTTCCTTCACGACTTCCATGACTCGAGTTTTAAACGCGTTTAACTCTTCCTTCAAAAAATGAGAAATGGAAAATGAGCTACTGTACGGCAAAGGGAAAACTCTCGTCAATATTAGCCCAGTCGCAAATGAAAAAAGTCTACAGAAACGGCCTGGCCTCGCACGCAGAACTTCTAAGGGCTTCGACAGGCGTTCTTCCCCCACGTGAATTCAAGTCGCACTCGTTTTCTTTTGGGCAAGAGAAGATTGCATACAAAAAGGCATGAAGAAGTGCATACATACATACATACATAGATAAAATGAAATGACGAAATTCAAATTGATCATCAACATACATACATACATACATACATACATACATACACTTTATTACGACTCCTCTATACGGGGCTATTCTGTCGTAATATACAATAATAACAAATATACAATAATAAAATTACAATGGGGCAAAAATATTTACATCTGTTACAACAAGAAATATTTACACGAGTTTGTATACAGTCATAAAAATTTGGTCCAATCTAAGAAGAGTTTGCAAGAAAGTGGACGGCGACTTTCCTTTTAAAACTTGAGATATTGTTTAAGTTCCGAATGTTTCTGTTTTCTGTTTTTTGCCCCATGAGGGGTCTCTTTAAAAGACCCCCTTAAAGATGAAAGGACGGAAGATTGCGCTTAGTCCGGATCATAATGAGATGCAATTCGTGATGTGCAATGCACGCGTTAGAAATAAAAAAAAAACGACAGGTTAAACAGTGACAAGGCTAGGTAAAATACGGACGGGAAATTAGTACACAGCTAAATCTCCGACGAAAAGGCGCGCGCAGACGTCAATTTTGAAGGGTAATATATTTTTTAGTACTACAAAAAACCTACAATCGACTGCACTCTAGAATTATCTCCTCAGCCCAAAGATGTAAACCGGTACAACCCCAAGGAAAAAAATGAAGTAACTGTATAAAGAATTTTATTGCCACGAAACTTACATCGTAAGTTCTGATCAGCTGCTCTTTTTCCTTCAGTCGATCATCATACGCCAAGAAAAGAGGCGCCAAAAACTTCGTGTTGACCTGAAAGTGTAATAATTTTAAGTTCAAATACCCAGAATATTGACACAAGCCTTCTTTATAAGCCTTCTGGCAAGGAAAGAAATAGTAATACAAGATACAAAGACACGGCTTCATAAACCTCTTTCAACCTGCCAATGGTATGGGATTGGATACGTTGTAGTTAATTTTTTAGACTGCGAGCAGTCTCTTATTGGTTTGCAATCCCGCTAGCTGAGAACTAGACGGATTTTAAGAGAAAAGGCGGACTGCAAGCAGTCTATTAATTTTTTATCTTACGTAATTTTTGTTTTTTTTTTGTTTTTGGATAAGTTAATGTACGCCAAGAGAGCTTTATCCCCTCTTGTATATGCTAACAAAGTTGAAACGAAGGAAAAATAAAAATTACCTGAGATAAAAAATTAACTACAACACATACATGATCAGTATTCTCATAGTAAATGATACCTTGTTGAAAGGGTCAGCAACTCTTTTATACAACTATCTAGAAGTTTCACTAAAACTACCATTTATTAAAAGTTTGCATTAATTTAGGTCTCTGGGAAACTGACCACCTACCCCTCCCTAAGCCATCATTTTGCCTTAAGTGAGAATCAAGTGTTAATGTTACCTTAGGGGAGGGGTAGGTTGTTAGTTTCCCAGGAACCTAAATTGATCGCAAAGTTTTACTATATTTTTATTCATATCATCGTGTATTGGGACCAAAACAATGCCGCGTCAAATCTAAAGAGTTGAGCTGGATACCCACCAGCCATGGGGCAGCCTCCTTCTTGAAAGGCAATGCCATACCTTCTACCTCCTGCAAAAGGAAAGCAAATTATTTTACCGTAAATCCTCTATAAAAGCGCCCCGCGCCCTTTTACAGAAAGAACTTATGGAGTTCCGTATTATACCGTATTTATTCGAATAAGCGCCTAACCTTGAATTAGCGCCCACCTCGAATAAGCGCCCATCCTAAAGGCAGAAAAAGTAAATAAGCGCCCAGCCTCGAACAAGCGCCCACCCCTTTCTCCCAATCAAACTCAAATAAGCACTCACCCCCACCCGACCCACTTGAGTGAATAAATTCAAATAAGAGACCTCCGCGAGGACGGAGTTTCCTTCAGAGTATTTTACAGAAACCTTGCTTTGTTACTTCTTCGCGTTTTGTTATTAGCATTTATTGTTTTGTTGCAAAATAAACATACTTCACTTGCTGAAAATGATGAAAATTTAATACGCGCCCAGCCTCGCTCACCTCGAATAAGCACCCACTCTCAAGGTCCAAAAATTTAATAAGCGCCCAGGGCGGTTAATCGAAAATACGGTAAGTGCACCTCCTTCCACCTGCCACGTTTGCTTTCTCTGCTACTGTATTTTGCTAAATTAAATGAGCTCCGTGCCCTCTATTTAGCTTCTTCACCTCCAGTAATGCCCGATACCCCTTCCTCAATGTTGCTTACCGTAAATCCTCTATTAAGGGGACTTATTTATTTCAAGCCCATTTGAGAGGTGGAAGGGGGAGGCTGAATAGATAAGGGGCATATTTGAGAGGGGGCTGACTTAATTTAGAAAAGACGATGGTATCAGTTCTCCATAAAGAACTAGAATACAAAGTGGAAAAGCTTAAGTACAAGAAGTTGGAGGTCATACAGCCGAGGATCAAAAACAAATCCAAACTTCCAGTTGGTGAATAAACCATCCCAGATCAGTCCACACCACGTTTAACAGTCGTGATTGATTAATACAGTCTACCATTTATTAGAAAACAATAATTAGGAAAGGGGAGGGTGGGGGCTTAATAGATGGGGGCTATTAACTCTCTTCCCCTGAAAAGGGGCTTATTAGAGAGGGGGGAGCTCAATAGAGGATTTACGGTATAAGCTTTGACAATTCGATACGTCAAAATACGTTACAAAATTCAAGTGTAAATCTCCTCATTCACGGAATATGACAATATAAGTAGTCCATGGCCCAGGTGTACGAAGGTTGATTAGCGTTAACCCCGGGTTAAATTTTAACCCGGGTTTCTTTTTCTTTTGTTCAAAAGCATTTTATCGGACATTTTTCCCCATTCTTTTTAGATCATCCAATCACCAAATTGCAGACCAAAGGGAACTGAACTGAGTTTGCTTTGCAAGCGTTTATATCTGTATTCAAATTTCGCACTAACCCTGGGTCTTAACCCGGAACGGTTCTATAAGATTTGACTTTTACCTCGTATGAAACAGGCCGATATTTCGCTTGATATCTGCTCAGTTCCACATTAAGTCGATGAACTGCAAAGCAATAAACAAACAACTGATGATAGCCTGTTTATAGACGTTACGTGTACCAACATACTTCTTCTGAATGTTAATTACGCCAGTCTAATGCAAAGCCTGACGTTAATCTAGAGAGTTTTAATTCTAGACGGCAGTGAAAGAATTAACAAAAAAAGACCCAACCTGTGTCTCGCAGAACCTTTTGCTCTTGATGCAAATCTTTGATTTGTTTTTGTAACACTACTGATGATACACCTAAGTAAGAGAGACAAAATGCAGATTTTTCGATCACCATTTCAACTTGAGCTAAAGAAACTACAATACAGTAAACTAGCAATTAAGCCGCTAAGTTGGAGTCCAGGAGCATGATTCAATTCCAAATGAGGACTGTTACAGTTAAACCAGGTCAAGCGTTCCCGTCGCTAACAAACTAATGAATTCATTAATGGAAAAATGATTTCGTTTGTTGATTCTATAATCCATTCATAAAATGAATAATCCAACAGTTAAATTGTACCTCGATTCAATAATTAAAGGTTGACTTGGTTTATGAACAAAATCTACCTGTTCTTTATTCTTGTCTGTTGTGTTCAACCGTATTTGCTTCCCCTTTCCTGCCGTTTACGATTGCGTTTCTCATTGCACTTTAATCAAAATAACAGCTAGAATAGACAGACCGCAAACGCAAAGAAACTGACAAAGGCCGAGGATCGAAATCCACCAAAAAATGACCTCAGTTTGACCGTCGTTTTTTAAGAGGTCAGGCCAGGTCTGTTGCACTGATTACTGACAGCAAACTGGCGTACAGGTAACAGTTTGTTTGGGTTTGAACTTCAGAACTCGCCGCCAGCACTCGACTCTCAGAAAAAAAAAAGGAAAAAACAAAATTTGAGGTCAACTTGTGGAAAAGCAAAAAAACACTAATCGAATCAACATTCGATTATGGAATCGACGCTAAATATGAATATTGGATTGTTCAGTTTATGAATGGATTATTGAATCAACAAACGAAATCATTTTTCCATGAATGAATTCATTAGTTCGTTAGCGACGGGAACGCTTGACCTGGTTTGACTGTAACGACATAAATGTAATGGTACTCGTCTGGTAAGAGTGATTCAGGCGTCGAGAAGGGGAGGTTCGATGAAGTTATTGGCCTCTTGAGCCGCGGGTTCCGTGTGAATTACTGAATGGGGGGGGGGGGTCACACTCCCTTATTTGACCTACATGAGTATATGCCCCTAAACAAAGTCTGTTTTCAGGGTCTTAATTATGCCTTAAACAAGGTATACAGTATAATTTGTTAGCCGTGTTCAAAGTGTCTTTATGGATTGGAATCCTTGAAGAGAGTATGGAGACGGTTGGCGATGAGGGGTCTATATGTGTGTTAGCGACAATTTTTTTCCCCAAAAAGTCTAATTCCATGTTAGTTGTAAAATTACTTACTTCTGCATACAAAACGAAAAGTGTTATTTCAACGATAGCGAGACCTCAATAAAGACAATCAGGCTGAGCCAGACTTTTAATGCTCCCACCCCCTCACACTCCGCTTTGACACTCGCGTCAGTTCGTGCGTTCACAAATAAAAATACAAGAAAGAATTGAGGGCTAGGCATGGTACGTTATTCTCTGCAGGGATGGTAGAGAGAGGGAAATACGCGAGTGCGCGTGAAAATCGACAATTCTCTCTTCCTTCTGCGTGTTACCTTCCCCGCATCGGGTAGCCATTCCCACGCGCGCGTATTTCGCTCTCCACTGTCCCTAAAGAAAAAAAAAAAGGAACTTCTTGTAGTGTATGTGAACAGCCACGTCGACAGTCTCTAGCCGGCTCACCTTTTTCATCCACTCCGTCGATAAAATTAAACTTTTCTTTCTGACAAGACATTATTTTATGGAGCTTATGCACAAGAAACTGAAATTATTCACCCGTCTGTGGAAGTTTCATCGGCAACATCAGCTAGGCGGCATTAAGAAAACTAAACCCTGACTAGTTAATCAACTCACCAGTTCCTTTCTGAAGAGACAACGACAACTGCTTTAGCGCCTTGTTTTCCTCTTGCAATGAAGTGTTTAGTTCCATTAAAGCCGATTTCTCTGATTCCAGTAATTCAATTCGTCCTCTAGAAAGTCGAAAAACCTCATCATCCCTGACAACTTGTACGGCTTCGGTCACTGCTGCGTTCGTTTTGGTTATAACCGTTTCAGAGTCAACAGTTCTTTCACGAGTTTTTCGAGACTTTTTGTGAGATTTCTCATGCCTTTTTCTATCCCTCAAGGGACTTTGTGAAGTTCCATCTCTGGAGTTCAAATCGGTATTATTAGGATTCAATTGTCTACTCCTTCTTTCATCTCGCAATGAGCTCTCTGTTTTACTTATATAGCTCTCCCCTGGATCAACATCAGTATACGACACATGTTGTCTACTTCGCTTGCGTTCTCCTTCAACTTCATCATGATACGCGCCCGCGCCTCTGTTTTTCTGTCCGTACATTAATTCGTCATCATTCCCATTCGAATATTCATCAGATATTTTCCGCTGCTGTCTTCTTTCTCTCTTGTCTCTCTTGTCCAACCTCTCCTCATCATAACTCGAAGTTCTTAAATTTCCTCGATCGTCTATCCTATTCAATCTTTGTCCATCGTATCTCGGAGGCTTAACTCCACTCTTCTGTTCTCTTTCATCTAACCTCTCTTTGCTGCCCGCACCTGCAGTTTCTCCAGTCACAGAACTTAACTTTTTCCGCCATTGTGCCTCAGCTTCCGCGTGTTTTCTCGTCATCTCTTCAAGTTCTTGCTCCAGCTGTCTGCTCCTCGCCTCTTGTTCCTTAATCCTAGCCTGAAGCATTTCTTGGTTTTGCTCCAACGCCTAATAAACAAAAAGAAAACCAATAACTGACAAAAGCAAACTTATAGTAGTAACAGTTTATCGGTTGTCTCCATCAAAATGGCTTTTCAGCCAACTTGACAGGTGTAAATTGAAAAAGCATAATAGCCAATACTAATATGAACTTTGTTAAAAATTTAGAAAAAACAACGCATCGAGAAACAGCTTCTTCTCTTCAACCTTTATACATCGCGTGAAGTTGTCTATACCTCCTTGAGATTCTGGAAGATCATTACCCCGTGTGACCCCAGAGGCTTGAAATACAAATGACCGCTAACCAGCAGCTGATCTAAAGAGAGGTATGTCTTCTGTTTCTTTATTAATAACTGACAATACCAAAGTATCTAAGTACACAAGTGCTAACTGAACGGCCCACCGTGCGTTTTTCTACACCGCAGTGATTAGGGGATTACCGGTCATCTCGCCTCCAAGTCACTTCGCTCCGGTTACCTACTCCCCTATTCTAGAACGAGGAATATTATATTTGAAGCGCGCTTGTTTTGGTTTACGGCTTAAAAAACGGGGAAATTACAAGTCATTTGAAGCGCGCTTGTTTTGCTTTATGGCTTATAGAACGAGGAATATTACAATTGAAGCGCGCTAAATGACTCAAAAATAGGGGGCTAGGTATAAAAATCGGGGCGAAATGACCAGTTACTGATTAAGACATCCATCAGGTGTCCGGGACGTAAGGGGTCTGAACTCTATCGATGAGGTATGCCCGTCTTTGCGCCTACCTCGTAACGTACCAAGGCACTTATATACGTAAGGGAACATTCATGTAGGGGTAGAGTGTACATTCTATAACTCAAAATGAGGTCGTAGTCGCCTTTTAAGAAGAGAAGCTTATTGAGTAGGAAATTGAAATGGTTAGCTTACATTTACTTTTGAGTTTGTCACTATACTTATGACCCCGATTGTTCAAATGTTGGATAGTGCTATCCACTAAATAAATATCTACTTAGCGGATAAGTGTTATATATTATTTATTGGCTAGGAATTTATTCAGTGGATAGCGTTATCCACCCTTTGAACAACTGCGGCATAAGGGTTATTTCGCAGGGCAGGCTCAAAGGGAGCGAAAAGGTAAGCGTGCAAAGAAAGTCGTGTCCGATAGCCGGGGGCTAATGGATTTTGCTATTAGGCTAGTGATTTTTGTTCTTAACTTGCCTCACAGGCAGTGCTGTTTTTGGGGGAAATTCAAATTACAGAAGGATTGTAATCAATCCTGCTAAACAAAAAGGGTATTGGGGCCAGTTGAAATGACTTGTGGGGTAGTACATGCTAGCTACAGCTTGCCCGAATGGCAGGCTGTAAAACTGCCTTTTTTGTACCCTGAAGGTGAACATACATTTTATTCAACAGGAACAAACCTTTCTTTCATGTGTAAAGCTGTTACTCTGCTCCTCAAGCCTTTGCTGTTGAAGCATTTGCAGCCTCTGAAGTTCATTATCCTGACGTCTCTGTTCATTCAGGAGACTAACAATCTGCTGCTCCTGCTGTTTTATCTCAGCCAGATCCTCCCCTGCTGGGTTCAGAAGGCTGACACTTGACTGTAACTCCCTCTGTTGTTCCTCTGAGAATGAATGAGTGAAGAGAATTTGATAGAAAGGTTACTTATTGTACACTGTAATAAATCAATACATACAACAAAGGAAATATCTCATACATGATTCTGACTGCACATACTGATTCACTTTTTTTTAATTTCAAATATTTACAGTGCCTCTGAGCACACCATAAGCAAAGCTTTTGAGGTCGAATCAGAACTGCAAAGAATTAAAATTAATAATCTTGACATGCTGATTAAAATTTATACAAAAATCAACACAAAAAAGGGGTCACTGAACTCGTTTTTGAGTTATACATTTAAGAGCTTGAAACTGAAATCAAGGGTGTTTTAGCAGGTTATACTCAGGGTTTTCATTAAAAGTTCCAGTAGCAGAAGAGAGGTGTAACATCACAGGAGAATAATTATTTTGAAAGACGCTCCACGTCTGAATAAAAAATAGTCATAGGCTACCGAACGTTAGAAAGAGAATTCTGCGTAATAAAAGGAGAAATTATACCCCGATCTCTGACACCTAATGAGCACCCTGTAAGTAACTTTTAAATGAAAAATAATCGGAAATTTAATTGCACGATATGACATTCAAGGCATCGACTAAGGAAAAAAGAAGGAAGGATTCATTTGATCGGTCAATGATAAACGCTTTCAACCGTTGTTAAACCCATTCTACAGTCCAGGGAAATGAAAGTAACAGAGCATGTTACCTAAATGTTTGATCTGATCACATAGCCTTTCTTGCTGTTTAAGTGCTTGCGCTTGCTGACTCTGAGATTGTTGTAATTGTTCTTGCTGCCGCTGGAGAAATTCCTGCTGTTGTCGAACAAGCTCCCTCTGAAGTTTTAAGTCTGACTCACTGACAGCTGGTCCTCTTGGTGACAAATCAGCAGACTTACAACAGAATTTAAAAACATTTTTTTAACACATTTACAGAGTACTGAAAGTGTGAAGTACAGGAAGAAAGAAAGCTGGAATAAGGTTAATAAAGGAATGCACTACAGTGGCAGCCATGATCTACAGACTCTTTTTTACAGAAACTTGATTATCAGCTGCTTAATAATGCAATCCATTGACAGAGATTGAGTGATGTATGGGAGAAATGTGACAGAATAAAGACGCCCTGTTAAGGTAAAATTCCAACAAAGAACTTGGACTTGAAACAGCAACATAGACTAGATGAAATGACAAATAACATAAAGTTACCTGTTAAATACCGACAGGGACAAGGCCTACTCATCAAAATGCAAAATGACTGTATTTGAAATTCTGATTAGGGGCATACATGTATGTACCCCCCACCCCACACCCCAGAGGGCCTCAATGAAGTACAGCCCAAGGACTAGCAAAATCTGTTTCTATTATTTTAATATCAGGCCCTTCTTAGCTGTTCAAAGAAATAAAAAAGCAGATGGCACTATGAATCCAATGAATAAATCACTATTCGGGAACCAGGCCCCAGTTGTTCAAACGTTGGATAGCGCTATCCACCGCATAAATCACTATCCAGGGGATAAGGGTTAGGAAAACTAGTTGTACTATCCACTGGATAGAGATTTGTCCAAAGGATAGCACTACCCAGCCTTTGAACAACAAAGGCCAGATTGTGTCATCTGCTAGAAAGAGGTTGATAACCATTATTTAAACTTTGAGCATCTAGGATGAGAAGCATAGATCTTGTATCAGCATATACTGCTCATGTTTTAATCTACTATACATGCATGTACATGTAGTTCATTAGTCACCCAGGGTCTTTGTTCAAAGAAAGATTGATTGAAGATTGACCACTGAAAGAAAATTCTTTACTAGTACATTAATTACTCTTTACTTCAGGTAATTTACCTCATTAAATTCCTGCTGCATTTTTTCCAAAGCCTTGAGCTGTTCTTGTAGCTTCCATTGTTGTCTTATGACCTCCTGCTGTTGCTGCTGCTGAATCCTTTGCTGTTCTAACTGTTCTTGATACAGAGCACGCTGCTGCTCTATCAGTGCCTCCAACTGCCTCTGTCTTTCGGCAAAAGAGGTTTCACTTGCTTGTCTGGCCTCTTCTAATCTTCTCATTAAAACTGGATCAAGATGGCCTTGGTCCACTTTGCTTCTTGGCTGAGAAGGACTTGCATCTCTTCTTGCCTTCACTGGGAGATGAGCAGTTGACTCCACTTGTCTATGCTTTTCTTGTTCATTCAGTAGCTGAACAAAGGATGACACCTTGTTAGCCTTTCTTGCCTGTGCCTTAAATCCTGACTGACCACCAACTTTTCCACTCCGTACCTCTTCATTTGGTGACTGCAGCTGTTCCTGGTGTTCTACATTATTAAGACCTGAAAATGTGTGACTAAGATCCAGACTTGCTTCCTCAATCCTTGCCTCAGAACGGGGTATAGTGCTCTCTGTCAAGGTATCATTGAACTGTTCCCTTTCGAATGTCGTCCTTCCATTAAAATCCATAGTATTCTTGGGGACAGCAGGTGACATATAACTATCCTCATCCTCCGAAAGATCACTAAGCGCAAGTTTTTCTGACACTCCCTCAAACCCGAGTCTCTCTACAACTTTCAGAGCTCTCCTCTGCTCATCTGTAAGTCTGCTGTCTGGTACATCTGTGGGTATTGGAGGAAGGGGCTGGCCTGGACCATCCAGCTCATCTTGTGCAGGAGTCCTTCCTTTCTTTCTACTACTACGTTTAGGAGCTTCAGGGGTTGAATTGCCTAAGTAAGGTGGGATGGGTGGAGGACCTTCCCCATCTTCCTTATCAACTTCTTCAGTGACTTCTTGAATCGTACCAGGTGTTTGCCTCTTCAGGCTGGATTTCTTTGTAGATGTTTTCATCCCATCAACTGCATCCTTTTCATCATGCTTTACTTTTTTGCTTCCTTTCCTGCTACGGCTTCTTGTCCCTGGTCCACTTGTCACGCTCTCTTCATCTTGACTAGTGACATCTGTCAGTTCATCACTACTGCTGTACTCACTCAGTGACTCTCTCTGTTGCATATAAATGAAAATGATCTTAATCAATAACGCAGTGTTCTATATGCCATGTCTGACTCGTCCCCAGTCATCTCTTGATATTTATTTTTATAAGAAGTCATGGAATATTTATAGGAGACTGAGAGATGACTTTGGGGGAAGAGTCAGATACCATGTATAGTGTACAACACATGAGCAGTTGCAAAAACATAATGGCTATCATATATGTAGCATTAAGATGACTGGACTGAATGTCAGACATTAGTAGTTACATAAAATCAAACAATCAAATCACTCCACAACTTTATTAACAGGTCGGAAGGTCTAGCACACCACAAATTAGTGGTACACTTCACTAATCAGGGTCTAACATTAAGATTTATGCAGCTGGGCCTACCAGTGTCATTTAGATTTAATGTTGACATCTATTTACCATAATATACAGTCTGTACTAAGTAAAAAGCACGCACTTTGTGAAAGCCCTCAGGTTTTGTCAAGTATATTTTTTTTGGAGAGAGAGAGAGAGCCAGATTTCAAAAATAAGGAAACTTTGTTGCTCAAACTTCTGGCAGGTTGTTAAGAGGTGTCAACTTACAAAAACTATAATGAGCAAAATGGTCGTCACGATTGCATGAACAAAACCTTGAAAACACTTCTACAGGTATAAAAATTAGTGCAGGGCCAGAGGTGAAAGGTGTCACACCTAAATTAGTAGGAATAGAAGGCAAACTAGTGCTACATGTACTGAGCATTTTATGAATTAGCTAAAATGTAGAGACAGCTTGTGGGAACAACTATTTTCAGATATGACGTCACACGAAGGTACATGTAGCTAATTAAAGGTTGATCAACGTAAGGATATAAGCATGCTTTACAGGTAATACCTCTTCCTTTTCTTTTTCGTCAGCTTGTTTCGATCCACTTTTCTTTTTCTTATCCACTCGAGAATATACTGGCTCGACAACTTCACCCTTCTCGTGGTCCAAAATATGATAAAAGGGTTGCCGCACTGAGCTTCCATTCCCCGTTGCCCCTTCCACGTTCAGATCCTCTTTGGCTGCACCAGAGGAACTCTCTCTTCTGGACATTCTGAAGTACTTTGTAGTCTTGTCAAAAGATTCTCCATCTCGGACACATTCATACGCACTTTCGTAAACTCGTTCACCATCAGCAGTTTCTGAATTCTCGTCACTTTGATTTGACGGCAGTTCAGCCCGTGGACGTTTAGCCGTTGCTTCCTTCGAAAAATCCCCCAGAACCACCCTTCCGACATTACCTGCTTCACTTATAGCATGAGCGATCGGCGATGGTGTGCGTCTTGGCCATGTTTGAGCTAAATTTGTCGGAGTTCTTGGTACAGCAGCAAAAATGGCACTTGGAATAAGCTGCGACGCGATACGGCGCTGAAAGTATAACATTTAATATTTGACCATCTATTATCACTTCTACTCTAAAAATAAACTAAAGAGTATCTTGTTTACCAAACCAGATGGGCTATCTTTTGATCGCTTTTTTTGTTTCTTGCCAGGCGCCATTTTGAAATTCCAGAGTGTTTACAGCAACAGTACGCTTGCGCTAGCGTCGTCTATTCAAATTTTGTTGCCATAGAACCGCTTGCATTTTTTGATTACCCAGCTGATTTTCCTTCTTGTCATCTTTAGTTCCTTTCGCTTTCTTTCTTTACTCATCTCTTCTCTCTTTTATTCATAAAGACTATCTGTTATTTAAAAAAAACGTGTTTTTTTCCATCCCTCCATTCATTCTTTCATTTGGTTTTTTTTTTCCGGAAAAAATGGCTTGAGCCCAGGTTCTTAGCATCCAGCGTCAAAAATTTTGTCATGCGCGGCAGGGCAGAAAAACCGCTGATTGGTTAAAAAAAATTCCACCGAGAGCATGCGCTTGCGCCTTCCGCTGACCATATGCAGATGCAGTTGGTTCAAAAGAATGAGCGATCCGAAGGAGCTACAATCGAGCGATCATGAATGTGGGATGTTTGGCCGAAAATTGAAGAGCACTGTGTTGAAATACATCACTGAAAGGCCTTGTACATAATAGTATCATTTTGTTTTGCTTCGCTTTGGAGGTAATATTTGTGATTGTATTACGTTAAACGGACGGAGTCGTGCCAAGCAAACCATGTCCTTTTTTCGATCAACTTTCTTCTACGCGATTGTTTGGTTTTCCTGCAACAAGTCTCGGTGATCCGATAGTTACACAACTGAGTTTAAAGGTAAGGCATTTTTCGTCTTTGACATAGTGAACGTTTTTAGAGTTAATGAGTTAACCGAAATTTGCATTGGATGCTATTTATCCTCCACGAGATTGCGGCGGTGCAGCGTGCGCTGCGTGCAGGCGTATAATGCGGCACCTAACAGTTGGCGAAGCTATTGCTAAAAGTAACCAAACTTCCGAACAAAATAGCACTTCATAGCACCCTGAGTTACAAGTTTAATGGGCTTTTGATTCTAGGTTATATATATCCACACTGTTCAATGAATTCCTTGGTGTGAATTGTTTACATTGTTCCGCTCGAAGCGAAATTATTTCTTTTTACGCGTTGTCCAATTTGTAATTTCTTTAGATCAATTTATACCAACTGATTTATACAGTTAATAACTTTGTTTTTGGGCTGATATAGATTTGGAATGATTTTACTGTACAAAATTAGGTTGTTTTAAGAAAGGTGAAATTTTAAGGATGAATTTTTAAGCTTACATGTATCCAGAATTAGCAGAGTTATACACAATCCTTGCCCATATACAATGTGATATTTTGAAGTGAAAATCTTATTATATTTACATGTTCAAAATAACATCGAATATTTTGAAGACACTACCTTACTCCTGTACATCACATTGTCCCTTATTAGTATTCTCGACAGGACGATCACTATATTTTTCTCACTGGCATAGTACTTGGGCTGAGTTAATCTTTTATCATGCAAAGTTCTCATATAATATTGTATGGACCAAACTCCAAATGCAAGCACAAGATCACTTGTTTGTTATCTAGCTAGTTGCATTGTTTTGAGATACCTATAGCAAGACAAAGGCAACAACAAAGGCATTGTTTAAGGTTTCTCTCCTGTGTTATCATGCCTATTCCTATTCAAGGTATTTTACATGAAACAAAGGGCTTGTATTATTTGTTTGGATTTGCTTCTAAAAAGGAAATGATTATTGTTTTGTTATTCTCATTTCAGGGAAACACTTAACTATTTACCCCTTTGTGGGTGTTCTGATGCTGAGTCAAGCCCCCTTTGCTCTTACAGACCCTGCCACATGTGACACACACCATACTAGTATTAACAATTACTGCTTCTCCAGTAGAGTCGGTGGAGTTTACATTCTTGGAATTTTTGTTGCTGTACTTAAATAAAGCACTTTGTGGAAGATGCAAAAGGGATTGTTTTGCTTTAATGAGTATCTTATTTGCTAGTGTATCAGGTTTGCCATCATCATCATCACTGTCATCATCATCTGAGTTGTCACTTCCATCATCATCATCGTCGTCATCATGATTATCATTGCTTCCGTCAGTTTCATCATTTCCTGCCAGTAAACCTTTGTTGAAACTGTCTGCAAGTTCTTGGATTCTTAAAGGAAGTTGCTCAGAGCAAATGGGGCACTTGACACCATACAGTATCGAGTAGTTATGATCGTTACAGTTTGAGGAACTACCAAGACAACTTTTGTGAAATGTGTGGCCACAGTTGAAGCGCTGAACTGCAAGTAGGAGATTGTCATCTGCTCTGCAATCTGCTGCATCACAAGCCAACAGTGGGTCTAGTTCTTGACCCTTCCAGGCATACCCTAAGGGGAAGCTTCCTGTTGTAGTACCATGTTGGCCAATCACCAGCTAAGAGCAGTAGGTTCTTTTCCATGTATTCGCTTAGTGATCGGCAAACTTCATTGAGGTGCTGCATTGCTTGTCTATAATTTGCCATGCTCTTAAGGGACTGTTCAAATTCGTCAACTAGCCAAGTGTTGGACAGCAAATCCAAGTCATGTCTGGCCTCATCTGTATACACTCTACAAGGTATTTGTTATTGTTTGTATCATGAAACATTGTACATGCTCTTTTTTGGCACCCTTATGCAACATTTTTTGAAAGTCAATTATCCATTCAATATTAAATTTTCCATTTCAAATTCCTACATTGTGAGACAATGCAAAGTGGTATGTGGAAAAAATTTATGATGGGCTGTATGTAAAACTAGTTATTGACATTGGGAGTTGCCAATTTCATTTTTGAGGGGGAATTTATAATAAAGATATTTATGGTGCCAGTTAATCGTAAAATTTCTGTGGCATTGATTTATGCCAAAGTGTTAAATGGCATGAAAAGTTTGGATGAAATACATTACTAAAATCTATTACTTAAAAATGTTATATTATTCTTTTTGTACAAGCTTGTGGCACCCAATGACTATTAGACCACTACCTTGACTTTTAGGTTTCTGATTTGTTGTAAATCATACCTTAATTCAACTAAACTTTTGTTTACATTTGTCAGGTCAAACTGGCTGAAATCAGCAGGTAGAGAGTCTAAATAACTGAATGTAAAATAATTTGACAAATGCTCTTGGAACAACTCGTTCACTTTGTTGGCATCAATTCCTCCCCGGCAGTTAACAATTGCACCCCCAGCAATTCGGACAGGTACAACCCGGTGGACATTTCTTGTTGTTGGCATTGCCGGTATAGATTCTTGGTGATCCACTACTCCAGTACACATGTGAAGGCACTTGCTCAGCTGGCTCTGTTTGGGGTCTTTTATAGACTGGACACAATGAAAATCATCTATAATGAGCAGGAGGAAGTTGTTGTTCTGTTGGGGAGGAAATTTTTAACTGGATCAGTGTACATCTATGGACTGATAAATTAAAGTCATTTTACTTAAACCGTGAAACAGGTAGAAGAATACTATGCACTATTATGTATTAATTCCATTGTCTTCTTTTGTTTACCTCTTGCTATTTTGCACTGTTTGTTACTATCTGTTTCACGGTTCAAATAAAATCACTCTATTTTTGTTGTTTTTGTCTCCTTGTTACAAGGTCCTTGTGCCTTCTATTTAGCCCCTGCTTCTTTACATCCAGCCACCTCACCTTGTGTCAACTTATTGTTTTGGCCAGGGTGTTGTGCAGTGGCAGATGTTTAATAATGAATTGTTTCAGTACGTAAATACATGTACCTTTATGGCACTCTCAACGATCGCTTGTGTCTTGTGAATGCTTTTTCCAGACAATCCTTTTTTATGATTTAGCACACTTCTCGGGTGAGTGCTAAACCCTAGAAGTGAGCCAGCTGTCAAAGCATCATCACTGGCACCATGAAAGGACTAGTGCAACCCACAGTCTTGTTGTAAGGGATTGTTTTTCTGTTGAAAACAAACAAGCAACACTTGTGTCTATTACACACCATGGTGTTTAATTTAATTTAAGTGTCTTTCTAAAGTATGGTTCCTGTTATTATTATTATTATTACTATTATTATTATTATCATTATCATTACCATTATCATTATTAGTATTATTATTTATTTTATTTTTTATTATTATTATACACACTTGGTTTCTAAAGTAAGACAGCTGATGAAGCAGTGCCACAACTCGCAGTCTCAGTATTTCATGTCTTTTCTTAGAAAGCTGTTGTTTTTCATCATTCTTGACTAAACACAAGGCACGGTCGAACAATCCAGGGGTGCACTTGTTGGCAAATTTTTCCATGTCTGCAGGGTCGTATAGCCGCTGCCCTCCATCCTTGTAATGTTTAGTGAGACACTTGTGGAACGTTTTGAACTGCTCATCAAAAGTTGGCTCTGAAAATTAATAAAAAAATGTTTCTAATAAAGGTTGAAACTAGTCGTCTTTGTTTTGAATGTGTGGAAATTAAGAGTACGTCAATACAATACCTTCTAGCTTGTTGCATCTTTCTTTTAATGCTGCATTTTTTCGCTGTAATTTGGTGATTAATTGTTTTGCCTCTGCTAGCTCATTAACACTCTGCAAAGGGGCGGTCTGAGAGGTTCCATCCGTCCAAGTTATTTTCTTTTCTGGGGTAGTACATAGGACTGAAGTAGTACATTTTGTCTACAAATGTATAGGGCAAAATTTAATGCAAAATATGAATATTTTCTAAAACAAAACTAAGAATGTATGATCTGTTTCTCTACATTTTGACTGTTGTTTGAGTGTCAAAGAAACATACCTTTCTCGTAGTAGGGGGTTTGTAGAGAGCGTGGTTGGTAAATATGGGAGCTTCGTCCACGAGATTTAGGTGGCCTTGGCAAAGAAATGCACCTCCTTGGTAGTTTTCAAGGTTTGCTGCTACGGTGAGAATCCTCTGCGGACATGGCAGTAAATTGTTCCTTTGCGTGCAGGCATTTTCACTCGGAAAACAGCACCTCCTTTGACTTTCCACTTGCAATTTTTTTGCATGACCAAAACATAGCCAAACCGGCCTAGAGTAGCCACGTAGAACAGCCTCTTTTCCCGAATAATAATTAGTGGCACCCCAACACTTTTCTGACACGCTTCTTAATCTGGAGCCACGTTCACAAACATTTACCATTATTTAATCAACTTTGGACTGAAGTTTCCGCCGGAAACGCACGCAAAAAGACCGGAACTTGACAGTGAAGCGGTCGGTAACTATTTTTTGACATTTTTGAAGCGGGCAAAAACGAGCGGCGTCTCCAGTTTCATTCATAATTTCGCGCGCAAAGCATGAGGCCGGGAAGCTTGCGCCTACCAGTCAGTAAGTGGACACAAGCCGTAGGCGAAGAGTTTGGTGTTTACAAATCTTTTCCTTTTTTTACTTGTCCAAGGAAATATATTTTAGCGCTGCTATCTACCTTCTAAGTGCAAGAGGATCGATCCTTTTAGAGGTAAGATTGGCTGTACATTTGTGGAAGCTTCTCACCGGCGATTACGTTCGAGTGTTGTCGCCGCGAGGGGGATGCAAAAATAAAAAACAGCAAGCCACAGAAAAACGTACTGTTCGATTTTTTTACGTATTTCTTATTTTGCTTCTTGGCTTTTAGCCTTTTGGTTGGTCGAATTTTGAACCTTAAATACTCCACCTGTTTCTTATTTTTGCAAATTTTTTAAGAGCTATTGGTCGTATAATGTCTCTATGAACTACACACTGTTCCGCGCATTTTCATCAAGCACCCTAAAGTGTATTCCTGATCTGATTTCGCTACAACTCTTGACATCACCTGTCAATGAGTTCTAGTTTGGGGATATCAGATCATAATCACCGAACTAGTCATGGTTAACTATGTATTTGGCTTCAAACTTTGCTCTCTTTTGTAGACTACTTGATTCGTTGTAAGATGGTCAGCGGAGAGCACAAACTGCCGCGAAAACGGCAACCAATCAGCCGTTTTTCTGCCCTGCCGTCATGCGCCCTTCTAACTGAGGCACATGGAGCAAAAGCGAGACAAGATGGCGGGTTTTACGAAAATTGTACATTAAGATTTCTCGTTTCTGTGGATATTTTTCATCAACCAAAGTTAGTTTCAAGAGAAAGCAGCATAGTTTAGTGATTCCTTCCTTCGAAATGTCGTCGAGTTTTGGAGACCTGCTCCAGCAGGCCGAACAGTTGACAGCGGACATGGACAGTGGCTGGGAACTTCCGCGAGTGGAAAGGAATCTTCACCAACTCGCCGAGGCGGGCCAGAGATTGTGGACGCAAACTACGGGTGCTGCTGGAGATAACGCTGAAGTCAAAGCGTAAGTAGTGTCGGTTACAGTAAGATCTAAAGAAATCATCAATACGATGCACAAACGTGGCAAGTGTGTTAGTGGGAGCTACTTGTCGTATTTACTCGAATAAGCGCCACTTTATCAGGCTTATTTGGTAACAGAACAGGAACGTCATTTGAAGACGGAAAAGCGCGCGGAAAGGACTAAATTCGACTTCCAGTGCCCAATTTGCCGCTTCGCCATTGGTCAAGCCAGTTGTTTGATTTGTGCACGCAGTTGTCAACTTACGTTCCGATTCTGTTGTTAAAGCAGCTTGGTTTTACTCCTTGACTGTGACACTTATTCGAGGGCAGCATTTATTTAAAAGTTGGACACAATAAATAATTGTATCAACTACAATATTAATATTTTTTGTATTAAACTAACAGAATTAGCGCCTTTTGAGTTTGATAATATCAAGGCCACGGCACTTATCCTCGAATGGCAGTTAATAACTTCTTTCTCCCAAGTGCCATGCTTATTCAAGGGTATCACTTAATCGCGGGTGGCGCCTAATCAAGTAAATACAGTACATGTATAATAACAGCGCTTTTGCAACTCCCAGTCACACGACCTACATAATTCCAAAATTGTGGGATACAACTTAAACTACACTGGAGATGGAACAAATTTATGGCAGTATGAGACTTCAGGTGAAGGTTAATTTAACAGTATGAGCAAAACACATACATACATTTACACTAAATTAATTTTCATATTTTACAATTGACTGTAAATGTCATTGCAGATCAATTTTACTGGGCACCAAAGGCTTTGATGTCCCGCGACTTTCAGAGAAACTTGATCGTCTGGACACAGCTAAGACATTCGAGCCTCTTGAGCCTGTTAGAGAGACTGATATTCAGGTAAACAAGTCAGCAGCAAGGCTGTGCTCTAAGGAAAATTGAAGGGAGCCCAGTGCTCTGAAACTGTAAAATCTAGGGTGCCCAGCATATGATTTGTATGAAAAATCTGAGATTTTCTAGTCGCCCGAGGATACAAGTTAGGCGCCATGGGCCACCGGGCTCTGCTAGAGCACAGCCCTGAGCAGTTTAGGTCTTTGAATTGTTTTACTGTCAAAATGTGTGAGTGAGTTTTATGTCATAAGAAAAAAATAAATCACGCCTTGACCTATGTACCGTACATGACTGTATACCTTCAAAAATATACTCTGCACCTCACAAAAGCTAACAAGTTCAGACTTGTTGACCTTGACATCCATTTACGTGTGTACTAGTCAGTGTTAATGTCTCTGTGACTCGATTTTCTTACAGGGTTTTCTTCGAAATGAGAGAGAAAATGCCATCTTAGCTGCTATAGAGGAAGCCAGAAAAAATGTAAGTTGAAATTTTTCATTCACCACTAGAGGTAGGCAAGCTATTTAAGTTGCACGAGAATGGCAATTCATCAGAATAACACGAGCCCATGGTATGGGGACCTACGCAACCACCTTCCCACGTTTCCGGCCTAAAATAAGGTTACTAACATAAGGCACTGAGTAATGCTATGAATTATTCATTATATTGTGCATTAATTTTATGTTTGTGATGTTCTACGTTAGTATGTTGTATATATTAAGTTTGCATATTGTGTCAATTGAGTTTTTCAACTTCAACTGTATGTACCCAGCAAAAACTACAGTTTAACATAATTTTCAGGGCACTATGACAAGAATTAAAGTTCATAATATTATGCATATGAGTTATTGAAACATGATTCAAAGTCTTGACTTTCAGTTTGGTCACTTTCTTCATACAGTCATCTTTATATGACTTTTAGTTTTAACACCAGAAAAATGTGCTTCATGTAATACATAAAGCATGAGATGCAGTGTTTCATCTGGTCAGTGTTTCATCACCAGATGAAACACTGAGAAGAGAGTTGAAAATACGACACACAGTGGAGTATTTTTGACGAACTTCAAGGTGTCTCATCTGGTGATGAAACACTTTGTTGAATGCTTGATATTGCTTCTCAAACACAGTTATTTTAGAACAAGAAATTAAGGATGCAAACATCAGCAGTTATTTATCTGATTTCCAAACACTCATTAAACTTTAATTTCCTTTGTGTTTTTGTATGAATTATTATTAATGAGTTTGAGAAGTGCAATTAAAGCTTTTTCTTTTATTCTGTTGTTAAAAATAAGACATTCAACCAGGCCGAAAGGCACCAGTGGTCCTGCATGGAAAATGAATGGGAAAAGGAGAAAGAGAAAATCCTGAATTCACTTCTGGGAGCAGGGCAGGAATCATTAGACTTTGCTGTGGAGACAGAGGTACGTGAACATGTATGTTATTAGTGTATGTTACAATTTTGTTGTGGAATGTTGCACTGTAAGTTGTGGTGCTTTTGAAGATAATGAAAAGGTAAGTCATAGTTGAAATTTAAAGGACTTAATCTAGTTATGTACACACCGTACATTTGTTCCACCAATTGTCTGAAATTTATTTGGCATACTTAATATTCAAAATAATTGTACATGCACACTGTATATCCATAAAAACTGATGCCATAAATTTCAGTAAAAGTTATCATTGAAATATTTCACTCAATACAATTTTCTGTGAAAAGTATGAGTGCCCAACTTGGTTTCTCATGCACTGCAGGGACGGGGGCCTGGGGTCTTTAGCGTGGAGGGAGAGAAACTTGCCTCCTCCCAAACTGCCCCTACCCTCCTGCATGTATGAAGTACATTTGATACTCATCTGCTTAAATACTCATTTCGTAGAGAATACGCAACATGTATTTACCACCACTAAAATTGGATTATTTTCTATTATTGCCCCAAAAATAGCTGTAGTTCTTGTCATAGTTTTGTAGCCATGATGCATGTTAAAACCAAAATAGTTATGACAAAAAGTTTGTCATAGTTCAGTACCCCTGTAATAACAACAGAGCCACCCACAGCTGTAGTTTATGTTTTTGGCGACAAAATGGCAAAATATGGCAAAAAGAAACAGCAGTGATTGTATTGACAAGAATCCCTCTTGAAATCATTCAATCAGTACACATTGGATTCTTCTTTTCAATGTTTTGGTTTTATTCTGTAGGTGTTTACCACAAGTTCATTAAACTTGCAAGGGAGGAGTGCCCTTGATGCGACTGAACTAGCCTATGCCAGACAGGTAATATTGATGTAGGGCCTATTGTGGGCAAATATATTAATAAAGAGCTGGTTTATTAGGTTTGTAGAAATGTAAGACCAAAAGATAGGGCTGGGAACTTTTTTTTGTGCCAAATGTTTTCAGTTAATTTCTCTTTGAGCTCAAAATCCCTTATGCTCAAGAAGTTCACGAAAAAAGAGTTACTTAATCCTGTCATAGTGATATAATAAATGACGATTTAATTTACAGGATAGGAAGAAAAAACTTTTTACACACAAACTTTTGATACCATCACAGAACCTTTATCAGGTGATGCATTTGGGCAACATTGAACAGATACGCTGGTTACAAGCTCCCCGCAATCTATCGAGACGTTTTGTCATGTGATTTACAGTATAGATCACGTAACAAAATGCCCAAATCCATCAATCAAAGATTCAATCATAAGGATTCCACGATGGAATCGAAAGCTTGTGTGTAAAAAGTTTTTTTTTTTCCTGTCCTGTAAATTGAATCATCATTAATAATAAATTTTCACATATAATAAATTTTATTATATGAAAAAAATTAAATGCAAGATCATTTGGGACAAGATTTGGAGCAGCTCCCCTAATCACCTTGTTAGATGAATGTGCTTGCTGGAGTAACTAACTCAAGGGATTTAGAGTAAAACAATGAACTGTTTTAAAGCAATCTTTATTATGTTAAACAGGGAGAACAAATAATACTGCATTACATCAAAAGGTCATTGGATTTCTCTGTCTTCTTGACATTATTACTGGGGAAGTATAAACCTAAGAACTCAAGATAGCCAGCAGATAAGAATAGTATTTCATGATTTGAGCTATCAAAACAAGAGGTGTAATCCCACCCTCTCAAGACAAAAGACTGTAGGCCTTGGACAGTGTGTAGACTGCAAATTTGCAAACACTTTTATGTTACAACCTGGCATATTGAATCTGCTAGCCCTATTAATTTAATGTTGTTTATTTATTTATTTTGTTGTAGATTTATGTTCACAATGAAGCTCTCATTCAATCAGCAAGGCACAATGTGGTTGATGGATTTATTGAAATAGTAGACAGATTTGATGATCCAGTAAGTAAACTCTAGGGAGACTACTGACTTTGACTGAATCCATATTTTGCATACTGGTATTTTTCTAAGTGAAATTTGTTGCGCAAATTAACCATGACTATTATGCACATGCAATGTACACAGTGGCAGATCCTAGGGAGGGGCCCGCCTTCCCCCCTTATTTTTAGACCAAACTGAGGCCCAAAAAGGCCGAAAAAAATTTTTTGAAACTAGCCCCCCCCCCATTGCTTTATCTGAGGGTCTCGATGAGCACAGCCCTCCCCCCATCCCCCCATCCTTTTCTGAAGGTCTTGATCCACCACTGGTACATGTACCTGAAGTATTACTACAGTCAATCACGTCAAGTAGATTAGGTCCAGACTAAAATGTACTACAGTGTAAAAGTTACTGTTATAAAACTCTATTAAGCCACAGGAGTCAGGAAGGGGGGTTTGGTGACAATGTAATAATGTTTCAGGCTTAATAGAGAAAGGGGTCACTCTTTTCTCCATTCAGCAGATTGACTTCACATCCAGTGCCTTTGAACACAAAAAATAATGTTGTTGAATTTTTCCACCAACAACATTAATATTGCAGCAATGCAGACTGCTCACCTTTTGTGGCCAGTGGTTTTGAGATTCATAGAATATGTGACCTGTTGCTCTAATGTATTTTCTACATGTTTGAGGGTTTATTTCACTGGAGGGGGTTTTAGAGTGACAGAGGTCTTACATGTATCACAAAAACCAACTCCCAATCAATGGTTTTGAGTTGATAGACAGGGGGGATATTAAAAGAGCTTAAATTAAGTTATTATATGTACAGTATGCTCTGTACCAAAATGGGTCATTTAATGCGCAGTGATATTTGTTGATTGTACTACAACAATTATTGTAGTCTACTAGTTTTGTTTATCATTGGCATATTATCATTCTTATTGATGATTTATTAAAATAGCCAATACTAATCATGCACATTGCCACACATTTTGCTCATTAATTTTGTTTTAATATAATTTTGAACCATTTAGATTATCAAAGATATGTGGATTTTCATTAAAGAACTTGGTGGAGAGCTTCAAAAGTCTCAAGTGTCCTCTCTGACCATGGCTGAGAAAATCAGGTGAAAATCTTACTGTCACACAATAAATATTGTTGTTACAAACAGTTCAAAAACAATAATGCCGCATCAGTATCATAAGACTATGTACATGTAGTCACCTCCAATAGACCTTTTTACTAATACGGCAGCCATATTGAATTAATTAGATGTAAGGAGTATTATGGGATGCTCAGGGGCATGAGCACGAACCGGTTAACTCTTTCAGTATTTACGCACTCTTTCCGGGCTAATTTTTCTTGAAGTTTTCCTAGAAAGTAATTGTAATGGGAAAAAAAGATCGTTGTGCTGTGTTTGGATGTAATATTGATTGCCTTTTTCCTTGGAAATATACAGCGAAGTTCTCTTTTTGGGTGAACTTTAGGCATGCGTAAATACTGAGCGAGTGCCCCCTGGGCATCCCATAATACTCCTTAAATCTAATAAATTCAATATGGCTGCCGTATGTTATAGGTAAAAAGGTCTATTCTTTGGATATCTCTCTATTATAATCAGATCGTTTGGAACCAAAGATACATGTACCAACCTACGTACAATCATACCTCTGTATGAAGATGTTGTAGAGAAAAGTGTTTGCAGGTTAAACCAGTATGTCCCTTGTCTCCTATGAATAACTACATGTTTACCTCTTTCTCATTTCTGATCCTTGGATTTGAATAAATTTATTTCAGATTTTCACTTGATTTTCAAGTGGCATTTATCAGACTAGCCAGAAGTTTCCTGGAAAGAAGGTAAAAATAGTACATTTATTTAATTTGAAAATACAGGTGTAGCAGTCATTTATGTTGAAAATCTTATTTTGATTTTGATGCATGGTTTAACTGACTGAAGTTATTCATGAATTTAATGTTACCAATTTATCGAGGGAATCAGTGAATACAATACAAGTGTGGTTTTCCATTGGCTATTGAGGATGCTGCAAAGGAAGAAGGAGGATCAGGAAATTATTTTCTCACACACAGATGGGAGTATGGGTTCAACTGTCTGGAGGGGTGGGGTCTTCAGGTCTATAACGTGGATCTGGATGTCAGAGTTCAGTTGTTTTTGTCGCGTGTGCACTGTTACCTTTAATTATTTTGCCTGATCAATAACTTGTTTGAACAATCAAAAGTTTGGCTTTGTTTAAAAATATTAAACTTTGAGTCATGAAGTTTGAGTCATGGTTTAGCGTTACTCACTTTTGTTTTAACACACATCGACATCTCATCATCAAGTTTTGCTTTTTTCTCAGATATTTGAAGTTTGTCCAGGATACTGTGTATGACAATCTACAACAAGCTATGTTAGGAGGTGTTCCAGGAACATTCCATTTAGTCAAGAGTTTTCTTAAGATTAAACTTCCACCAGTACTACAAGGATTGGAGGTGTGTTTGTATAATTATGTATGAATGACTTTTGCCACTACTCCCAATCTACAACAAGCTATGTTAGGAGGTGTTCCAGGAACATTCCATTTAGTCAAGAGTTTTCTTAAGATTAAACTTCCACCAGTACTACAAGGATTGGAGGTGTGTTTGTATAATTATGCACGAATGAGCTTCATGCCACTACTCCCCCACGTCTGCCTCATATCACTCCTCTCCACTCCTTATCTCATCTCCTATCACAGATGTTCGTAATTTAGAGACACGTAAAAGCTATTACACATTTTGGCCTCAAATATGCCATCCTTATGGCATTATAAAAGCAAAATTTAATTTTTTATCTTAAGAGGACATATAATATTGCTCTGAAATAAGTGTTTCTATTATGGTAGCTCTGTTTGTTTTACATTATTTGATCTTTGTGACCATGTGCCTCTTTTTGCGATTCATAAGCACTAGGGTGTAATGCTAACAATACCACATCAACCAATCAGAGCTTCTGGCCAGATTCTGGATAGTTCTCATGTGAAACAGCTAATATGCGTCAAGTTTTTTAATTGTGTTTACAGTAGAATAATAAAATAATATTGATGAACAAAATTCTTGTTTTTTGTGTGTGCATTTCAAACAGGATGGTGAAATTGATGGAACTCCTTTGTGGCCTTTAATTTATTATTGTCTGCGATGTGGGGATGCAAGGGCTGCTTTACAGGCAGTGAAGCATGTACCGTTAGTAAATATTTTGAATGATTTTGTACTTAATGGAACTGTTCAGATCATGGTCATGGATGAGACTATGGGGAATTTTCCTGAAGTGTAGTTTGTGAAGTATACCTTGCTGCTCATATATTACACTCTGTCTCTCACTCTGTCATGACAATAAATTTGACAATAAGCTTTAGATCATAATTACCCTGTTTTGTCGTGCAGTATAATTCTTTAATTTTATGATTTAATTAAGGTTTACAACGTTTCAATTAACAAAATTTGTATTTGTTGCGAAAAAAAGGTAGGACAAAACTGTGTTTGAGATGATCTTATTATCATGTTTGTACCGAAAATAATAAGAAAGTCATCTGAACAATTTACAAAAGTCGAACCCTGGTTTACAGTAGTCAAATAAAATAGTTAAACCTCCCATAAGCAACCACCCAAAATGTGAAGACTTTGTGGTCACTTACGGGATCGGACCGGGTGGTTTTTACCAGAATAAAACCTCAGGGGTCTCTTATAAGAAGAGATCTGCATACATCTACTTTATGGAAAAAGGTTCATCTTATACTCATATAGCATATTACGTACAACGAATGTAGAGATCAGATCATGCATCAAGAGGTTAAAAGCTAAGGAAAATATTAAACCGTCAGCCCTGAAACGTGGTCACAAACGCTGACAGGGGGTGGTGATTTACAAGAGGTTTTAACTGTAAGGTTCGACCAGGAAAACTTTGGAGTTTTGGATTGGTGGTCGCTTATGGGAAGTGGTTGCACTTTGAGGTTCGATTGTAATATTAGCAAATTAATGAGAAACCTGTTTACTTGTCTTTAACAGTTTTTGTTCCCCTTATATTGCAGGCAGCATTTAGGAGAATTTAGAGACCTATTTGCTGAGTACATGAAGAGCAAAGAAGGAAGGTAATATAAATAATAATTATTGCCTTTTCATTGCTAAACAGTGGTAATTGTACATGTAGTTGTACTACTCAATTCAGAACAGTTATGATTTATTTATTTTATTTCATTCTTTTATGTATTCTTAATTTTTTGTAGTGGTGTAATGTTTGTCTTTCTGTATGATACATGTGAGTCTTGGTAGTCACCACATTACAGCCTGGTCCTGAATACTGGATTCAAACCTTAAGCTCTCCTGCTTTATTACAATGTAAGGCAAACTGACTTAGTTCAAAGAATGTCTCAAAGCAGTGTCCTCTTTAAATTTTAGCTCACCAAGTAAGGGACCATTCCTGACCGGAAAATCAAAGTATAGTTTTAAAGAAATGGAACTTACCCTGTGAATAAAGAGTTCCATTCATGTTTACGGTAGTATTCCTTCAAACATGTGTCACCATAAAATATTAATCTTGATTTGTAAGATCCTTCAGAATTGTTAGCCAGATTTGGTTAATGGAATGGTCGATTAAATGTAAAGTTGTTGTTACCTATCTTGAAGTAGGCCCTTCTTGTTTATGTTCAAGAACAAAGCTCACTTTTTTCAAACTTTACTGCAACACTGCTGAGCATACATGTAATTTGTTATTGTCAGTATGTTCTTATTGTTTTCCCATGTAATATGCAGTATTCAGATTAGCTGCTGGGCTGTATGTACAAATCGATCCACAGGGAGTCATTCAAGACCTGCATTGAGCATCCCTCTTTTCCAAGTCTACTTTTCTATTTAGCCACTTACTTGAAAATAATAAAAAAAAGAAAATTGTTGTTTACTGTTCCTCTTAGACTAAGTCCAAGCTCTGAAAGCAAACTAAGGCTTCAATATCGACGCTCTATCCGTACAAGTCAGGATCCCTTCAAAAGGTAACAAAAGAAATAACTGCTGCAGTCACAGCGTATATATAAGTTTATTGGGAAACAAGAATTGCTTGCAAAAGAAATGTTCAACTTTCACAGAATTTGTTTACTAATAGAGCTGCTGTTTTATTGTCTTCATTATATTGTGGTATGACTGAAGTACGTGTAACATCACCTGTAATAAGTTGAAGGTACTATGTTATTATTTTTTGACCAGTTAAAGTTCAAACCACTGAGGTAATTAACTTTTCCTTTGCTGACCAGGGCTGTTTATTGTTTGATTGGTCATTGTGATGTGCTGTCAGATTCCCACCAAGAAGTTGCCAATAAAACTGAAGATTATCTTTGGCTTAAGGTACATACATGTATGCATCTACTTACCTGGTTAAGTTTCTTAAATTTATGTCATGAAAGGTATTTTAAAATCATCATAGATCATGTGTATAAAGCGTTTAGTTTATTGTTTGTCTAGGTACTTTTTAATTTGCTCTGGTTAATTTTCCCCTTTCCTCAAAACTAACATAAAAATTATTTTTTAAACTGCTAATTTAATCAAGAATGTGGTAGATGAAGGGTCACATGGATGTGTCGCCACTAATCTTATCTTTGATTATTTCATTGTCATTAATTTTATCTTTCTTTCTTTAGCTCAATCAGATCACAGTTGATGAAGAAGAAGGGGTTCATGACAGCCTGACATTCCAGAGGCTACAAACCATGCTGTTGGAACAATTTGGTGAGAAATTTAATGACGAAAAATATATTTAAGGGTTTTCACCAACAGTAGGCAAATGAAGAAGGTCATCATCAGGCATATCCCTAAGAGTCAGCTGCCAGCTAATTTCACCAACTGAAAAAGACCTTACCACCAGCTCAAATTGTTCTAGAAAACAAAGATATGAAGTAATATTATTTTAAAGATGCAGTTGAGCGAAAAAGCCAGCTTGACTAATAACAAAGCCTGCTTAGCTTTTTCTTAGCTACCCGGTACATCCCTGAATCTTGTTTGAGCTTGTTTTCAAACTAGGAATTATTGTGAATGAAAAATACAATTCATATCATACTCAGCCTTATTGAATTATTGCTATAATCCAAACTGAAATAGGTTCATAATATGTACCTACCTAATTATGTGTACCTACTTACTCTCAGTGGTGAATCAACAATGGCAGGTCAGCAAGGCTTTCATAGGAGAAGGAACTTTAAATAAACATTATTCATCCCCTGCCATTTCCTAATAGTTAATAGTTGTTTCTTCATTAGTTGTAGGCTCTCCTTAAAGCTTGCCTCATGATAAAAACAAACCAGAAAAAATAACAACAATAACATAGATAAATGAATAAAAGATAAAAACAAACAAACACTTTTCATAACCAGGGTTTCTGTGGACAATTAAAAATTGTACAGTACTTAGAATGCTGCCTTGCAACCACCCTGTTTATACGACCACCTGGTTTATATTACGACCATATTCTTTGGACCCCAACGTAAAAGTCACTGAGTCATTTTATTATTTTGAAGACCATGTCAATGCCACCACCTTGTAATTATGACCAGGATTTTATGGCCCAGTGGTGGTCACATCAACAGGGATCCATTGTAACCACTTTATAAAAATGTTTAAAGGTTTGTTTGTTTGTTTATTGTTTCCTTCACTAGGTGAAGCTCATTTCAGTGCATATCAAAAGCCTCTTTTATACTTTGAAGTGTTGTTTCTAACTGGCCAGTTTGAAGCTGTGAGTTTACATTGTAGTGGAAACCCCATCTTAACAATCGTGCACTGGAGGTTTTATAGTTTTGCAGGCTCCAAAACAAAAGTCAATCAGTTCATTGACTTGGTTGTGGTCATTTTTGTCTTCAGAATTCAACTGATAGTTAAAAAAATAATAACAATCAAAAAAATTCCATTATCTTTTTGTATACCTGAAAATAAATTAGTACCATGTCCTTATACTACTGCATGAAAAATTACTGCAATTTGATTGGCTATTTCAGCTTAATTTGAAATACCTACATGTGAAAATTACAAACCTTTTGCTGGTAAGTAGCATAAACAAATAATAGCATGATTTGTAAGTGATATTTTGCATAAATACCCCTGTGATATTTCAAAATTGTCTCAAATTTCACTTGCCTAATGGCTCATGAAATTGCATATAACAATTTCGAAATATGACTTGTGGTATTTATGTCAAATATCACTACAAATCCTGCTATAACCTATACAAATACTGCCAAAGATATTTAAGAGTGTGTCCATGAGAAGACCAGGCAGAACCAGGCAGGGGCTGATAATGCTCAAATCACCGATTTCGCTCAAACTCGGCACAAATGTTAGGTATCAGGAGTTAACTTATGTGAAAGAATGTCAGGTCCAAATATTAAATTCCCTGGGAGATTCGGGCTCCCCCTGTAAAAATCGCCATTTTGCCCGTTTTATGCATAATTAATTAGCTAACTTTACAATGCCAGTGCAACAAACAGAAAAGCCACCCTGAACTTAAATGCACTGAGAGATGATCTGAGTTCATAAGACTTTAAGCACGTTAAACTGTTTAAAGTCGCCGATTCGATTTCCTCCCTCTTAGCCCCCTTAGGTTGGGTCATCATTTCCAAGTTTTGAGTAAGTCGTAAAATTAGGGTATTTTATTCCCAAATATCTCTGATGAGCAACAGCTTATCTTTATAACTTTTGCATGAGTAGTTAAAGCCATCACTTAAGTTGAGAAAAAGATCATAAAAAGTTTGGGCAATTCACTTTCTTCCATGTGTTGACATAAACTGTTCATGTGACTGAACGACTTTTGCATATTTCATCAAAATTCAGGCCCTCACAATATTCGTGTGTTTGCCTTTGAATGAGGAGAAATCAAACAAAAAAACTCATCAGACAATGATTTAACATTAATAAGGGTAAAATCGTTGAAATTGTTGTGCAAGAAACCCTAACGATGATTTTTGATAGCTATATAAGCGATCTTTTCAACTAAAAAACAACATACAAAGATTTAATTCACAGTTTTACTTACGTTAACAATTTCGCCCTAAAAACAATATAAACGGTCAATAAAATCCATATACGTATCTCTTAGATGTTTCAACTGCTAGTTTGTGCACGCTTTGATTTGTTACCCATGCCACCTTCGATGTCCAGTTAAGCGTAGTTCAGCGCCGTGACTCGCTGTACGACTAAAATTCCTTAGCCATCAGTTTACGCACCAAAATCCAAATCAAGTTGTTTTAGGAGAAAACAATACGAAAAGTAGAAAGCCGATTTTTAACCCATTGAAAGAATTATTTCTGCCACTGTTGTAGCTCAATTCACATGTTACAAACGTCCGCCATCTTTGACATTAACTGGAGCCCGCATTTTTAAGCAGCGGTTGCCACCATACGGAAACATCGTATCGGGAGTCAGGAGCCAGGAGCCAGGATCCAGGAGCGAGAGTCCAGTGAACAAAATTCAGTCGAAAATATGACTTTCCGACATTCTTTGAGATTATTTTATTGTTATTGTGTGCTAATAAATAATTTAGAATTCCAAATCTATTGGCAACTTTATTCAGACCATGATAATAAATGATCCCATGTCTTCTCAAACTCGAAGATAGAAGTCGCTTTGTCTTCGTGTTTTGGAAAGAACTATTTATTGTATTTTAGTCGCACGTGAAATAGCAGCGAAGTGAAGTCGGATCTTCGTGCAGACCAGTTCAAAGAGACAAATAAAGCGTGAGACACGTCCAATTTGGCTTGCGACAAGAATACCATTTTTTTTTTCATACTGGAGTCCCTTCTCCCCAGGGGAGTGGCCAAATTGCGTACAAATGCCCTACCCTGCTGGCACCAGATTTGACTGTCATAAACACTGAATTTTTTATCTAGCACTGTCGTTTGCGGGTCTTATAAAGCCTAACTGTGGCAGTAATGTTCCCAAGTAGAACTCAAAATACACCACACTTTCACATTGAGTTAGATATTTTTCTCAAACAACCGCTTCCATATGTTTAACACCCTTCCCAAATTGTAATACAGTGGAAGCTCTCGTAAGAGGACACCCTCGGGAAGAGAAAAAGGCGTCCTTAACTGGAGCTGGCCGCTTACAACAATGAATCTCATACGGTAACTCTGAAACAGATATATAAGAATGATTCATAACAGTGACAAACAGCAATGACTGTGGACATGATATGAAAAAAAAAAAACAACAACAACAACATTAAGAGGTGGATAAGATTTTCTTTCGAGTGTCTGCTTACGAGAGCTTTAAATCAAAGCTAACATCTAATTCACCGGTAAACCCTTTAAGTGTCCGCGGCCGCCTACGGGAATGTAAAAATCCAGAGTTTGTGTGGAAGTTGAAACGGGATTTTGTGATGGCGGTCGTAAGTAGAGCTATTCGCTATATACGAGAGTGTCCGTTAAGAGAACTTAATCCACTGTATGAATCCGCAAATGACAGCTTAAATGAGAAGTTAATATAGTGTATTAGTCTGTGTTCAAGAAACTGTTCTTTTACACCTTCCTTGGATAGCTAAAGAAGTCTTGTCGACTTTTTTGCAGTGTATTAGTGCCTCCTTTTTGGGTCTTTTGTATTCCTCAGAAGTTTTTCCTCAACACTTTTATAAACGGTTATTATTATATTTTTGTAGTCAATAATATACCCAGATACAGATACCAACCTGTATAGTTGTAAGACTACGAGGATTAAAATACAAGTAAGTAAGTCAGTATACCCAATGGCAAGTCATTAATTGTCTAAAAATTGCACGGCACGGTCTGACTACGAAAAGGGCTATTATGGACGATTATTATCATGGTAATTAATGTCAACACCGAATAAACTCAAAATTTCAAGTAACACGACTTTCGCAACCTATTTTCAACACACCAGTTATAACAGGATATTGGCGCGTACAAACAATAGGTAGCGTATTCCGCATTCCGGAGTCCGGTAGTCCGGCGTCACAGATTCCATCGTTTTGGCAGAGTCCAAAGTCAAAGATGGAGGGTGTTCGAGCAGGTGGTTGTTTTCCGTAGATATAGACGGATTGTCAGTGATCTTTCTTGTCCTTTGAGAATGATTTTGTTCATTCTGACTACAACTTATTTCAAAGACTTCGAATGTTCGGTGAAAAGCCGACACTTTTAATTTTGCAATGTTTCAAGATGTTTCGATTTCATTACCTCGTCACGAAGTAACGCCACAGAGGACCAGACGAAACTGGAGCAGCAAATCTGAACTAAAGCATCTGAGAGACGTGTATGTAACATTTATTCACTATCTTTTATCCTTGTTGGGTCTTGTTTCACCTACAAGTTGGACCGATCGAGGTTTTGAACTAAATCTTTTGCTCTTTGTGTTTACTCAAGCGTTCCATAAAATATCCATCCAAACGTCCATAAATAACACAGAAAACATGCCTCAGGTGACACTTTCTAACAATTCCGCTATTAGTATCGACAATGAGGCATCTGATTTGTGACTTCTCGCCAACTTTGTGCTATTTTTGTTTAGAAAAACGAATGTTACGTTTCCTCGTATTTTGGTCAAATGACAAAAAAGAGTCAAGTCAGATGTACATAATACGTCATTATTGATAAAGTATGAGATTGCCCAAATATTTTATGATTGATTTGATAACCTTAAAGATGTCTTTCAAAGAATATGTGAGAATTAAGTACATAGGTTGTTGCTCATGGGAGATGTTAGCCACTAAAATACCTTAAATTTAGGGTTTGGTCAAAACAGTTAGAAGATGTCTTTACTTTAGGCTAAATAATAGGAAGATATGGAATTAGAGAGTAAAAATAAATTACTGAGCATTAAGTCTGATAAACATAGAAGATGATAAAGTTGATTAGATTTGAAGTTGTCTTTTCTTCTTGTTGAACAGCCAAACCAAAGTTAGCTAATTAATTATGCAAAAATGAGTAGATTTTGTCGTTTTTAGGGGGGGTCCCTGTAAATCCCAGGGAATTCAATATTGCGACCTTATTTTTTGTCGAGGTTAATATCTCACCACACCCATCAATTGTGCCAAGTTTGAGCGAATTCCGTGATTTGAGCATTATCACTGCCTGCCTGGTTCTCTCATGGACACACTCTTAATTTCAATAGTGAACCTCCTGGATTTTGTCTTCAGAATCGAAACTTGGGGTGTAAAGTACTTACATTTAACATACTGAAGTCTTAACAGTAACATTAATCTTCCAATTCAATTCTTCAGGGCCCTGTTCCTGAAAGGCCGATTAGTGCTAATCCAGGATTAAAATTTTGTTTGACTTTTTGTATTTACCTTCCTATGCGTTGCTTAGAGTTAAACATTTTGTGTTATCATTTCTGCATCTCTGGGCAAAGGCTCAATGGTATTTTGTAGGCTGGAGTTACATGTTCTCAGACGAGAAAACTGTGCTTAAAATTTGGCTTAATGTTGGATTAAACTTAACCATCTTTCGAGGAACTGGGCCCAGATCCACTAAATACTGTTTTTATTTGGAAGAAAAATTTCTAGTGAAGTTTTTTTAAACCCTCATCTCATTTACTTAGAAGAGTTTTGGCTGCACCTTGTGGTTTTCAACTGTTAGATTATTATTAGTGCTGTTTGTTTTTATATTTTGATTGTCATATGCATGCTTTTGCAATACTGTAAAATGATGCAGTCATGCAAATAAAGCAATTTATTACTATTACTGTTATTACTTAAAATTGTGATTAATCAGTTCTCCTTCCTTAAGTTGTTACTCAGGGATCCATGTAGTTTGATTTAAATGTTGCGATAAAAAGAACGTAAATGTAAGCATCATCATGCAGTTGAGATGTACATGTTGATTTAAGGTAACATAACACTTGGTTTAACCTGACCTTGACTTATCCTACTACATCATCATTTCTCTTTGCAGGCAATAGAGTTCTTGTCGCGTGTTGAGGCATTCAGGAGTCATGCCGTTCATTTTGCTATTGCTCTCTTTAAAATGCAGCTTCTCCTCTTGCCGGAGTCAACTCAGGCTCAACTCTGTGAGTAGCATTTTACAAACTGTACTCAAAGTTTTGATTGTTTTGATTAATATTGTGATGACTACAATAGAAATTAATAACAACTGAAGCAAAACCACCAGCTTGGCAACCTGTATAATAATTATTATGGCCATCCATTGATTAGTAACAGCATAATAACCTGCCAAAGCTCTAACTGTTTTGTAAAATGAAGATTCTTCCTTACATGCAGACAGCTATTCTAAACTCAACGTGGGCAGCGTGCAAAGAAAGTCGTGTCCCATAGCCCAGGGCTAGTGGATTTTGCCATCGGGCTAGTGATTTTTGTTCTTAACTTGCCTGACGGGCAAGTGCTGTTTTGGGGGAAACTTTAAATTACAGAAGGATTGTAATAAATCCTGCTAATCAAAAAGGGTTTTAGGGCTAGTTGAAATGACTTGTGGGCTAGTTTATGCTAGCTACAGCTTGCGTGAATGGCAGGCTGTAAAACTGACTTTCTTTGCACCCTGGTGGGATATGCATTTAGTGTGCTTTTAACTCTTTAAAAAACCGTGTTTAAAAAGTTATTTTCCTCTCCACCCCGTCTAGAAATATACTATTTAATACTGTAAGCCTCAACATTTCTGCTTTGTGATGCTTAACGGTATATTTCTTTGTTCACAGTGACAACAGCATCAGGGTATCCAACTCCCAGCAGACTGTTAAATTTTGCACGTCTCATTATGTCCTACACTCGGAAATTTGAAGTGACAGATCCTCGTGAGGCTCTCCAGTATTTTTATTTGTTGAGGTAAAAAAAACAAAACAAACATTCCTCTTACAGTCAACGTTCATCTCATGGAAAGATTACTATAATAGACTCTCCAATAATACACACTTTAGCTAAGCAAATCCAAAGATGTTCTTCATCATTAGTCTCGGGAGCACCTCTCTAAACACCCACCCCACCCCATCCCATCCCCCTTATCATGTATAACACCTGGCTTATCTGAGTGGCTTCAAGACGTCTTTGCTAACTTCAAGTTACTTAAATTAATCTAAGAGTTTTTCTACAGATCATTCTTTGATGATATGTCATAACGTCTGATTGAAATGTTAATCAATGTGAATAAAACATTTATAAGGGGTTACCTGCTTATTTTTAGTAACAATCCTTATCTCTGTGCTGTGCAAGTCTTCGTTTTGCATAAATGTTCATAAAAGTATGTTTATTGATGCCTTTAAATATTTCGTTATTTAAGAGGAATGAAAGGTCCGCATGGGCATGACCTGTTTATGTCCTGTATCAGTGAATTGGTGTTAGAAACTAGAGAGGTAAGTACTGTTTTTCAAAAAATAAACTTTTTTTTTTTCGGATCAAAACATAAATGCCAAAGCTCTTTCTTAGGGTGTTGATGTATGTGTTGTAGTGCAATGTATTGTCCATTTATCCTTGGCTCAATAGGCCACTTCCGAGTTCCAAAAACCCTCACTTTCAAATTGAGGCCGAGTGCACAACCTTTTTTGTGCAAATGAGTTTTATCTGCATGAGAATGAAAAATCATTCCCATATCGAAGGCTGAGCACTTAACCTCATTTTGATACAGTGTCACCGGGAACCAGAAATGGCTTATTCGTCTTTTCCTTCCTTTGGTTTATACTCATTATTGCCATTATTCCTGTTCCAGAGAAAAGCTCATCAATACACTCTAGTAAATACTTGCATATGCAGTTCACAGGGCGCCTGGCCTGTGGTGCTAAGATGTATTATCATTATAATTCTTGCTTCCAGTTAATCAATCAGTCATAGTAAGTGTGAGTTACTCTTTCTTGCCTTTCTCTCGGTAGTTCGAAATGTTACTTGGACGCCTTGAACCAGATGGCAAAAGGAGGGTAAAAATAGCTTTTTAATTCTATTAAAGAATAGAAGTCTTCAGCCCGCTTCTCGTTTGTAAAAAAAGAGTATACTCGGCTAACGAATGATAGTAGTGTTAAAAAATGTTTACTTTCTCTGCAATATATTAGAATAATTGCATATTCAAAAAATTAAATACAGGAATTCTTTAAATTTGTATGTTGGCTTTTTTTTTCTCTACCGATGTTGACAGTTTTAATATCTGTCAGCCATATTTTCCAAAAGTAGCTATGTGGATAATTATGGCAGATTTTCTCAGCGAGAATATACATATCATCTTTGCATTGTTTTATTACTATTTTTTTTTTTCGGTTTTGTAGCCTGGTTGTATTGACAAGTTTCACAAAGATACCCAGAGCATAATTGAACATGTGGCAAAGGACTCAGCTGAAAAAGGGCTGTCTGAAGAGGCTGTTAATCTCTTTGATCTAGCTAAGGTACATTACTGTACAGTCTGTAGGCTTCAACTTCTGATTTCATATGCATAGTAAAATTACAGTGTACATGTAATGCAAGAACTTCTTTTATACTGTTGGTAAGTGACCTTAACTACTCCTGCCAGTTCAAAAGGCATTACACCTTAATGGTCATTGTATTGATAATATTTTTAATAATCAAAGTATCAGTCGGTTGTGAATTAATTTGTCTTGAGAAGCTGGGGCGAGTTGCAAGACTATTGTGTCGTTTTTCTGCTGTCATACTACTACATGAAAAATTTCTGCAATTTGATTGGCTTAGAGCAGTGGTATTTTAGCTTAATTTGAAATACCTACATGTGAAAATTACAAACCTTTTGTGGGTAGTAGTATAAACAAATAATAGCATGATTTCTACGTGATATTTGGCATAAATACCACTCGTGGTATTTCAAAATTGTCTCAAATTTCACTCACCATTACGTATAACAATTTTGAAATATCACTCGTGGTATTTATGCTAAATATCACGTAGAAATCATGCTATTACCTATATAATACTGCAAAAATACGCAACCGGTGGAAGCATGATAAAATGAAAAAAAAAGCTATTGATTACAAACCCTTATAACTTAAGGACTGAGTGCAGCTGATACTTGTCACTAGAAGACAAATCAAGCGTGCTGAAACTTGAACAGTTCAAGAGATGTATTTATAGTGGAGTGCTTGTGGTACTTTCTAAACTATAATTTGGACCTTTTTTTACAGAGTCATGAAAAGGCCTTGGAAATATTAAACAAGTTGTTGAGCCAGGTAAGATTACAGCCGCACCCCTTTAACTTTATTACATCGCTGTTGGGGTAACTGGAAGTTATATGCTTTTACATTTCATCTTGGACAGATTTTTGTCACAGATTTGAGTTCTATTGTTATGGACTTGACTTCCAGGAAAGAAAACTCGGATCATTATACGGCGTTTCTGGGAAACTGCCCGACTACCCCTCGCCTAAGCCAACATTTTGCCTTAAGTGAGAAGTAAGTGTTAATGTTGGTTTAGGGGACGAGTGGGTTGGCAGTTTCCCAGAAACGCATAATGATCCTAAAACTCAGCCGGCCAGGGTCACCGTAGCCTGCGTCGCTGAGGTAATTTAACCCCGGTTAGTAACGTACGTAATCCTTGTTCAGGGTCCCCAATGGACTCAGCAAATTACCGGAAATACGTTTCCAATTTCCTTTCAGCGTGATTGGCAAATCGACATTTTTGGCATTTTTAACAGGCCAATCACGGCGCGTACTCAAATCCTGGTACACCGGTGAGGGCTCAGAATAAGGATTTTAGCGATGTTTCGCAGACGGACTTAACCAGAGTAGGTTAAGGTTCGTCTGCGACGCTGGCTAGGGTCATCGTCAATATGCAGGTACTTGACTGGTTGTAACATGCTTCAGTTTTTTGCCCTTTTGTGTTTTAATTCAGGTAGTTGCTTCTCCCAGTGGTTTGCAATCTCCACGCGATAGACTACAGACCATGGCTTTTGATTTGGCTCAAAGGTACAGCTCAGCTAGGTTTACAGTTCTTTTTGACAACAAAGTTAGAATTCTACTTCTATTATTTTGGTGATCATTTATTTTTGCCGACTCCAGTGAATATTCTGTAACTTAATTAGCCTGCGTACCAAGCGTTTCCGCGCGAGTTCGTCGAGAAAGTTTTTTTGCTCCCGCTCGATTTTTCGCGCAATAACTCGATTGGAAACGCTTGCTACACAGGCTATACCTTATTAGTAAAATCCAACTAGTGGTCTATTATCAATGCTGCGTTCTGATTGGTTGAGCGGCGAAAAGCGCCGGCTTTGAAGACCAAAACAATGGTCGCTGAATGGCGTTTTGCCAGCTAAGGTTGTTTTGTCTAGATATTTTTTACCCACTAGTTGGATTTTACTAAAACAATTATTCCTCTCGCCGTCATGGCCTCTGAGTCAATAGCCCATTCGGCCTTCGGCTTCATGGGCTCTTGACTCAGAGCCCATTCGGGCTCGAGGAATAATTGTTAAATGGTTACATTGGGTAGGGAAAATTGGATGTAAACGTTTCTGGAAAACCGCCCACCTACCCCTCCCCTAAGCCAACATTTTGATCTAAATGAGAAGCAAGTGTTAATGTTGGCCTAGGGGAGGGGTAGATGCAACAGGCGTATTTTGCAGCGTAATCCATGATTTTTTTTTTTCGGGAACACTGCTATAGCGCCATCTTGGATGTTAACACTACCAGAGAGTTGGGGCGAGTCAAACTGATTTCAAGGGACAGGTTGACAAGGTTAAAATAGAGGAGCGGGAAGAAGCCCAACCCCCCTTCCCCCTTTTTCAAGTTGGGCGCGGCGATCAATGTCCCTCTGAGTCTAGAAAAAACACTGGAATTTAGTATCCAAAAATCTGCACGAACACTATTTTACTTTCAGAGTAAGAGTAGTTATTTCCCAGTCGTATGTCGCCTTCTCTCATCACCATTGTGTAGAGTGAGAATCTAGAACAAGCTTTGTGGTGAATGAAATAAAGAAAGGAGGTTGACGTTGGTGAATGAATGTGGAAGATGATAATCCGCATGTTACGAGCGTGGGAAAAAAATCTCGAGTCCCTGACACCGAGCGGGCGCTCTATCCAGATTATCCACTGAAGTGAGGAGAGATTCATTGACAACAAGGCCATATATAGTGGGTTCATATTTCACGCTTATTGTCTTGCATGCTACTAGCACGTTGTATATGGCTATGCACTCTGTGAGCCTCTGGCTAACTGACTACCTACCCCTCTCCTAAGTCACAATTTTGCCCCAAGTGAGAAGTAAGTGCTAATGTTGACTCTGGGGAGGGGTAGGTAGTCAGTTGACCCGAAACCTAAATTGATCCATTTCCCGGTGATTGGGAGATCGTAGTTCTGATTCTGTAGGGGACTCAAGTCCCACGCTCTTAGCTTGCTGAATGTCATTTTTCATACGTTCTGTACTGTTGAGCTCCCTTTTTTGACTTTATAAACTTTCTGAAGTGTAGTCCCGCTCAACGTGATTACCTACAAGAGTTGATATCTTGTAACACTGGTCACCGATAGTGTTAACGCCCTTTACGCTACGCAACAGAGTTCTTAATTGGCTGCCCTGGAGGTTTTCGCTTGCTTCTGTTATCTTTATTGGCTAGAATAACCTTTAGCTAAAACACAAAACAGCTCTAAAAGAAATACAGTGCGTTACATGCAGCGAGGTATTAACGTAAATATAAGAAAACATCTTGTTTTTTCCTTCTAGGTACAGAACTCTAGGACATACAGCGAGTCAAAGTCGTATAAGTACATTTTACCTGTTGCTGGATCTTATGCAGTTCTTTGACCTCTTTCATGCTGGCCAACTTGACACAGCCTTCGATGTAAGTGTGACTAAAGAACATTTACAACAATTTGTTGTGCAAGGAACTGTACGCCGTGAACTAAAGAAATATTAGGGACCTTAAGACACATCGCTCTTCTCTTCAGGCACGGGGACCACGTAGTGATATAAATAGAGGATATTACTCAGTGGCGCGAAGATATGGATTTTATTTTCGAGTGGCAAATCAATATTTTACGAACGAGCGCAGCGAGTGAGTAAAATATTGCTTTTGATTACAGTTTTCTAGGTGTCTGTTACACCATGAACATGCGGAAGATATCAAGGCACCACAGCAGTTTCTTAACAGCGCCTGAGTCACATGTCTTCTTTTTTTTATTTTGTTTTGTTTGTTTTTTTTTTCCGTTGGCAGGTAATGCGGAAACTGAAACTTGTACCTTTGGGAAGTGAGTCTGTGGAGGAAAAAGTAGCCGCGTTTAGGCAGTACAACGATGAGGTGGGCTTCGATTTTGAAACTAAATTAAAACCTATCACAGACTACTATTGTGGATATTTCGATTAGACCAGCAAGACAGAAAACTCTGCTTGCACGAAGATGTTGGTCATTAAGTTGTAAATATAAATTCATGATCTATCTCAATTTCTTTATGTAGATAAGACGAACTTTACCAGATGTGCTTCTGGCAACAATGAACATACTCTACACAAACTATCGCAATACAAGGTCGGTATAGAAGTCTCACTTGTTTGGCAATAATAACGAGGAGAAGTGTGACGTCACGTTACCATGCTAGCAGTATTTCTGGATGACAACAAAACCAACGACGACCTCGACGGCAAGGAGAACGGCAAAAAATATATGTTCATATTAACAAACAACAACTTTGCACGTACATCACGCTATTTTCTACATTTCTTTGTCGTCGTTGTACCACTACGACTTGAAACTTCCCGTAATTTCACGCTTTATGGAGTAGGTGAACAAAACCAAAAAAATTTTAGCTTTCTTTTTTAAAACTTAGATAACGATAGATACGGTCCCAAAGAAAATTTGGCCAAGATTTGCCAAATTAAATGAAATTGAAAAAGATCGGTGAAGTTTGAAATAGTGCGAATAGACTTTAAGTGACTTTATCGGTTTGTTGTCATCCAAAAATTTTGCTACCATGGCAACGTGACGTAACGACTTCTCTTCTCTATTGATGGTTGATAAATTATGAAGATGATTACTAATTTATTCCCATCAATTGCATTTCTTCAGGGGCACTGGTCAGAGCCCTTTGATTGAAAGTCAGCGAGATGACGGAGGCCAGGAAAGGGTAATATGTTATATCATTATTGCATGTCACAAATGAAGGACAGTAGAGGGCTTTAGATTCTGAGACGAGGAGGAGTGATACTGAGTATTGCTCGCCCGTGAACCAGCGTCATTTTGGCGGGAAAAAGTGATAGCCGTCATCATTCTTCTACGAGTTTTAGCGAGAATGTTGTAGTGGCGGGAACAAGTTATCAAATGTAAGAAGTTTTGTCATTTTCCTATCGAGAGAGGGCTTAACCTCTTTCAGTATAAATAACCGTACTAATTTTTTTGGTTGAAAATAAGTAAAATAAAGCTTTCCGAGTTGTCTCTTTTTTAGAAAACTCGCAAAAACTTTCAGTTAAATCTCGTACTCGTTCTCGTCCTCAAATCTAAAGCTCTCCAGTGTCTAGTACAATCTTCCGGAAAAGTGCCACTAAAATGCTCGAATAATGCTTTATGCTTTTGCCTCACTAAAATGGTCAAAAAAAATCCTAGCATAATCTACAATTTGATCCGGATGTGCCACCACTGAGTCGTTACTTATTTATTTATTTATTTATTTATTTATTTATTTATTTATTTATTAACTGACTGACTTCTTTTTTTTTTTCAGTATCGACAAACTTTAAGGCGCCAAGCCCGAGCATTGATCACTTTCGCGGGTCTGATCCCCTACCGTCTTCCCGGAGATACGAATGCTCGTCTGGTGCAGTTGGAAGTCCTCATGAATTAATGCCTGCTACGATTTCTTAAAGTTCCCCAGAGACTAAACATTTCACCGAAAACTTTTTTAATACCTTAGTAGCTGGTCACAAGTCAGGTTTTGATTGTCGTACAAAAATGGTCGCCGTTAAGAGTTCAGTTGCTTCAGCCATGTTGAGGCGAGAGAGGAGGGGGGGGTTCTCGGTTCAACTTGTGAGAACTCAAGATCAATGGAGACGGGTGGGTTTCCCCGCCCTTACGACTACAGTAAAAACCCGCGACTAAGAAACTGCATTTTCCCAGGTTATCCTAAACCAGGAAATTACATAAATGGTAATTAGCAAAAATTTAGGGTATTTAGGTTCTTAAATTGGAATAGGTTCTTTTTTTCTGAAGAAAAAGTACATTGTATACGTTGTAACTATAAGAGTATTTAGTGGTATTCAGCTCATTCCTTAGGTAAAATCTGTATACATTACAATTGAAGTCGGAGTGATAAGGGACCTACGTCTCCAAAGAGGATCCTGAATGTTGACTTATCTTATTTGCTCACGTGTACAGCATTTGTTTATAGTTTTTAGAAAATAAGTACCTATAAGGCTGAACAGGTTCTTGTATAGAGGGGGACTAACTGGCAAATTTTAGCCTTACAGTTTCTTGAAAACCAGGTTGTTAGTCGCGGGTTTTCACAGTACTTCGTTGACCAACCGAAGATCTGTTGGCATTAGAAAGCGCGCATGAAAACAGCTTTCTCGCAGTGAGCTGCTGTAGTTTTCGAGCATCTAGTAGTGATCAGTGTAGTGTGTTATATTACTTATCAAAGTGGGAAAAGCAACCACGCGTTAATGAAGTCTCCATACATCTTTTCGCCATACTCACTTCAGGAACAGCTTAATGTAAACCAGGAATATGTTTTCTCTAGTACAAAATAATACTCTTTAATACTCGGCACTGTACACTTTCTGTGCTTAATTTAATAGTAAAGTTCAAAAGGCTTCTCTCTTTTAGATCAAGCTTACAAAGCCAAAACGGCATGCAGGTCTCCGACTTGACACCCTGTGTAAAATATTTGGTATTTGGGGATATAGTACATGTATGTTGGGTCATAGCATGTGAATCTGTTACTATTCATTTCTGGTGAGAGTAATAACTTCTAAGTTTAACTTGTTATGATTGTAAGATTTATATCGATTACATGCACGGAAGTGGTTAGCCTGCGCGGGAATCATCGCTTTTTAGCTGCATGTAGGCTACCGAGAAATTTTTTCGGTAAAAAATTATATCGAGAACATTACTACAGCTACATGTCCGCTTATCAGTTATCATTTAAAGGTTAGTAGACTTGCACGAGTCAAGTGTGAGTGACAAATCCTCATTTGCTAAAGTTTATGTAGCGATACCGTTGAGCTCCCTTCTTTGACCCAAAATCGTGGTCGTTGCACGACACAGTCACGACATATTGAAGATTCATGGTTTGTATTCGTAAGTGAAGGCCTCGAGTGTAAGAGGCTACAAAGTCTTTGTTCACAAATCATAACTGTAGCTGAAAGTTCTTAGACTGAAGATCTTCCGCTTCTTGGCGTTGGAATTGGTGGTTTTCCAAGCGAAAGATTCGCTAATCTTTGAACATCGTTAACAAACCCCTGGCCTGTATGTTGTTCAACACCTTGCATCCCCTCTGTTTTAGGAATGTTTATGTAAGGTGGCATTGCTCGTCGCATACTCCGGTTCAGGTTTCTTGAGGTATCAATGAAAATTTGATCTTTCGAAATGCATCTATTGCTTCCATTGCTTAATAAATTAACATACGGCGGAAAAGCGCGCTTACGACCGTTGCATCTCACGGCATCCGTCAACTCGGCCCACTCTTCTTCGGTCCATTCCATTTTAAGGATAGCTTCCTTAATCTTTCGTTTAGCTGCGCTCTCAGACAGCTGGCCACCAAAAACGCCAAGGTTTCTGGTACACGAGCATGTTTCTTGTTCGTCAGCTCCGTCTTCCACACCTCGATCTTTCCTGTGCCATTCCATATGACGATCGGATCCAAAGCTGGGCAGCATCAACACATAACTGTCCGCGTCTTCGTATGAAGTGGAACAGCCATGCAAGTTGTATGGAATTCCCTCGTTAGCCTCGCTGTCACATTTCGGTTGGGAATAATGTGTTACAGGGGTCAGTGACTCACTGGTCTCCTCAGACAAGATTTCCCTGGAGAAGATGGTTGGCGACTGCACGTGGGTAGTTTTTGTCGATATATCGTGGCTATCTTCCAGATCCTTGTCTGGTTTGGCAACGTTTTCTTTCTTTTTGCTGTCTTTTCGGTCCTCGTCAGATACCGGCTTTCCTTGTGAGTATTCATTTGTGTTATCGGTCATGGTGTCAGCTGATTCCCACCCCTTCATTTCTAGACTGTTAATTGTGACTAGGGCTCTTGTTAACTTCTCCTTCGTCTCCAGATACTTCGTAATGCTTGACATGCACTCAAAATCATCTTCCTTTGGACTTGATATCCAGAGATCTTCACACGAGGCTGCATTACGTGGTGAAATCCTAACAGCTTCGCTCTTGCTTGATTCTTGTCTTTTTTCTTTTTTTGCCGGCTTCCCTGCTTCCTGCCAAAACCACCTTGGTCTGCGCGTCAGAGAGTGAAAGAGGCGTTTTTTCGAGTTGTCTTCGTTGGTGCGATACATCTTAATATTTCCTACTGCAGGGTCTCCTTGATTCACTCCTCGATCAACAGGTTTGCTCTGCTCTTCATTTCTTTCGGGAATATTTTGCTTGAAAGCTTCTTGCTTCTCGAGAATGCTAAAATCTGTATAGTCGCTGTCCTCATTGTCCTCTTCACTTAGTTCCGCCGAGGACTCGCTGCTTTTAATTACTTTCAACTCTTTTTGATATGCTTTCCGACAGGAAACAAAGCTTTTGTCTTGCCAAGTTGGACTGAAATCATTTTGTGTGGAAACGAAAAGATCTGGTGTCAGCTGAGTTTCACCTCTCTCGTCGCTTTCTCTCTGCTCAAACGTGGAGTCGCTGTGCTTCTTTGTACTTGGCTCTTTACCTTTTGTCGTGTTTTTGGTCTTGTTAGCAGTAGTATTCACTTCTGCAAGCCAGCAAGGTTTATTGCACCGTGACTGTTTGGGTTGTAAATGATTCGCCAGTGCTCCCTTTCGTACCCTCACACTAAGAGTGCCAGAGTTGACAGTCCCTGAATTTGCATTTACGCCACGTTGTGGTTCGCAAGCAGAAAAAACATTATCATCGCTCTCGGTCTCTAACCTCTCACGTCCGCTTGAATTCATTTCTGTTTTCTCCCTTGGCGCTAGAGTAGATGTTCCGATTGTTGCAGCCCAAGTGTTTGCATGCGATTTGTGTTGCACCAAAAAGCCAAGATTGTGTGATGCTTCCTGCGTACTTCTCGCTTGCTTAGAGTTCTCTTGCTTTTCACTTTCTTGCTTGCTTTCAGTATGTTGAACCTCATTGTTCTTGGCGGTAACTTGGTATTGTTTCACTGTTGAGTTCTTCGTCTTTGCAGGAAGGGGAGGGACCGGTTTTTCCGAGAAACTACACGGTTGATTGCTTTCGCTTGTAAATACCGCCTTTTGACGTCGAAGTGAAGATTCAGAGGTCGCCTCAGGAATTACTTCCTCTTTGATTCTCTCTCGTTTGTCTTTCTTTTCGGCGGGAAAAGAAGGGAAAAGTAACTTTTGGAAACGATAACATCTAATCGGCTCATTTGTGAAGTACACACTGTTCCCTCTAATGGCTTTCTGCAAAACTTGGTCATTCTCTATTGTGCGCAAGACCTGTGTATACTCCAATCCCTTTAAAGACACAAATTCATGTTGTGGCATCAGTTGTGCCACGGCGATATTTAAACTCTTTGGGAATAGCAAGATACTGTTTTTAGACGGAGAAATCGCAAAAACTGTATCCTCTTCAATTTCTCGATCTATCTGAACATTTATTATCGGTGTTGTTTCCTCTTCCTCATCCTCGAGACTTACTTTTACTGGAAGGGAACATTCTTTCATTACACGCTCCATAGAAATCAATCCATAGTTTGGAAGGGCCTGAAATGTTCCGTTGAGATTTGCAGGCAAATCTAAGCACACTTGGTCTGTGCAGCTGACGAGACAGCAACGCAAATTACGAGCATTTGGGGGATGTGGAGGGTCTCTCATAAAGAGCAATATGTCCCCAGCAAAAAGACGGAAGGATCTGATGTCGTGGAGAACGCGAAAATAACGAGATGGAACGTTCACAAGTGTGTCGTACTCTTGTTGAGAAATATCACTTATTACCTTCACCTTCCAATTCCGTTTCGAAAGGCAAAGCTCCCTGCCTTTGAAATCTCTGGCTAATACTTTCCGATCTCTTTGTACTTTGTAGATGACCAGAACCTCTCCAGGATCGATAGCATGATTCATTGATGGTCCACAGAATCCCTTTGAAACTTCGATAACCTGTGGAGTGGTTGAGCCACAGTGTGTAATGTAACGATCAAGTTTGTAAGACATCCCAGCCATTGATCTGAATATTTTTGCTACTGCGAGCTGTGCATAACGGCGACTAGTTGTCTTATTTACAAATACTATTTCAAAATAGACTAACAACTTCTTAAGTAGTTTTGATTCCGCTCAGTGGGGTAACATGATAGCCAATCACTCATTGTATTTGTTGAAAATAAAATGTTTGTGCATTCATTAGGAAAAGGTCACAGGTCCATTTCTCGGAATCTGCCTGAAACAAGGTTGAATCGCGTGTTTGGGTTTGTGAATAGTGTCTTACTATATCGGCTTCTGCTTCGCACAGCATTCTTTTATTCTTGGAAACTTTGCTCGACCCCTTATATTAAACTCTCAGTTATCAATTTTCGGGATCGCAAACCTCAAAGAAAATGCTGCGCTTTGTGAATCATAGGCACATTTAAATATACTCGAGTGACAAACGAATCAACGTAGATTTCGTCGCAAAATCTTTCAAGTGAAGAACTTTCACGATTGCTCACGTGATTTGGTATTGTGGAAAAAACACGTGACAAAAATTAGTGTTGAGGCTAATAATCAAGGAAGTTATCAAGGTTAGTTTCATTTCCCCCCAGATGACCATTCGCCGTGTGATATTCGGGACGATGTTGTTGATGCCAATTTTTGGGTGTTCTGTAGACACTTCCTTGTTTCCAGAAGACTTCACGAAAAACGTTAATTACGATTACTTAGAAAATTTCCGGACACGGGAAGTTCAAGAGCGGAAAACAAATATTTAAACTGGCCTGAAACATGTTGTTTGTTCTTATCCGGAATTGCCATTTCATCACCGATTCTTATAAACTTTCCTCTTTTTTCTTTTCGTCAAGATAAACAACTAACTTGAACCTGCTAACTTTGAAAGGCCTGAAAGGAAAAATTCACGACACATGTAATTTATTTTTCAAAGCAAAGGTGATTTCGGCGACATAAAAAACCAAAGTAGATTAACTTTAGTAGGAAACGCCATGAAGGAATGAGAGAATGGAATGATGCTGATATATATACTCTCGTTTCTCTCGTTCTCGTTGGATCTTTGGAACGGAAACTGTAACGAGGTTTTAGTTTCGTTCCAAGTTACCGTATTTCCTCGAATAAGCGCCCGAGCGCTTAATTCAAATTTAAGCTAAAAGGATGGGCGCTTAATCAAGGGGGAGGGGGAGGAGGCGCTTATTACGTTTTCCTTTCAACGAATAGAGAATGGTCTAGTTATTCCGATGCATTTACCGAGGACAAAAATTAAAAGAAGAGATAACACACACAAAGAACTCTCCAAAGGTGCAGGGTGGGAGGTTTGTTCGACTCGGACTAGCTCGTGGAATGGGGTATTTTGGACCTACACGAAAAGGCTTGTTGTTTGATAAGGTGCGGTTTTCTCGATGTATATTTCCTAGTTTACAGACCATCTGCTCGAGAAAAAAATTTTCGTTAAAAACTTCGTTACTTTTTCCTCCCAAGGTAGAAGAGGCTCTTTATACTAAACAATACTGAAATATTTTAAAAGAAGCGCAAACTAGTATTTCATTTGTGAATGAAGCGCATGAAAGTTATAGGTCCCTGGTGGGGATTTTTGATTATCCCTTCCCACCCTACGAAAATTGACCAAAATGTTAACTTTTTATCAAATCCCCACCCTCTGATTTATCCACTGGATAAATCTTTTGTCCAGTGGATAACGCAGTTGGTTTCTGTAATCACTTATCCGTTGGATAGTGATTTATCCGCTGCACATGTGCTATCCAACGTTTGAACAACCGGGTCCAGGAGAATTAGGACTATTAATTTTGTGCAAGTTCACTTATTCTTATGAGCGCGATTTGCTAGACGAATGCCGCAATGTGCCAGGAGACACGTGGAGACTTGCTGGCTCATAAAAGAGTCGAGAATGATTCACCTGTAATATTTCACTTGTTACAATTCACAGTATCAAAACTTTGACCCGTCAGAGAATAGATTGGTCCTGGTCCTGTGGCGTGCCTAAAAGCGTGTCCAAACGAAAAGCAAAGACTTGAAAAATATTTTCGAGAGGTTTGTTCATAAGCCAAAACAAACTTCGAGAACAACTGCAATGGTCTCTTCTAAACTGGCTAACTTTTATCAAGGCAAATTACAGAAGTGAGGATTGGGATTTAGCGCACCTCGCAAACAGCTAGCTACTTGAAAAGCGACACGAAAGAGCATCGTTATAAACCCGGAACAGTAGCTCTCAGAGAAATTCGCCGTTATTAGAAATCCACTGAATTGCTGATCAGCTAAGTACTGTTTCAGTCTCGTCCTAGAAATCGCTCAGGATTTTAAGACCGAATTGCGCTTTAAAAGCTCGGCTGACTTGGCTCTCCAAGAGAAAAGGGAGGCCAACTTGGTAGGTCTCTTCGAGGACGCCAATTTGTCTGCCATTGACCCAAAACGTGTCACCATCATGCCCAAGGATATCCATTTGGCTCCAAGGGTCAGAAGGGAACGCTACACATAAGCCATCTTAACATCTGATTAAAGAGATTAAGAATACTTCGGATTCAAGTTAGGAATTTCTCAGAACAGAACAGTAAGCAGATTAAAACTGTCCAGAGTACTTCTTATGGGTAAAACTGGTACGAAACTACTTTTTTTAAGTAGAAGTAATAAACATTAAACGGCAATTAAGGGGAAAACTTGGTGACGTGGTACAACTTCACTTACGCCGTTTGGCGTAAACGTGAATCTCTCTATCATAATACCACACAAACACCGCTCCTTTAGGAGCCACCAGCTCGCGTTAAAGCCAATGACCCGAATAAAGTGTAACTTAACTTTTTCTGTTATTATCTTTTCGAACTAAGAAAATAGCTTAAGAATACTACTGCCGACTGAAAACTGAGAAAACACAGCGCCCTTGTTCTTGTCTTCTCGTTTACTTTTGTCCACGCTTATGCTTCCGTCGTTGTACAGGCTCACTAAGCTTCACCACATTTTGAAGTGTTGCCGCTTCACATCAAGTTGTGGACGATATAACAAACTAAATGTTTTGGCACATCCAAAAACAACGTTTGAATTCATATGTCCCACTCACATACGTACTTTCTGTCTTTGTCACTGCAATTTCTCTTGATCGCGATCAATGAATTACAGTCTTTTGACTTCGTGTCAATTCAAACGAGCAGCCTCATTTTGTTTTTTCTTTGGCTTAATTTTTTTGCTTTTGTTTTGTTGTTTTTTTTTTCAATGTGTTCGTCATAACGAGGCCATGCATCAAAGGATGGAAAATTACAAAATACTTTTACCAGTCGACATTTATGCCATTTCAGCTCATTTCGGCAATCAGATTCGAGGATTTTATTGAATATTAGATTTTAACATTGAACATATAGATGCCTTGAAATACTTCATATACTAAATAATTTCCCAAGTTTTGCATGACTTTTAGAATTTATACAAGGTTTCCCTCTCCATTAACGCTAAATTCAGCTATATTACCATCGTTCTCTCCCTTGTTAATAAATCGCCATGTATTAAAGTCATTATTATAATGACCAATAAATTGGTGGCCCTGATTGCCATCGTTGTAGGAAATTAACTTAACTCCCGGGTTACTTTCATAATATTTTTTGATATAATCAACGATCGCTATCAGTTCTTCCTCGTTGCTTGGCACCTTGCTCATGTAAATGCGAGCAATCACCTTGTAACTTCTTTGCTCGTTTTTTAATAAGTCCTTAACAAATTTTTCCTTATCGCTGAGATTTTTTACCGGATCTTTTTTGAATTGGTTTCGATTTGAGTGTATAACAAGGGGTGAAGCGCCGTGGTTTTTTTCAGTTGCCACGAACACGTCACAACCCTTAAGCGGGGAAGTAAAGAACCAAGGAGCCACGTTCGGATTAAGGAACGTGTACGAATCTCCATATTCGGCGTAACGAAGAAATATGGCTTGAAATTCTGGCCGGTTAGCACATTGATCGCTGCCAGTTGGGACGCTATCTATAGGTTCATGGGTTTTTGAATACACTTTCACTTCCCCTGTATCTACCGTGCCTGTAGCATAGCAGGTCGTCTGTCCGAAATTGCAAAAGAAACCTCCATATTTAGGTGTACAATGCGGTGTCATGTCCTCCATGTCACAAGCCATAGAAACTATCCCTGATCCATCGGTATCGCTGATAGGCTTGCCTGCCGTCATCAGATTAGCAAGTGCTTGGTTTGTACTTTCTGGAGTGACTTGAAGTTTTCCTTTGAAAGCTAAGTTTCCCCTCTTATTCACAACTTGATGGCAGAGGACCAAGGTAAAAGTAAGGAAGACCAAACATGATACCTTCATCATCTTGAATTGAATCCCAGGAGCAAAAAGAATCAGCTGGAATGACAAGGGAAGAATTAATTAATAGTGTCAGGTGTCTGTATAATGTATCCCTTCTTTGTGAGTAAAATAACATGTATAGGGCCCATTATTTCTTCTGAGGCCATTGCTAGAGAAAAGTCTTCAAGCTGTAACTGCGCGTATATGTAACAAAATTATAAAAAGTGGTCCCTAAGTGGATACATTGAATGCTGCAAAGCTGATCTTACCACGGGAAAATTAACCCCAGACATTAATAAGACACCGAAAGAACTCAAAACAGAGCTGGGTTGTAGCCGTAGACAGCTGTTTCACCATTCTTGTGCCCTGCTTGTGGCTCCTTATGAGTTCGGCGCAACAAACAGAGAAGCTCTGCTAAAAAATTACAAACTCACTCCTCACTCCTCTCCTCCTCGTCGGCTTGTTAAAAAGATTAACATTTCATAGATTAAATTAAGCCCTGAATAAAATTTTCGAAGTCAAAGATCGAAGTCCAATTGGGAGTTCATTAAATAGCTTGGTTCACTGATGGTAAAAACCCTTTTTCCCAAATTCGAGGCAGTTTTACTGAAAAACCATTGTTAATTCTTGTAGACTTTGAATGATCCAGTCTTTTAAAATAAGACAAACGGTATTAAAGGGGGAGCAAACCACATCTTGAAGACAGTCAAGTTGACCGCTTTTGCGCTTAATTGCTTTTGCAACTGATGGAAGTTTCAGACTGCTGTTGCTAATGATTCTTGAACATCGATATTCAATATTCTTTATCAGACTTTTCGCAGAAAAAAAAACGAAAAAACAATTTTCAATTTCTTAGTAACAAGGTTTAGCAACGAAATACTTTAATGGGCCCTTAAACTGATACTGATTTATAAGGCATCTAAGTTGCACAATAAACAAAAAATAATGTGATATGACTTTCAATTCTGGTCGATCTATTCCCTTTTGAAAGACTAATGTGGGTAATTTATTTCCTTCGGATCCAGTCTCCCATGAAATTCTAACAAAGAACAAATTTTCTTAGTTGTTACCGATTTCGGTAAAAAAAATATACCATAATAACAAATTATGTTTGCCAAATTTTTTCCTGACCTCTAAAGCTGCTGAAACGGAGACGTTGTTTTGTTTTTTTTTTTCTGGCCAGAGTGTTACTTGGCCTCTAGAGGTCCACCCATGTTGTGAATTTTCTACTACTTATTCAATAGATAGAAGATAAGTGTGTCTAATTGAAATAGAACAAAACACAAGGGACTCATACGAACTTTGGGACAGCCCCGCTCGCATAATTTATTTCAGTTCTGTTTTGCAATTGGGCGGTGGTCGAAAGATGGAGAAACACGAGTAATTACCTAAAGGAAATATGGGCTACATAAATTCACATCTTCGTCACCGAGAACTACTGAACCGTAAAAGAAAGGAAAAGCCGTGGAAAACGAAATATAAAACCTTCTTCAACCGGAATCCCCTATCCAAAATCCTCTCGTGTTTTTTCAGGCTATGCAAACACGGAAAGCACACGAAGCTAAACCTCTTCCAACGATCAAGAGACTTCAAGGCAGGTTAAAACAATGATCAGTTTCGAAGAGATAGAAAGCAGTCTTCACAGGTCTTTGAAGTAAATAATTCCTGTAGGTATGTTTTTACTTTCAGACATCCCTGAAAATAGAAAATTGATTCCAATCAAATACCCCCTCTCTATATTTGCAGTGCCAGCGTCACGGTTTGCGCTCCTAGTTCCCAGTTACATTTCATTCAACTTTTGGGGAATGTTATAATCTGGTAGTGTGGGTGTGTCGACGATTGTATTGGCCGCCTAGCTGGTTTATTTCAAGTACCTTAAGATCCTAATGGAAAAATTAGTGTGTATCCTGGATAAACTCGATGACTAAGAAGAGAGAACAAAATATATCATATATGCGTTCATCAGAGTGTTGTTTTGTATGATACTTCGTCCCTTGAAAATCTTTGTAGAGAAGGTCTACTTGATGCTAGTAAATAAACTTGTTGCATTGAAACATACCTTTTTCTTGGAACTTGTAATTGATGATTGATCTGAGATTTCACCCAGGACAGAATACTTTCCTCAAGTACTTACTTAGTAAGTGGTGATGAACCTCGCGCCGTTAAACCCTTTCTGCCCTGTATAATTTATGCGGTTGCAAAACATTCAATCGTCGTAAATAAGGTCTAACTAAGGCCGGGAATGACCTTTTAATAAAACATAATTTGAAGAGGATCTTCTTACACCATTTTTATTGTTAAATGCCATTAGCGAAGAATAGCCATGGCTAGAAATTACTGATGCTTGAGCAGGTAGCGAAAATAGACACATTTGCCACAAGTTAAACCTTATGTCATATAACAAATAGGGAGTGCCAGTTTTCTAATTGATAATGATTTTCCGAATGACCTGACTCATTAAGAAGATCTAAGGGTTTAGCAACACTTCACTCAGAGGGCAAGGGTATTATTGCGTGCGATAGCAAGTGTATGAAATGCTTCACTGAGCTAAAAAGCATTCCCAGAACTTGTTTAGTCGTTCCATTGATTACTTACACTGCGAGAAAGGCCTTCTAGTTTTAGCTGTCCCTGAAGAACGTTGATCAAATGATAATTAGCTGACAACCAGTCTTTTATTGTCATTACAACTGGTCGCTCACGATAGGATAGGTCTCTTGTTCAAAACCTCGTGCTATCTAAACTAAACTTTAATGACTTCGTCGCTTATCCACTTCCCGCATTTGGACAGGATCGAAAAGAGTACAACACGTTCAGAATGCTGCTGCTGGTTTTGTCTTGAATCATTTCTGCTCAGAAAGAGACGTCCTTAAAGGGGCTGTGTCACGGCAGTCTAGTTCATTTCGTGAAGTTGCCAATTACTCGCCCTCAATCGCTATAGAACTTAAAGAAAGCAAAGAAATTACACGTAAATGACAAAATCAGAGATCTGAGACAAACAAATATGTCTCCTGAGCATTATTTTTGAAGTTGCAAGCAGCAGGGATCAACTTTAAAAAATTGTTAGGCTGAACCGTTTTCAAACACTTTTAATTTTAATCCCGTTTCAATCTTCTTCAGTTTTGCCCATCCGTTGCATCTGTTGTTTCTGTTGTGTTATTTCAACTTTCCTTTAAAGATTTAAGCAGTTATTTTTATGTTTCTCTTAATTTAACGGGCATTTTGTAATTTCCTAATTTGGCTAAATTTCGTGACACAGCTCCTTTAATCTTGGCTAGCTACCTACACTAGAAAATATGCAATTAAACACAAGCTTGGACATCGAGCTCTTGTTAGTGAAGCTTGGCCCGAATACTTACAACTGCCCAGGCACAATCCCCAACGTACACTAACCTCTAGTAATGCGCCTTTAATAGAAATTCCTTAAGTTAAGGGTACTTTCCAGGACTCGTTAGCGACTTTTTTCAAAAGCCGTAAGGCGGAGTCCAGTCTTTGATAAATCAAAAATAATTGTTTTAAAGAGAAGGGCCAACTTGAACATGCGACTTCCCTACGGTTATGGTTACTCATAGTATTCTATAGTATTTTGGGTTTTTTAGTAAGTTTTTTAGTGCATTGTGTAAAAAGTGAATGATTTTTGAATAACATTATGTACTAGTCGTTAGTCTTAAGTTAGTATGACGGATGTAGAGCTACCATGTAAAAATACCGTCAATCGTTATTTATTATTATTATTATTATTATTATCATCATTATTAATATTAATTTTATTAAAGCAATACCAAATTCCTAGAATTATGTTAATCTAGAAGGTCTTAAAACTCTAACGAGAGGTTTCCACGAAAGCAAACTCTTGAAGAAAGTGATTTCATTTCAAGGCAAACTTCTGGTATTTTAAAAGATGCTCATTTACGAGAATTAGGAGAGTAAACTCTGACGCTGGAGGTGCTGGGGCATAGCTACTCTTCGAACAAAGTTCAGTTAACCATGATGTTTCATCAAAAACATGCCGGTGATTTAGAATCAACGTATTGATTCCGCTCGTGACCCTCGGATGTGCTGCGGTCAGTTAACCAGTAGGGAGCTTTAGCAACGACGACGGCGACGGCAAAGAGGACGTCAAAAAAGCAACAGGTTTATTACGCAAAACAACAACTTTGCACTTGCATCACGCTTTTTTGTACATTTCTTTACCGTCCTTGCACGACTACGACGTGAAAATGCCTAATTGCAAGCCGAGTTTATGGAGGACGTAAACAAGCGACGACGAATCTTTTTTTCTCTCTCTAAACTTGAGTGCGGTCCTGAAGAAATCAACTCCAGGGAAATTCGCCTACACTTGCCATTTTCATGAAACTGGAATAAACGCGACAAAGATTGAAAAAAACGGGAATTCATTATAATACTGTCGTTTTCACTGCAGTTGCCGTCGTCGATGTTAAAGCTCCCTAATCGAGAGACAAGGGTACGAGCTCATGGTTTACCGCAGTGGCTCTCTTATTTGGAAACTTTTGGTATTTTAAAAGATGCTCGCTTAGTATGCGAATTAGGAGGGTAAAGTCTTATGCTGGAGAGGTGCGGCGCAGGAAGGTTGGACAGTACAGCTAACTAGTTAAAAAAAAACATCATTATAGCTAAAAGCATTCTAGACGTTGTAAAGGTTAAACTGAGTTCGAATTGAAGCCATAACTGTCCGTTGGCAAGGAGCGCTAATCAGCTCACAGCTAGTTTTTCCAGTTTTCGCTTAAGAAACAGGTGGTTGATGATAGAGTAAAATAATACTACATTTTCATAGTGCACAATTTCATTTGGAAACTTTTAGCATTTTGGAAAGGCGGTCGCTTATGCGAATTACGAGGCTAGTGGCTTACGCAGAGGTAAAAGGAAGGTTTAACAATATTTGGCTCAACACTGGGGTGGGGTTCAATAGATCCAGCCATCTTTTTAAAAGATGTGCCAACTGTTTTCAGACGCACCCAACGACTGTTTTCTGTGAAATATCTGTTCCGAGAAGCAAAAATTGCTTAGAATTTTCTATAGCTTGAGAAACGCCAAAAATTTCAAGATGACCGTTCCATTCATGTACAATTTTCGAGGCTTATCTAATAAATTCCTTACGATTTTCTGAAGTTTAATTTTTCCCATTTCGCTCCCCAGGTTAAGCTGTTTTTCGTGGAGATAGGAAACCTAACATTTTTGGAATCGAAAATGCGATGCAGCGAGGAATCAGAAAAATTCTCACTTTCGTAAACTTTTAAATTGCAGCTACAATTTTTGGGAAAATAGTACTGAAGCCCTTGTAATTTCGAAAAGACCAGGATTTTTCTCCTAGGATGACCGAACAGATGTAAATTTTTTAACGCCACTTAGAATACATTTCTAGAGATCTAGAAGTACTTTGGATAGCCTTGTTAAAAAGGAGAACCTTTCGTTGGGTGCCCCTGTGTTTTTAGCGTGGTCACTGTATCTCAAGTAGCTATATATATTACAGCATTTGTACCTTTGCTAACACCGCGGAACTTTTTTTTATGAGTTAGGTAACTGGCAAAACTGTTATCTATAGAAAACTGGCAGCGACTTTTTTCTGTAAAATAACTGTTCGACTCCCTATGTGTCAGGTATAACGCGCAGTATCAGGCTGTTAAATGTGATTATTTTCACTAACCTGAGTGCTCAAGCATTTTACTTTCTAACCATAGCCACCGGCTTCGAACAAAGTTCAGTTTACTATAATGTTACATCAAAAACATTTTAAAGCAAGTAAAGCCGGTGATTTAAAATCAACGCAAATTTAGTCAAATTAACCTTGGACCAGGCCTTGCATTGGGGGAAAAAGGAAAAGAAAATCGGCGAGCGAAGCGAGCCGAGTGTAGAATTCACCGTAGTTTCCTACGTATTTCACCTCGTTTTTTGCCTTTTTCCCCCACTTTGGAGCCTTGTACGACGTCCCAGGCTCCAGTCAAATGAGAAGTAAAGGGGCAAGATAAACCTCGAACCATTGTGTTTCTGTTGATGGCATTTAACAACAAAATGGTGTAAGAAGATACTCGTGAAATTATGTTTTATTATATATTTATTTGGTCAAATTGGTTATTTCATTTGAATGTTCTTGAAAGCTCTTTTTTCCGTTCTGCACCCTAAATAAATGGAAAGGTAGAAAAACTACTCAGTTGAAGAAATCATTTATGGCAAATACTTCATATGTTCCGGCGTAAATCTCGGATGAATTAGTAACAAAACTGCGGAATAAGAAAAAACCTTTTAACGCTTTGCACCACCTGCACCTATCCCGTGGTCATGGTGACCCTTAGGTCGCCACGGACCTAGCAACCTTTTCCCTCCATTTGGTTTTGTTTTCAGCTTCACTTAGGGCGTCGCAAACTCAACCCTGTCCACTCAGAGATGTTATTCTGCCAAGGCTTCTTTTTTCGGCACCTTCTTCTCCCTCCTTGCACTGTTCCTTGTAAAAGCCCTGATGATCTTGATACATGCCCAAACCACTTTAACTTGTGTTTCTTTCGTGGTCACGAAATCATCATAGGGCACAATTGCTTGCCTGATTCTGTCTCTGACAGCATCGTTAGTGATTCAATCTCTGTCAGAGATGCAAGGCAGTTTCCTAAAGTATCTCATCTCAGTGGCCTGCAATTTCTTCTTACTGCAAGACAAATACGAGGAAGCGTGTTTCCTTTCAGAAAGAGGAAAATTTTAATGTGGACAAAAATCTTCGTACTGTTGGGGAGGCAGGGAATATAGCAGAAAACGAACAAGACGTAAAATTTCGCATAGTGTGAAAAATGGGGAAAAAAATGAAAAAGAGTGAAAAAAGGAAAGAAAACATGAAAATTATTATCACTATAGAAGGTGAATTCGTGTCTGTACCCGTTTCTCTGTTCGTACTTGATGAATTATTGATCAGAGTGAGAAGTAGTTTACAAAATTTGCTCCCACAAAAAAGACTCGTATACCGGTATTAGCTGCTATTGGGTGATGTTCGACCACTAGACAGCGAGCAGTCTCTTATTTTTCTTTGCAAAGTTACTGCGCGCGAAACCTAAGCACACAAGCGGCAAAAGCCGCGAGCCGCGAGAACTGGTCTCAATCCCTTATTGTAATAATAACGTCGTGGTTTGCAATCGCGCTGGATGAGATAAGAACTAGACGGATTTTAAGAGAAAAAGGCGGACTGCA